AAGCTTGAAAGGTGAGTTTATGAATTGTGAGCAGTTGAGCTGAGACGTTAAAGCTGTCAATTAATGTAAACTTCACACCTTTCCTAATTTCCATTCAAGCATATTCAACATTTCTATTGACCAAGCGTGTGTTTTGGCTACGGATGAATTTAGTTCCACATGGTTTCATTTTTTGGAAAATCCGATAAAGTAATTATGAACTTGCGAGACCTGAAAAATTTGTAGGGCAGTGAACATTACTGGTTATGTAGCGAATTGTGTTTAGTAAATGCGAAATGCATAAGTTTACATCATCATCTAGAGAAGGACATTGTTCATCGGTAAGTACCTGAAGTAAGTTACTGCATTTGAAGTTCATCATACACACACATTTACTAATACATGTAAGATCAGATTCATGGCTAATTTTGCAGATTTTATCAACCTTGCCATTGAAATTTACGGTTAATCTCGTAATAACATTAGACAGTGCTTCAACTGTTTTTACTACATTTTTAATATTTGCCTGTTTTTAGACTTGAAATATTGAGACCTGGTGAAAACGCCTATAGTCAAGTCGTTAGTAAATGCGATGATTTCAAGATTTTCCACCTTATAATTTGGTTGCTTGGCTCTCCCTAATTTCTAGTGCGGCCTTTGATTTGACCACAATAATCATTATTATTACGTCGGGTGAACCTTCGTAATCATTTTTCATTCTTTCACACTTAACGTGTAATATTAGACAGCAATTTCAAACCTGTGCAGGTTGCAATCTGTCCGAAGCAATGAGGAATCAAATTATGGTTTAGCCACATTTTTCCAGTGAACATTTGGGTATAATTTGATTTTATTAAAAAATTTATAAAAATGTCAACGTCAGTGATGACAGGAACTGTATGTATGCTTAAACATTAGATTGCTTAAAGCTACATATATGTACATAAAAAACATGACACTTGAACAGTCGCAAAAACCCGTTAATTGTTGCATGCCACATGTCTAAAATGATGGACATTGAACATGTTGTTTCAGTTGTTGTACGTTTTCAAGGTTTCAGACAGATAATTAGATTGCATTGGAATATCAGCATTTTATGATTTTATGTCGAATAGATTTGTCATGTACTTATTTACAACTTGTTCTTTTGATACCAAATTATGCATTAAAATTATCACACATAGATATACGTTAACGTACATACATACGTTACGTGTAACATGTCAACTGAGCATCAGACGCCAATAATTTTGAGACATAATTTAAATAAATAACCGGCCAGCTCACAACTCATGGATCATGGTTCTGTAAAAACAATTATGGTTACATATTTCATCTGTATGATATGATATACATTCTGCAGTTTAGTTAATATTACTTGGTTTGACCTATTGCTTTTTGCATTAGTCACTCTATAATTCTCACAAAATTCATAGTGTAATATTTAGAAGGGAACATGTCGTTATGAAAAGCATCCTGGACCAGGATGACAGACAGACCAGCCTGGTCTGTCTGTTGGATATTCTGAGGTTTCAATCGTAATGTTCTCAAACACTATGTTATTTATTTTTCACTTGTATTGAATGTTAGTAAAAAAAATTATTGTTGTGTCAAATGTGACAATGCACTTATTTCACGATAAAAAGTACATATACCACGTGTCTCCAATAATAAAAGTTGGATGTCACCATTAAATGCAATATTTTTGTAAGCGAATTGATAGAACCGTTTCCAATTATATTGTCAATGATGTTGGGCCATTGTACGTGCGGCCAATTCACTGGACAGTGTTCCAGAATAAATTTCACATGATTAAAGTGTTATTTAACATATTTTCATATTTTGAAAATATTGTTTGCGTAATACTAGCAACATATAAACCATCAAAATCACCATTATCACATTAACATTTAAAAATATTGGAGGAATTACAATTTACTATTATTAAATTGGCATACAATTTTGGTTCAGCATTTTGTGCTTCGTGTGCACGAAATAAAATTTTTGCATTTAACGGAACACTGTCACTGGCATTACCTAATCTGTTTTCAAACCTACGTCGCAAGACAGTTGGTAAGTACACATTGCATGTGTACTTATTTCGCCTCATTTGAAGTTGAAAAGGAAAAGTGAGACTTGCACTGAAAAGTTTTTCAGTTTTCAGTTACATCGTCGTCATTGCCTTAAGATACACGTGCATGTGTGACTTAAACTTAAAACTAGCTAATGCAAAAGGATGGTATTCATTCTGTTGTTTTATAAATTACTATTTCTATTCCCAATTACAGTGCTTTCGATCCACACAAGTGATGCAATCCAAAGTGTCACCTCCAGTTTTAAAAGTCGTTCACCAATTGCTTTATTAGCACATGACGGATTTCTGAACAAGGATGCAAATTGGAGAGAGATTCAACCACTTGACCCAGTCGTACCAAGAATATTTTTTGGACTGGAGTGGACTTGGCTAATTTTCAATAATGTCTCCTCAATGCCAATTAGAAGTAATTATCACTTGTCTCCAAAAGTGGATTCGTCAGTTTTTGCAAGACGGGTGAATCCTAGGATTAAATTTGTGATATGGTTAGAAAGTAATACAATTAAGCAACTTGAAAATCTCAGGTATGCTGGACAATTTGATTTGGACATTTTCACATTTCTGGGAAGAAAGTCAGTGTTGTTGGAGTTTTTCAAGACTAAGCTTGCTCTATCGATTAGATATAAATTTGGTATAATAACCAGTGACATCAGAGAACCAATTAATGATCCTGCGGTATTCTTGGTGGATCCTACGGTGTTCAACCATGGCGAGATGCAAGTCTCTAGAAACGTTCCATTATTTTGTGACTGCATAAATCTGAACGGCTACTCCTTGAAGGTATCCGCCAACACGCTGGCCCCATTTATAATGTATCAAAAATCTGGAGAAATAACTGGAGGAACGAATTACATGATGCTCAAGTATGCCTCGATCCACTACAATTTGACTCTGAAATGGGATATTGGTCTGACTCGTGGAAATGGAAAACTTTTGAACAATGGTTCTGCTGATGGGATGTTGGGAGATGTTCTCAGTGGGAAAGCAGACGTTGCTTTCATTGCACGTTTAGCCAAAGGACAAGTCGGAGTTATTGACCTTACCGAATGCAACTCCATCGATACACTTGTTTTTCTCACTCGTAGTCCCGAAGCAAGGTTGGCGTGGTTAGCAGTGATTCATATTTTCACGGGGGACACTTGGATTTTAATTGGATTCTGTTTCCTGGCCGTCATCCCAGTCTATTATTTGTCCATCAAATTAATGCAGGAAAAGAAATCCAGCCAGGTCGTCGAGTATGGAAATCAGTTCTCGTACAGTCAGTTATATAATCCAGAACGAGGAGGAAGTCATAGAGCAACTAATCCCGAGTATTTCTACAAAGCGTGCAACATCCCGTTCGGGTTGGCTTTTTCACAAAGCATCCAACACATCCCGGTCCAAGCCTATCTCATTTCAATTTTCTGGATGATTTTCATTCTGAACATCAACACTTGCTATAACAGCAATTTGACCACGCATCTCACCTCGTTAAATTTCGATGCAGTGCCACAGGATTTTGAAGCACTGTGTCAACGACTCGACTACAACATATCATTCAATTATATAAACAACGGGAGTTGTGACTGCTTCCAATTTTTTACTGAAAGCAGAAGCTCAACTATAATTAAGATAAGGGAAAGATTTATGAAAAATCTTGAACCCGACACTGGTCGATGTGTACTAAATTCTGTATTAAAACAGAAATCTGCGTGCATAGGCTGGTCATCTGTCACTAAAATGGGAATTGCAAAGAACGCCACGCTGTATGAAGGACTAAATTTGGTCCAAATATCAAAAAGCATTCACATCTCGCTGAATAGTATCGGTTTAAAAAGACACTCAATTTGGACGCGGTCATTTAGTAGATTTATATCTGGGTTCAGAGATATGGGGATCGTCGCTAAGCTAAAAGATGACGCAGAGGCAGGAGAAAGGATCAAGGGAAAGGCGTGGATACATAAAAACAAAGACTCTGACATTTACAAAGTTCTGAATGCTATAGAGTTGGATCGTCGAACACTCGTTAGGCCATTTGACATTGACAACTTTTCCTTGTCGTTTCTGCTTCTAAGTTTTGGGTTAGGAATATCTATTCTAACCTTTGTGATAGAAAAGTTGCTTAATAGAAAGAAAACTGCATGGATAATTATGTAAAATGGTAGAGATAAGAGCAGTCTTATAAGTATGTAATTCACTAAATGCTTATGTTGTATTTTATTAATGAGCTATTATACATAAGAAAATATATGTGTACATACTACTATCTGAAAAACCAAATGAAATAAAATGGGTAATATAGTGGCTCGTTATATTGTATCATTAATTGTGGACACAGTAAAAATACTTATAACACAACGCCCATATTGCTGCAACAAAGTCCAGATGGCAATCAATCTCCCGACGACGACGGTAATTACGTCATCTTGACTTGCACTAACAAGCCAATGCAATTAATTAATGTTGCTGGGTTTCAAAAATCAATGATGTCGTCCTTCAACATTTTTGTCTCATATTCGGATTCTATTCTCAGTGTGCTTCTTGTACTCTTACAAATGTCCCAATCTCAGTTTCTTGCTTCTTACTGATTCGTATAAAATTTAAAACGGCTAAAATTTATTCCGATAACGTAAGCTTTTCTTGTGAAAATGAAACAAATCCCTGCAACACTAGAAATGGGAAATTTGGCTGTTCCCGAAACCAAAATTGATGTGCCTCGACACCGGAAGCAAGTGGTACAAGAGGCAGCTAGCTCAGGACTAGTTTATTACTTGAAATGCTTCTTTGACTTGGGTTACCTCGTTGTTTTAATCCCGTTTTGGATTGGAACAACAACTCGCAATGGAAACCTTGCTTTCACTTTCATGAAAACAAATCGGCTTCACAAGGTATGTACATAAGCAATTACATGTAATTATCGCCTTCCTCGCTTTATAAACAATGCAAATATTTTCCTTAAGTGTCATTGATGAATTTTATTATTTCAGTCAATTTGTATAGCATTTCAAACATTGATAGTTGCTGAATTTGTTTTGGTCATTCGGCTGATTCCAAAATGGAACGAGTTGAATGAGAAGAGAATCAACATCTTACACTCTGGAAACCTCATTGCTTGTCTTCTGTATTCGCTCGCTTTGATCTACATCTTTTGGAGCAAAAAAGACGTTTTTCTGAAAATATTTGATCAATTGGGAGAGGGGCGCAGCAGCTCTGGCTCTGGTTCTAAAGAGGAAGGAGGAAACCAACACTTTTGGAGCACTTTGAGGGTAAAACTATGGCTATTTTTTAAATTAATTAAGTATTTTTCAACTGCATATTACGAAGCTAGATTTGGCTTCGTTGTCGTCCGCGGTCCTCCAGGACCACCAATTATATTTTGCGCCCCCTTCTGTATCCCCTCAAAGATTTGATTAATTCGGACTGGAAATTGATTGATTGACTGATTGATTGTTTTTATCGTTTCACGGATTCTTTGTGGCAAGGTTGGCCGTTTAGTTGAGGACACAGGGAACTGAGTTGGCCCCAACAGCTAAGAATTTAATATGTACAGAAATAAATGAATCTAAAATTCAGGAGTCGGTACAATGTAAGGCTCATATTTTGCTAATTGACTTGCCTCCGTGACCCATGCGGGTTCTGTCACTGCGCGAGGGTACAAGTAATTTACTTCCTTGTGCTCGATGGATATTTCAATCTTTTGAGGAGCACAATGGATCTAAAACAAAATTTGTATACATTTTACAACGCACTCGGCCAATAAAATATACTTACATGCGCAACAACAAGAACGATCAGAAATATGCCGAACCTCGTCATCTCGGATATTTTAATTTTGACTATGATAAAACCAGATAAATATTCTCTCCTCGCTGGAGATTTTATACGACAAAACTGAGCAACATATTATATTAATTATTTCAACATAATTCTCTGAACTAAATGTGGATAAAACGAGTTCATCGTTGCATGAGACTCCAGCTGCAGTATTAAATTAAGCTTAATTAACTGAATTAATTGTTGGAAAATCTACATGATGACTGTCCACAAAGTATACATAAATGTTGTGTGCATGCCTTCGTTGCAATAATAATATGTATTATTTCATCCATCATTAATATGTATGTATTAAGTAACAAACAAAATATGATAAAATTTCAGGTGAAAGCATTCGGTTATGGCATCTGCATTTTGGGCTATGCGGGCGCCATGACGCATCCAGTGATTCACCATGCCTTCATCTTTCCCGAAGATAATACAGCCTCCTTTTATCAAAGAATGAAAGTTCAAGCCGAAACATGCTTCTTGATGGCAGACCTGAACGAGACAACTCAGACGGCTGTGCCACCTGGAAATGAGGGCTCATTATACACGATTGTGTCATTCATTTTCACAGTTATTCACATCATTATGATAATCCCTAGCACTGTTCTCGTACACATGTTGGATCTCTTCGCCCTCCTCACCACCATTTGCTGCTGGAGGGTGGTGAATAAATTCCTGCGAGATTGCAAAAGGTTGGAATCGAGTTTGGTGGGGCTGGACGATGCTGAAGGACTTGCTGAAGTGGTAATATTTATGTCCATACAATAATTGGTATAATTGCTACCTAAATTGGGCATGTCAACCACAATGCTAATTATGTTATGGCTTGTTGTGACTAGATTTTGGACAAGTATGACAACCTCAAAGCTTTTATTAACAATGTCAACAATGCAACGGGACTGGTATTTCTCTGTTGTATTGGAATTTCTCTCCCATTTTACGCTTCATTTACTGCAGTTTTATTCTTTGAAGAAAAAATCGATTGGTTTGAAACCATTCATTTTTACGTGTACTTTATAACATTTTTGATAGTACTAACCTTGGCGGCCAACATCAATAAAAAGGTACAAACATAGCATACGTACACAAAAGCATGGGAGCACTAATGGCTGGGGCGGACAATTATTGATTTTATGTCTCGTTTGTAATAGGCAAATGAATTTTATGATTGGATATCAACATCTCCAATTGCGCTAACTATACATCCGAATCAGATGACGTTACTAATGATGGATTTGTACTCGAATCGAATTGCGTTAAGCGGCTGTGGCGTGTTTTCGCTGACATTCAGATTTTTCGTCACCGTGGGTTTAACAAACAGTTGAACCTTCATTTTGCATTTAATGAGGAGATGTATGTTGCTTATCTTGCAGATTCTCAGCATCATCGTAACCTACACCAGTATAATTGTGCAGCTACAAATTAGCAGGAGAGATGCCACACTCCTCCTGATGGGCAACAGCACCAGAGCACTTGGCTAAAAATTGTCTCCCGAGCTCATTTACGCCGACATACATAGATCTCCAGGTGTCCATTACGTGTACTTGAAAATGCTGTCTAATTGGTTGAAGCTGTTGTTCGTAGTTTACTATTTGGTACTTCCATGAGATTTAAGTTTACTAAAGTATATAACATATGCATGTATATATGTAATTTATAATTGTGAAATCTGCATTAAAATTTAATAAAAGGCATGCAAGTTGAAACTTACAGTGCACACTCGTCATGCATACCTGACTCGGTCATTTTTAAGGTGCCATTAATGAGGACTACCCTTTAAAGACGCCTTGACCAATATTTTACAAAAGTGGTATCATGGATATTATTCATCAATTTCTCATTTACCCCGCTTGCAATTACAATATTATTCTAATATGTGTATTTAGGGATATGTGCAGTATTATGCCCGCAACTATAGTTTAATTAGAGCGAACTTATGTTTGGTATGCAATTTGTCATAAAGTTTGGCACATCTATTTATCTAATTATCGTCAAACGTGTGTAATCGAGTACCACGCCCTTCTGGAACCAATACCCATGCACATATTATGTATCTATTTAATTGATTGACTAATATCTTCAACATATTTATGTAGCTCGTCATTTCCAAGAAATAATTTTGTAATACTCTTTGCTGTCAGTCATTTACAAGATGGGGACCATTGAAGTTGAAAGTAGTTTGAAACAAAGCCCTACGCAATACCCTATTTATTTTTACAAATATCTTATCAATGGGGGTTACTACTTCTTTTTGGTACCTTTTAAACTTTCCACCTCTGATAAATCTTCAAATTTGGAACTTCAGAGAAACCCAAATCATAAGGTGCGCTTTCCTAAATTCTGTAAATTAAATAAAAATGATGTTTGTACATTTCTAACGATAAGTACTTATAATTATTACAGTTACTTTGTGCGGTTATGACTTTCCTGGTCATTTATGAACGTATAATGTCGGTTGTGGTTTTGCACGTTTGGAGACAGTTTGAAACAAGGACAAATTTAATACATTTGCTTACTTTTATCGTTTCTATCATCATTGCTCTCGCCATGAGGTTCATCCAAGAGCTTGTCTTTATTAAGTAGCTTCAGCTACTTTATGTGAAGACTTTGTCTGTCTGTCTGTCTGTCTGTCTGTCTGTCTGTCCGTCTGTCTGTCAGCAGGATATCAGGAGAACGGATCGAGATAATCGAAATCGGTTTTCGCCATCATACATAGGACCCCAGGGGGAGGATCCTATCAACTTTTGGGGGCAACCGGACCACACCCCCTTTGGCGACAGGGGGTGTGGTTGGGGCAAAATGAGATTTTTAGTGCAATTTAATCTATGGGTAAAATTAGGTGAAATTGAGTGAAATTAAATTAAATTAAGTGAAATTAAGTGAAATTAAGTGCTTCCCCGATTGTGCCACACCCCCTCGGCCCCAGGGGGTGTGGTTGGGGCAAAATGAGATTTTTAGTGCAATTTATTCTATGGGTAAAATTAAGTGAAATTGAGTGAAATTAAATGAAATTAAGTGAAATTAAGTGAAATTGAGTGTTTCCCCGATTTTGCCGCACCCCTTCGGCGCCAGCGGGTGTGGTTGGGGCAAAATGAGATTTTTAGTGCAATTTAATCTATAGGTGAAATAGAGTAAAATTATGTGTTCCGGAGTTGTGCCACACCCCCTAGGCGCCAGGGGTGTGGTTGGGGCAAAATGAGATTTCTATAAAAAATTAATCTATAGATGAAATAGAGTGAAATTAAGTGTTCCCGAGTTGTTCCACACCCCCTCGTCGCCAGGGGGTGTGGTCGGGGCAAAATGAGATTTTTACAAAAAATTAATCTATAGGTGAAATAGAGTGAAATTAAGTGTTCCCGAGTTGTGGTGGGACCGTTTGGGGTGAAGTACGTCTGAAGCTACTTCCGTATGCGCGTTTGCGACGGTTTATTAATTCTAAGGCCAGCACTGTACTCAAGGTACATATGTGAGCCTGATTGGTTTACGATATTTCTATTTATTTTCATGAAAACATATGTATATTCGAGCCTAATGAAATTCAATGTATTTGTGCAGATAAAACGGATCTCGTTTGCGTTGGTCCTAATTCGCTATGTTGCTGCACTCTTTGAGCAACTAGTGTTTCTTGATTTGAATGATTTTTCTACTAATTTCCTGGAATCCGTTTTTACCCGATTTAGGGACACATCAATTAAGATGTATTTGATGACAAATCCTACAGAAAACATTGCTTGGTATTGTCGGATAGCTGCAATCATGTTTCACAGCGTCGCGCTTATTCCGTCAATTTTCATCTGTTATTCGGTTGAATCTGCGGCTATGTCATTAATTGCTTGCACGCACTATATTGTTAAGGACTTTGTGGCTTATTACAAAAGCAAGTTGCGGGACATCGAACAGCATTCAGAATCTGATGTGCCCAAAGTTGAATTATATATCACACAGGTAAAGACTTCCTTATCTTATTCGATGTTTTTAAGAGTATTTAATTATGTGGTAAATTTTGAAAAAAGATGTTGGACGCCTACGAATCACTTCGAAAAGTTTTCAGGATGTCCAACGCCGTTTTTGGAATGCTGCTTATAGTAAATTTTCCAATATGCCTACCGATTCACGTTGGATTTATGGGATTCTATTTAAAAGGAGAGATCGCCGATAAAAGTTTGCTGATAGTCATGATTTTATACTACATAGGCTTCTTTAGTCAACTTATCATAGCATCTGAGACACACAGAAAGGTTAGTAATTCCATGTGATTTTTTTTCATGAGATGAATTAATTATATTTATAACTGAAATACAGATTGTTCAATTTTATTCTGTGTTGAATCAAACGCCGTATTTGAGAAACAATCCAGCACTGTCGACTAAAACCATGCTTTCACTTTCCCATGATCTAAATTTAACCACGATGAGTTTATCTGGAGGAGGATTTTTTAACATGACTTACAATTTCACAGTTACGGTAATTTTATGTTTCAAAACAAGATAACAGATCAGTTTGGTGCTTATGTGGGGTGGATATTTGCTCATGCAGGCAATCGGCGCATTTGTGACATATACGATGGTTGTCGTCCAATTTTCCGACGTTAGCCCGTCTCCTAACCTCAATTCTACTGCGTACTAACAATAAAAGAAAGTCCAATATAATTGAGTCATAGTTCACACACAAATGGACAGTTTTTGATTTGTTCGTAAATCTAGAATTATGTTAACACCAATTCTGCATTAAAATATTATTTGCACATTCGTTAGGAACGACGCAATTAATGTAATGTCATACTTATCAGTAAGTAACCTTAACCAAGCACAAAATCTATCGGATGATGCACTTTTCTCTTTGTACGATTAATATGGCCATGATTAGCACTAGAAGGTCAATTTTACTTATAATTAATCTGAATGATATACTTATGACTTAGGATAAATTTTCATGTTTCGCAGTTTAGCTTAGCAGCGAATACTTATTACAACTTGTCGTCTTCTCATATTGAAAATGAAGAAACATTCAATTACTTCCAGGGATAGTTATTTAAGCGTAGATTTACTCAAAAATGGCAACACCAGTAATTTCCAATCTGTTGTTTGTCATGCTGATACTCCACAAGGCTCGAAGCCCTTCTCAATCCCGTTCATAAATTATTGGAAAGGCTTTTTCGCTTTTGGGTACTTTACATTAATCATTCCATTTCGACTCAAGAAAAATGACCAAACTGGAAAACTAGAAATGCATTCTTGTTGGTTACAAAAGGTAGTTTGAAATTCGTAATCTTTGAACGTTCTTAAAATTCATAATGCTCACTTCACCTGAACTCATTTGCAATAACAGATTCTTTGTGCAATGATGCAAACTGTGCTACTATTCGATTTCACTTCTCTGTTCTGGTCTACCTATTGGAGTGCTTCAAAGGACAGCAATTTTAGTTATTTTACTTCTCTTACCTATATTGGATACGTGGCTTACCACATCTCACTCAACTACACTTTCTGGTTCAAACAACCTACATTTTGTTCCGTGTTTGATAAGTTGCAAAATTTAACATTTTACTCTGAATTTTCTGCAAGAAAAAGCAAAACTTTTGTAAGTACTTAAAAACAAGACATGAAAATACTGATAGCTATGCATTAAAATATTTAGTTGGCAATAAATGTTTCATGTGCACACAATTTATGTAATATTTTAAACAGATGAAAGTGATATCCATTGGATTTTGCGCCATTATCTTGCTGATGGCCTTGACCGAGTCGACCTTAGTGAACAACTTGTATGTCCACGCGGACCTTAAACTTTACTACGAATATCTCTCACAGAAGGCTCAGCTTCATTTTCTATTCATCAAACCCGGAAATGTTTCAAAAGACGGATTTTGCTTTCTCCCAATTTTTGTCACCGTAATTCAGATCGTTGTTTTACTTCCGTCACTCATTTTAGTCCCATTTTTGGATGTATTTGTGCTTCTGATACCATTTTCAATCTGGCGAATGATGTGTGGGTTTCAAAGATATTACACCATTACCATTGGCGGCCCCATGTCAATGGAGAAGGTGGGTCCCTTATGATAGTGAATCTAAATACTCGTTGTACATATGCATGTACTTCTAAATGAATTACTTGCAGATTTTACGAAAGTATTGGATGATAAAAAGTTTGCTGAAAGACGTTAACAAAGCCGTTGGATTGATCCTTTGCTGCTGTGTCTCGGTCTCCCTTCCGTATTATGCGACCTGGAGTGCCGTCACATATTTTAAGGAAAACGTGCACTCCGTAACCCTTCTTCATGTATACGGATTCTTTATCGTGTTTTTTCTCACTCTCATCTTAGCTGCTGATATCAACAAGAAGGTAAAAGATGTATAATTCCTCACAAAATTACATATGCACATATGTCATCGAAATCATTGCGTAACGTTGAAGTTAAAATATATGAACTTATTGAAAGGGAATGGAATTTTATTCATGGATAAACAACCAAGGCGTGTCTACTAAAATTTTAACTTCCTTACTCGTGGACCTTAATTCCAACGAAATTGCTTTGAAAGGAATAGGATTTCAAGTTTCATATCGATTTCTGGGGACGGTAAAACAAATAAAATGATACAAATGTACATATATGCCTCGATAATAGTTCTTTCTGAGTGAACCTATTAAACTCATGACAGATCCTTGGAGTAATTATCACCTACTCGATAATTACAATACAAGTGCAACTATCTCGAAAAGGGTTTGAAAACACAGAATGCAATTGTTCTGTAGTGAATGTGTGAATTAATAACAATGGTAAATGCTTAATTGCACGGTTTGTAGCGTGTTTGTAGCTTAATTACTAATTATTAAAAGCCATTAAAATTTAAATCATCTTTGAATTGGATTCATACATGTTTAACTAACACGACATACCATTTGATTACTATACTATTCCCAATAAATGTAGGAATTAGACGGAAAGTAAGGCGTTGATAGTGATGTTAATGACAGTCTGACATATCATCAAGGGCGTGGATTTGTCAATAAAATTCCCCACTTTCACGTGTATGGGTTGCATGGATTTTAGAATTTTTCCAGTCAAACGTAACCCTTGGATTTTCCAGGACTGAATTACACGTGTAGACTCTTCGTGCAAATCTCCCAACTTTCGGGACATGAGACTGAGATACAGAAGAGCCAAAGCTGCTACGGCCCCCATGACCACAGCCCTCAACCCTGGAAGCCGAATGGAGCCGTACGACCCAACAATAAAAATGCATGAAAAAAGGGCACTATGTGCAGGCACCCAAAAATCTTGGAAGCAACTATTAAAGCTGTTTTGTAGCACTTGGTAGGATCGATAACGCTTGAAAAACGTCTGTACGACATTATTCACAGAGAAGACAAACATGAATTTGTCCTTTTTATTATACTGCATTGGTAACATTCTGAAAGTTAAAGAAATTGACAACAATCTATTAAAGGAATCGATTTTGCTGCATTATTGCAACAATTTGCTTCAATTAAATTACTTGCCTCAAACTTTTCAACACTTCGGATCCCACATATGCGTATATGCATTTAGTGAACACAATAAATGCAACGCTTGCCCAAGCGTTAAGGTAAAGCCAAATTTGTAGCAAAAATAGTAAATTGTACGCAAATTTGGACCGAGCTTCGGGATGGTCGATTATCATGGAAGTGAGATAATATGGTCGCTCTGGATGCTTCCACATGATGACGACGTTTTGAAGGATGGCCAAAAATCCGACAAATACAACACATTTTAAAAATGTTTCACACCCGTCCTTGCAATTTTTGGATGAACTTTGGTCATTTCCTGTGAATGTTGCGTAAAAAAATTATCATCACGCTTATGATAATTGATACTACTGCATAGATGGGGCATATATTTATATATTTACTTGGGATCCTGGTAAAGTATGCAATGAATCCATTAATCAGATTTGGAATTTCCTCCCATTGTTGATAAATCTGAATTTGAGCGATCCAAGGAGAGGAATAACAAGACATGTTCCAAAAGAGTTGTATTATCAGTTGCATGGAATCTAGTCTGTGTAATGCAAGGATGAGTTTAGTCAGGAGAAAGCCGACGTGAAAACTCACGGCTGTAAAACTAAATATTTTATAAATTTGATAGAAAGGAGACAAAGGATACGTAAAAATTTTTATTTGTTTAGATTCTGAAAGTGTTTTCCATTTGTAAGGAGCGACACCGAGATAGTACACAAGTAATGTAGCCTGTAGATAAAGACGAGACGTTCCCGGCGAAAAAATTGTATTTTCAATATTTTGACACATCTTCACCTCTTGCAGGGATTGATCTATACTTACTTTGATAGTAAATAATGGTACTGGAACATAACTTGTATTGCTTACACAATACATACATACTCGACACAACAATTAAATAAAAACCATTAATCGAGAGGGGTTCATTAATGGCTGTATAATTCTAGCAATTAATCAATTTCCGACTGTCGAAAAACATACAACTAGTATTTTAGTGGGTTAGCAATTAAAAAACATCCACTCTTAAGTCCAACAACAAGGTACGAATCAATTATAAGTGTTATGACGTCTACTTTATAGGAAGTATAGTCCTTTTAAATACGTATATACAAGTTTGACAATGGTAACAAGTTCAGGTACAGTAATAATTAAGTCGTGCAGTTTCATCCACCGGGTTTTTTATCCTTCATTCACATAATTAACGAACCTGCAAAAATTAATTGAACAATTCAAGAATTATTTTACTATGCATTAAAGTGTACGTAGCACGTGCACAAATACCTCGGATCATACAGCTCAACTCGAGATCTGATAATGTTTGGGCCATAAATTGTACAGAGCTCTTTTAAGCAAGCCCTCCCGGCAGCAGCAGTCATTGAATTTTCGCATTCCTATTAATGATATATTTCATTTAAACCTTGAAACATATTTAATGTTTCGCTATTAAATATAAGCAAAATATACACTAAATTATGAAATACGCACAATGCTATAGAATATAGGCTCAAAGCACTGTTGCAAATATTCCTTAAAGGGTCGTTTCCCAATGCCATTCACAATACAAGGGATAATCTTGCAGGTCGTTTCTAAAATAACAACGTGCTGAGAGTATGAGCGGTGCTGCGCTGCCTTCAGTACTAGAGGAACTAGAGTTGGAAGATAAATTTGACATTCTGAGATTTGCGAAATGTCTCCAATCAGATACATGAATCTAGAAAGTAAGAATTATACTCATATAAATTGTTCATAACTCAAACATGCATTTTTTATGCTCACCCATCACCCACTTCCCATGGTTGAGGAGGGTTTGCCTCATGGCAAGGAGAATAAGCATATTTCTAAAGCAAATAAAGTACGCAATTTTAAATCTCTTGTAAATTCTAGTGATATGGTATCACTACTATATAGTAGTAAGTGATTATTGCTTACCAATTGAGGATTGAATACTTGAAGGTCAACATTCACACTAGTTTCAGAAGATTGGTTTTCTATCCCATCAAGTCCTGCAATAATTTTTTCCATGATCATTGGAAGTACAGCTGTCCCATACGCTCTAATTATATTAGCGAGTGCGGCTGCGGCACCTTGTCGAACAATGGAGATTGGGAATTGGAGGTTTTCAAAAAATAGAGGAAACACTGACTCCAGAAGACCCTGACATTGACTGGGAAAATTTACAAAAAATGATCCAGATGCTAAACACGCAGCATCTCGAACATGCCATCTTTCATCGAGAAAAGTCCGTTTCAGTGTTTCCATCAATCCCACAACGTACGGTGCTACAATTTTTCCATCAATTTTTCTAGCAATTTCTCCCAAACACAAACAGGCTGCTTCTCGAACTGACAAGAAAAAAATTATTTGATGTACTTTAAAATTCTCTCATTCAAGTCAAAATTGTCAGTACAACTACATTTTTATATCAAAATATTATAATACTGTTCTACTATTAAATATTGTTAGTGGTTCAAGAAACAATAATTACCAGCATGATTATCAGAAGCAGTCGCTTCAACGTAATAACGAACCTGGAATATAATTGATGAAATTTGACGTTTAATATATGCCAAACCAAAGCATTTGTCAATGACGAACACATGCATATATGTATTACATAATACTACATATTTACCATGTCATCAATGTATTTTCCAACTAGCTGTGGTCCGTCCATAGCAAAGATCAGCTTCCACGACTCTTGAGAGTACAAGAGGAATTTTGTATCGGCCATGTAGTATCGACACAAGCAAAGCCGGGGAAGTACGATTGGCAAAAATTCTGTGCAATCTTGAGGTAGATTCATCATAAATTTTCGGCACGCCACACCTGCCGCAATTCTTGACTGGCTGCAGAAATCTTCGAGGCCCGATGTTATTTCTTTTGCGAGACGTTTCCCAAATGATTTTAAATCAATACCTAACAAATAAGTTATTATTGTATGCGTTAAACCCTTCATGCAATCAAATGTACATGTGTGTGATAAAAACTGATACCTGATTCAATCATCGTAGCACATAGATAAAATCCAGCCTCTCGAATAAACCGATTCTGATGGTGGAGAGAAGGGAAAATTAATTCCAGCAAGTGCATATCAATCAAAGGACCAAACTGAGTTCCAAGACCTGAAAGGACGCGTCCAAAGTTATCGATAAGAAATCTAGTTCTGGACACTTTACTCAATTATCAACTACTATATCAAAATTTCCCGTACCCTTCGCAATAAACTGCAAACATTTTAATGTGCTCTCTAGCTGTGCACATCCGAGATTCATTGCAACATCAATTGGTGCAGGAGCTCCTGGGGATGATGCAGATTGGAAAATATGTGTTGCCTCTTTGAGTACATCGCACAGCATAATATTTGGATTGGAAGGTGTTGTTACAGGACTCATCCCCAGTTGTGGACTGGACGACGATGATGAACTATGTGGTTCTGAGGAAGCGATTTCTCCCGTTGGGTCAATCGGAGTTTCTGGACTCTTGATCATCCCTTCAATCTCTTTATTCCGCTGAAATTCTGTTTCCAACATTTCCAAAATAGCTGATTTTGACTCCAAGTATACAGATGGTCCAAGGATTTTGCATATTTGACCATACACTTCACCTAGAACAGCAAAGTGTAAAATACATTTTGTTCAATGGTCCTTCGACGAAGGACATCTTTCAAAATATGTAGCTTAATTACCCGCAGTCAACCGAACTCTTACGTCTTGATCCCACATGATGTTTAAGATATCCGGCTTAATTTGAATTACAAATTGATGTATTTGTTCCTGCTCCACGTCGGAAATTCCAGTAATGAGAATCAATGAGGCAGACAAGCAACCCAACTTTTTGTCTGAAAAGTGTCCATTCATTACGCACTCCTTGTTGCCCAACTCGGTGAAATTCGACGCTATCTGACTTCGGAGCAATTTTATGAGATGTTTCCTCTCTCCTTCGTCGCAGTTGACACCTTTAACAAGTCTCGTGAGCATGGCGAGTCCACTGTCCCGATCCATTTTAACTGCGCTGGTCAACTTGTCCATAAACTTGTCAGCAGGGGGATATTCCTCCACGGCAGATGCCATGATGATGTCCCCGGGCGGTCAGAATATCGAGTTCGCGTTCAAGCCACCGGTGTTGACCTGTTCTAATGTCTAATTCGAAACGCATGCAAAAAGTTAAATAATGAAATATAGATACTTCAACATTCCATGAGCCTACATATTTGAACAGTACGCAAATAAAAAAACAAGGACAATAACAAACCTGTCAAAATTCGCTGTCACAAAGAATCCTTCAATATCAAACTTTGATTCCCACACTGCAAATTACAGTCCAGTAATTAGTTAGCGACTGTGCATTATTATTAATTGACTTGAGCTGCGAACTTTAAGAATTTGACGGAGGTCCATACATACATTGCAACAGAACTCCCGCTACATGGCATCGAGGGTAGAAAATACGTCTCATGCACGTAAAAGTTGGAGAAAGTCGTCCACACTCACTTTTCTCCTCTCAAGTCAAAACTCCATGTATTTCGTATTTGCATTTTGTCCATGCGTGTAAATTGCAATTGTCTAATGTGTCCTACATTGTGGTGTCGTTAAACACCTCGCATACATCAATTTAATGATGTTATTTGGAACCCGATGCTTTCACCATGTCATGAATTAAATTAGCATCCCATTACACTAATTACTTTTGCTCTGGTCCATTTAATTTGGATTCTCATGTGGAATTAAAATTGCATATAATCATAGTAAAATAAACTCGTAGTTGCATCAGTTGCATGCACGTAAGTATTCGTGACAAGTTGGAAAATTCTATAAAAAAAGTTCAACGTGTGTCAGAGTCAGAACTTTCTCAGTTCCGTATTATTTTGGTGAAAGTTAAATGTCATCTTGTTGATTGGATCGAAACGAATGCTTAGAATTTTATAGGTGTAGCATGCAATCTCTCGATTAATGATATTTCTGACGCACAAAATTTTGTGGTTGTACGGTGCCGAGAGGAATTTTTCATTTAAACGCCGGATGAGGAAGTCGTGGTCTGCTGGTTTGTTGGGTTGAACCGAAAGCGGAGCGGAGTGAAAGCAAATCCACTTTCCATTCCGTTGTTGCTCGTCCTTGAATACGACGACGTGTTGTACACGGTTGCTGCTGCAGTTTTTTTGCTGAATTTTATTAGGGCCAACAACTGTACTTTTTTTTATAAAAATGCACTGCAGGACTTGAGACGGTCGATATTTTTGCGCAAACATAGTTTCGCAGTTCCAATTCAGAATCTTTTGGCTGACTTATTTTTATTGCAACATTTCAACATAAAGTGTATTACAGTTTCTTCATTCAAAGGTTAAATGTATTTAGACGGGACAATAATTTTCACTTTAAATTCTTAAAATCTATAACATTCATCGTCTCATGGCCCTCCTTGCATTACACGGAGTTCATTTTCGCAGCCATGCCAAACCTGGGAAAGGAGACATTGGATTCTTTGATAGTGAGATTCAACTGGACAACAACGTATTCCAGCCATACGGCACAGTCAGTGGGAGGCTCATTGTCAACACGAACAACGAGGTGGTTTGTCACGGTAAGCCTCAAGCACACAAATAAATAATTAAAAAGATATCACAATCACAAAGAGAATTCATTTCGGAGAAAACTACATAGAAAAACACAGTCGGTGAATTGTGCATGAATGTATGTAGATATGCATGTAATGTGGACTGTGAAGTGCCGACGGGTTGAGAAAAGTCTTCTCAACCCCGATTCGTTGGACTTACATATGTATATTGCAAATTGGAAATTATCGATTTGGTTGCTCACAAAGTTGTTCATTTTCTAGTATGCACGACAGCAAAATATCAAATATTGCAATACAAGTTAGTGTAGTGCTGGTTGTTGTTAGTTGTAGAAAGATATTCATGTCGAAAGATATTCTAAAGTCCAGGAAAAAAATTACTGCATCACTTTTTTGTCCTGGTTAACCAAGTCGCAAATTATACAGAAATTGCAATGGCTAGTATTGGGGCCACGCTGGCAGGGCTTTCTGCAGGTGGAAGATTATGTAAACCTGCCAAGGGAGATCATTTTGGGCAGTTTGATTGTGAAATTGAATTGGACAAAATTGTTGCAAAGCCGTTTCAAAGAATTTTTGGCCAACTTGTGATTTCCAATTTGAATGAAATTCGATGTTTTGGTAATGCTTAAAAGTTATAAAGCACGTACATATATATAGATGCATACCTCTAACTTTTCTGTTGAGTTGATATCCCTAAACCTGTCTTTCCATAAACTGAAAAATTCTAAAACCAAAAAGGAGAAAGTTTTCAATTTTTGAAGGATCAGGTCCATGCAGCTTTATAATCAGAAACCTGAGATTTTGCATTCTGGATATGTATGAGAAAACTTTTGTGCAATAACGATGCCAAATATGGGATAAACCTTTAGTTGAAAGATTTAGCAATATTTCCCAATTATGTGCAAAAAAAATATTTGTTGGAAACTCAGTTTTTTTAGCTCAGACAATTCGGTTGAATTCTATAGATGGAAATAATGAAATTATATTGTGTAATTTTGCTGCAGGTATCCGGGTACAGCTAGACGCTATTGTAAATCTCAAGTTTGACACAAAAGTGGATAACAGGCTTAGTAATCACAAAAAAATAGAAGGAATACTTCAAGATGCACTCGAACCAGCTGAAGGTTATTACATTGCTTCACCAGTTCTGGAAGATTTGTCGAATGGTAAAATTTTTCATGAACCAACGAATATTTGAGCAAGTAAATGTGCATAATTAAACTGGTCCCACCTGCTCACCCACAGATGACGAAACCTCGACGAGACTCGTAGTCCTACAGCCAGGAACTTATACATACCCCTTCGTATTAACAATGCCTGGAGAAACCTTACCGGCCCCTTTTAGATCACAGTATGGCAACCTTCACTACAAAATAGTGGCTTACATGGCATCTGCCTTTTGCTACGTCCAAGTTGCAGAAAAAGCTTTGAGATTTAAAGGATACAACAATCTGAACCAACTGCCCAATTATTTGGAACCAATCAAGAATGAGTCGGGTTTCCAAACGTCCATGTTTTCAAAAAAGAAAGTCATCACGGCAATCATGACTCTGAACAAGCGTGGCTTTCTCCCAGGAGATGATTTACCCTTCGTATTGAGCATTATCAACCCGAAATGGTTTGTGGTGAGGAAGATTTCCGTGAACCTGGTACGACGGGTTATCTACAATGTAAATGGAGCCACCAAAACAACCCTTGTGAATTTGGATTCTTTCGAAAACACCGAGATTAGCAAAGATGATGAGATTTACTGCGAGGGAAAGCTGAGCATACCGAGAAATTGTATGCCCACATACAACGCAAAACCGGTTTACTCTGTCATACATTTGATCCAGGTAATCTTTTATAAAATGACATAGATAATTAGTGTCCATTTATAGAAAACCAAATACCATTTATTATTATGTTCATGCAGTATCAAGTGAAAGTTGCCGAGTATCCTGGACCCATGAAGGGGCAGCTGGAGGTTGTGATTGGCACGACGAAGGAGTCTGTGGAAACTTTGATGAGTCGAAGAATGAGCAATTTGCAGGTGGAAGACAATCCGTATCCAGCCACAACCAGGGAACGGTCCAACTCCACCGTTTCGAGATTGTCAGACTGTTCTGTAGTGACCACGACGTCAATGCCACCAAATTACTCGCAACTCAACTCCCGAGCAGTGAGTCTCCTCTCTCTCGACACATGTAAGACTCGAGTCATGTTTCAGAAATTGACACTATATTCGTATTTCATTTTGTTCAATTGTATAATATTTGTATGCAAACGTATGTAGTGCCCCCACATTACGACGACTTGATGTAACAAAGGGGTCTCTTCTATCTACACACGGATTTCAGCTCTCTCGATCTGCCTTACTTTCTTGCCTAATAACAATTCCATCTGTACCTGCATGTAATTTGATGTAACGACTATTCTTGCGTGTTCAACCTTTTGTTCCCCACAAGAGAATCTTTTGGGGACATTTAAACAATTATGCGATATGAAGAATGCCACGTTTCATGCTTTCTCAAATGCCTTCAATATAAAGCATGCTCATACATATGACCACATAAAAATTTCTAACTCAACTTCTTACATAATTTTACTTACATAATTACGATAATGATATCTCCTTAATTAACAAATTTTGCTATATTCATGCTTATCTATATTGCTCATACTTTTATTATAATGGTTCAAAATAAATTAACTTATTCAACATCTTATCAATCACCAATCCCCTTTATTCATGTAATTCTTTTTATTTTCTTTGTGGATGCTTCAAATTTTCTAGAAATGCGTATTCATTGAATGTTATTTTTCCATCCTTATTTCTATCTGCTCGCGTCCACCTACGATTAATTCTCTCAGGGGTGTAGTAATTCGTACGATGTTTATGTAAAACTGCTGTCATCTCACCCTGTCAATCGAATCATTAGAAATTTGAAACCAAAAAGAATATGCTCATTGAATCAAGCGTATGCTCAGTTAGTACTTCATTACCTTTGTAATAATCCCATTGGAATCCAAATCCACATCTCTAAACTCTTTCCTCGTGGAATCGGTAACTAATTCGGATTTCGCTTCTGAATCTCCTCCCAAATAATTTATCGTCCAATGGTAAAAGTCACCATCCGAGGAGTTCACATCCAATTTGTAAAGCAGACCCCATAATTCTTCCAAATTGATCCACTTTTGTTGATGATTGACTTTGATTGATGCTACCAAATCTTCCCGTGATCTCTCGTCCATGAGGACGTCCTCTTGCACGGATTTGTACAACTCTGCTGTCTTTATTGCCATTCTAATCTCTTTCTACAATAAAATTGTAGATAATAAATTCACTTTCTCTCTGTTTGCGTGCTTTGGTGTAACTAAGATTAGTGTGTACTTTTATGTATTTTTATATACCCAGGTCAGCTTTCCGTTCATATCTTCATCAAAAAGTTGGAAAATTTTTACCAAATAAAATGAATACTTTTGTGGATTCTCGCCAACAAACGATTTTATCCAGTAAGTAAAATCAGGGTCTTTCTCAAACATTTTTAGTTGTAAGTTTCCACTGATAATTGAATGTAGGCTAAACCTCAGTTCGTAAATGTCTATAACAGAGTCGAGATTCTCGTCCAAATAAGAAAGATATTTATTTGCCCTGTCCACAGCTTCGGCATCTCCTAAAGGCCTGCTTGAAGATATTTTAATATGTGGAGCCAACTCGTCCTAAAAGCATATCTCTGTAATTATTAGTTTAATTATTGTCAGGATTTTTAGCAATTGTGACAATTTATGAATTTACTATAAATAAGTAATCCGTCTCATCCGTGTCCATTTCTGAGAAGTGAAAGTTTATGGAGTCACTGATGAAGACAGCTTCCATTCCACTTTCACCTGGGGGGAAACATTTTTATTTAATTTTCATAATATATCATGCAAAATTTATCTAAACAGTAAAATTTTCGCATTTTATACAATGTTGCCTGTGTGAATTTTCGCCATGTCCAATTTTACATGTGCTTCCCTGTTGTTCCCAATTTGAAGATTCATTAGAAGCCGTTGGAAGAACGAACGCCACAAAGATAACTAATACTAGAGTGCTCAATAACGAGTGCAGTTTATGCATATTTAATTATTTTACAAGGAGGAATAAAATTTAATTAAACCAGTGTTACGTTAAATTATAAAATGGAGTGGAGTCAAAACTAACGTGCATGGGAGAGATGTTTCTCTCCACAACATTACAACGATGATGAAGATGAGCCCTTATCTAATCAATCTGTTTGTCATACATAAGAGCATCATGTGAAATTTAGATTCAACGACTAGTGGTTCTCAGCCATCCAGACGGACAATCTTGTTGCGTGCACCTTATCCTTCATACTTATTTACTCACTCATGTTTTTATCAACTAATATATGGACATAAGTTACCATGCTATGCTATTTATGATCATCAAACGATTCAAGATTATTGCAGACATTTTTAAAAATGTACTACTTGTAAATCTGTCATATTTCCTCACTCCGCATGAATTAAATTTTTACTCGTCTAAAAATTGCCGTATTGGGTACAAGAATGCGAAGAATGCAAAATGCATACCGTGGATGGGGTAATGGAACATGAAAAGTCTTGAATAAGCAATTGCGGTTCTTGATCGTGGAATTAAAAACCAGACTTTTTCTTCATCTGTAATGCAACTGGCATTGTTATTTGTTAATTGTATTTTTCCCAAGTTATCCTCGCCTGATTCAGTAAATATTTTTAAATATCTTTAACTTCAATTAAATAATTCCATTTTGACTTCCGTTTTGAAGTCGTTCTTGAATTGGAAATGTAAGTTGATTGGTTTTCCTATCGTATTTTTAAAATTGCTTCACATTTGTTAAAAAATAAAAGAACCTTCTAAAAGTAAGTGAAAATAGAATAACTATAAAAATAATGTGTGTATTTCTAGGTCCTCGTAATTTTAGAGTTTTTCTCTAAAAACCGCAGGTCTCGGGCATGCAAAATACCTTTTCCAATGGACGGACATTAGCTTGTTGGTAATAAAAACTGGATTTTTATTTATTTTCTACTACTGATTTTTATGGTTGATAAGTGCTCGAGTAGGCTACTACATTTCTGCATAATATTTTGTAAATTAATTTAGATATCAAGTACAAATGGATCTAGATGGTATTAAAAATATATGCATGATAAGGTTACTTGGTTAGTATAACAATGCAGATGCAGATTTGTTTGCATGAGGGAAAAAGAATAAGATAGCTCATCTTTAATCAATGGGATGAATAGGAAACCTTATTAAGCTTTAGATACATTGTCATCATCGCGCATGCAGATCATGACGCAAGTCTGAATTACACACGAACTAAGGACTGGAGTTTTTTGCCAGTCTGGTTTACTCCCCGAAAAGCAATACTATAGACCATCCTTCACACTTTTTGCACCCATATATCTCTCTCCATGTAAAATTCGCACAGTTGTACCTGATCTCCGATTCTGTTACCACCTGTGTTTTCTTAAAAAATACAACTCAACGATGTGACTTTATTTCATTTTCTCGGACAATGATTACTATTGTTGGGGGTATGCAATTTTTAAAGATTTGACACTAATTTGTACACCCTTATCTATTTTGTAGGTGGAGTGTCACAATTGGCCATGCAATCGTTTTAGCATTCTGCAAGCATGGCCAATTCTAGTGCGAAATCAAATTATGATTATAAAAAATTGGTAGTTGATGACCCCGAGGATCCATACTATGTTCAAGTGGGAGGAAATAATGGGAAGGAAGCAGGAGGTCTAAATGAAACTACACGTCTCGTCCCCTGGCACGTTATCCGAATTCCTTTCCGACATTTTATCAAAGTTGTGATATCCCTCCCACTAGGAGCGTTCATTTTTTGCGTGTTCTGGGCCCTGTATACAGATTACGATAGGGCTACCACAGTCCTCTGCACTCATGACATGAACAAACCTGTCCGAAATTATTTGCCTTCGGTAAGTATATTCATTGAGGTTTTAAATTGAATAAAGTCTGTGCTTGAGCGTAACTCTTTTTATGTGTATATTTAGCTATCTGCTGCAATTGGAGATTTCCAACCGTCTCAACAAATCTGGAAGGCGTGTATTATTATCCACGCACCAGGAAGATTTTTATTTGCTTCCATGTACCTGACGTACCTGAAAAAAGTGATTGTTCCTCAAAATGTAAAGTGGGCAATTCTTGCCTGTTTGTTTCATGTGATCGAAATTATCGGTTTAATCGGATTGACCGTCGTTACATCGAAACACAACTTATTCGTGCATGCAGTTAACTTTGGGCTGTTTGTGGTATTTTCGCAGTTGTACATGATAATATTATGCATGCTCTTGTCAGGTTGTCGAAAAGTGGAAATGAACAGACTGGAACAAAGAGGTTTAATTTTAAAAAGGATATTATCAAAGGTGGCCATTATATGTTCGGTATTGTTATTTGTAACTTATTATAGGCACGAATCTCGATGTGAGGAAGGAATGTATACAATTTTTGCGTTGTTGGAGTATACAGTTGTCCTTGCTAATATCGGTTTCAATGGGTCAGCTTATTGGGACTTTTACGATAGAATTATTGTCGTGGACTTTTTTCGTCCTTGTAAAATGCCAACGTATAAGTATTCGTGGGACTATTAAAATTACTTATTCCACTATTGCCTTAATTTTAGTCCTCCGTGTATAATGCTTGAAAGTAAATATTATACTAGTGCAAATATGCTTATATATTTTGTTATAATCTCTAAATCTGTGATACTCGATAATAAATGTTATAAACTATTGTCGTCATCTCTCGTAAATTGAATCAATCACATCGCAACACTTGCCTTTATTTTCATTTGCTTGATTTGATTTGATTGACTCCATACAATCAATTCCTTCCGTGATATGAGAACATTTGTCGCTCACTTAATTGATTAGAAATAGTGTGGACTTTTACTTAATAGAGAACCATTACTTATTCGCCATGTACTTTTTGGTAATTTTGGTGCATCATACTGTTTCAAACCACCGATGGAGGCTCAGGCTGCTTTAAGTTCAAACCCCCAAGATTTACGGAGAAAATCAGCTAATGGGTATCTCCGTAGCATCATCTGTAAAAGCCTGTTTATTTGGCCCAGAAGGAACACGACAGATCCTTCCAGAAAAGCGTCTGGAATTACCGAAGCTTCAGAGAAAGATAAGTAATTTTCTCAGCTTATTATTTGCATAAGTACTAACTTACCTAATGCATATTTTAATTCATGCAATGCATATGTACATATGGCTGGACAGCCTGAAAATCGAGCGAAGAAAGTGAACAAAGGGCATAATGCATCTATACAAATGTGGTTCATGATTTTGCCTTTCATCCCAATTGTGGCTCTAGTTTTTCAAAATCTTGCTAACCTTAGAACAGTTTTAAACTATCAAGCAGAAGTTCAAGATGTCCAGAAACAAGTTGTCGTGGCTGGTGACATTGCAAAGTTAATTTCTCAGTTGCAGTGGGAGAGGTCTGAAGTTGCATTTTACATTTTTTTAAATGGCACAACAGTTAGGTAATTAATGATTATGTTGAATTGTACCATTAAATTACTGATAATTTTTATGAAAAATACCAAATGATATGTAGATCTAATCTGACGACAAGATTTAGAAAAACTGATTCTTGGTTAAACAAAATTCGACACTGGCCAGATCGTGGGTTAGGAAATGATTCAACGTTTCAAACCAAGTCGACATTCCTTGAAAGAATGCAACAATTTCGGTACTGAAAAGGATCAGTTGTAATTAATTTTAAGACCTCGTGTTCAAATTATGTTTTATAAATATTGTTTAGCTCACGAATTTCGGAAAATGGAACGCACATGTATCAAGTGATTGAATATTATACCACGAGTAATCAAGTAATGCTGAATTACTTGACAAACGAGATCAAGGAGACCAAAAATTCTGATGTCTGGCGGTATATAATTCTTTCTGAATGAGTTTATGCCCTATTTTGTAATGTCTTGTAATAATTTCGATGAAGATACCTGCTGGCATACAAGAACCTGCTGAGAAGTGTTGAAAATTTTGGGATATCGGTCGTCTACGGCATAAATTATTTTGGACGAGGACAAATCACCCGACCAAATCACATAGAATTCATTCGAAAAGATACCCTTGGGATGGAATATTTCAATTCAAGCATGGAATTTGCATCCAATGCGGAACAACAAGTTGAAGAAATATTCAAGAAATTAGAAAACCTCAGCTATATAGAAAACCTGTAAAAAAAATATCGAATGATTTATGCTTTACCAATTACTAAAATCCCTAAAATGTATAGTATGTAAATGCTAAAATTTCAGGCGACTAAAAATTCTATTGAACGAGCCTCAACTGCCGGACATGAAGGAATCCACCTCCTATTTCGAATCTATGGCCGCTTTACTTGAAGCTTTGAGAGGAACACAGACAAAGCTTAGACTACTGATTGAGTAATTTTATGATGAGATGCATGTAAAAATAATTAACTTTTACTGCACAATGTTTTCATTTCAAATAGGGAAACTATGCGTGAAAGCATTTCAAGTGCAAATAAACAAGCTTGGACGGCTATCGGGGTGGTGATTTTGGTTTTGTTCATCTCGCCAGTAATAATTTTTCTCACACACAAAGTGACATCCACAATTGGAATGTATGTCAAAAACTTGGTGGAGAAAGCAGACGAGTTGAAGAGAGAAAAGGTTAAGTCGGACAAACTGTTGCTGCAAATGCTTCCTCCTTCCGTTTTGACTGAATTGAAGCAAAAGCGACGTCCCCCTGCTACATATTTTGACCAGGTGTCAATCTACCTAAGTGACATTGTCGGATTTACAGAAATTTCCTCCAAATCTACTCCGTTGGAAGTCGTGTGCTTTCTCAATTCGGTGTACAGATTGTTTGACTCGAGAATAGAAAAGTTTGATGTATACAAAATAGAAACAATCGGTGATGGCTATCTAGTGGCGAGTGGTGTTCCGACCTTAAATGGTATTTTTTTGCAGAAATTGACAATAATTACGAGCATTTATCTAATTTGGTCTATAACCAATTAAGCTTGATGATTAACTTTAATACGCAGGAAATCGGCATGCTTGCGAGATTGCTTCAATGGCTTTGGATCTACTTGCATGCACCCCAGTGGTGAAGGTTCCTCGTCGACCAACCGAATCATTACAAATTCGAATAGGGTTACACACTGGGCCAGTTATGGCAGGTTACTCAGTTTATTCAGAGAATAACTTTATGGTATAAAAAATATCAATGTTTCAATATATAAATGGTTAAAAGGTGTAATCGGGAGCAAAATGCCGAGATATTGCTTATTTGGAGGTAAGTATCCAATAGACGTAAAGATACTAAAGTAATGCATCACATGAATAGTATTATATTCTTAAATTCTGTTAAACAGACACGGTGAATACTGCGTCAAGAATGGAGACAACAGGAGAGCGTAGGTTTACCTCACTTTCTGATAAGTAATAAGTATATATACCTTATCTTTGTATGCATTTAATTAGCTCTAAAAATTCATATGAGCATGGATATGAAATTGGCTTTGGAAGAAATTGGTGGATTTTTTATTGAGCACCGAGGGACAATTGAGGTTAAGGTGAGCAACGATAATGCAATTTGGTCGTCGAGTAATGGCACACTCTGCCAAAAAATCAATCCTACTCATTCAATATTTATTCAGGGGAAGGGGAATATGGACACTTACTGGTTGATTGGTAAAATCAGTACTGGAAATACGTCAGAAATAGTGGAGATTGTTCGACCATATCAGTTTGATACTGTGGATCAATTTGAGTACTTGGATGAGTTTTACCACGAATAAACTAGTCAATTAAAACTAGAGTAATTTGATATACAGTAATCATGATTAGTTTTAATTGTAACAACATTAACATATCGCAAGAACGAGTATAAAAGTTGTATAAAATGTCACTTATGAAATTGTGTGTTGATGCATGTATGTAAAATGCATAATACAGACAGATTCCTCTAATAATGAGGCTTGAATTTTTCTAATTTGAACTCTGTAAACGATATAACTCCACAAGTTCCATAGTCTTCAGCCTCCTCCAATCCTGCGTACAAAACACACAAGCAGAAATTAATATGTTAAAGTACATGGTAAAGAGAGTCCGGAAGTCTCGAGCTTAAGATCAGTCTCTGAATTAATGAAATAATTTTCGTTCATGCGTTTTACCCGGCATTAGCAATTTGCTGCAATCGAAAAGACATGTGTTAGGATACATGATGCCATTATTTCCACAAATTCTGAAACCGTCATTGTCTTCTGAGCAGTTTCCACAGTACTTTCGTCGCGCCTTTGTGTCTGCTCGCCTTATACGACCCTTTAAATCCGGATTCATCATGGTGTCCTGTCATTTTGATTAGTGAATAACGGGAGAGAATTATGGAAGGTATATAATATTTGTATATGTATATGGTGTAAGTATATAGGAAGCTGTAAATCACTTGCCGCATTTTTCCATGTAAAGTCAGGATGATATGAAATAACTGGAACTGTATGAAATACTATAAGTGAAGCAACCACACAGAATGCTAACAATGGGCTCATATTCAAAATATAAAAATCTTAATTTGTAGAAATATTGCGAGCTGAAAATCAGTTGCTCTTTGGAACTAATGGTCAAGTATAACAAGAATGAAACCCTCTTTCCAGGGGATACGGAAGATGATGTGGAAGTAAAAGCATACGAAACACATCTCCAAGTCAAGCCGTTTGTGGTAAAAATATGCTCTGCAATGATATATGTATTGGTAAATGAACATGCATAAGAAGTTGAAGATTCTTGGTGGGGAGTCGAATATGTACATATGTACTCTTCGTCTTCAGATATCCATTATCCATACACATGGATGGATGTATGTATGGTATATGCATTCTGCACTTGGTTGGATGCTGATAACAACAAAAACAAAGTAAGGGTTAAAGAACCCAAAGTTCGTATAGAATAATCTGGATTGGACTCGTAACATTTGCATATGGGGAATTAAGGGCTAAATTGTAAATTGCATCACTTCTTTGAAATTAAGATATTTGAGATATTTATTTAAGAAAATACATTGTCAGAGTCACACGAGGCGCAGAAACTTGATGAGTGAACCATCAATATGCACCACACGAATTAAATAAAAACAAGTACAGTACTTTGTAGGAGGACAGTAAATTAAGTAATGTGTGCTCATTCGAGGTATTAAATTGGTCTGGGACCATGCAGGCTGTAATTATTTTGATTTAATTCCGGAACATGCGATCCACTATATCCCATTTTTTTAATTATGTCATCATCGTTGTGGTGAGATGAGAGAACACGTGTTTGTAATGAAAAATGCAATTTGTATGAGACCAGATTATCTGTCACAGTCAAGATATTGATGATTTGCCTGAAAAAGAGCACAGTTAACAGTATACATTTCAGATATCAAGCAGCATGGGCACCCCTTAAATAGCTGAACATGAATTACCTGGAATTTGGCGGAACACAATCAATTGTTTTCAAATTTCTTGTTCCAGTAACATTATAACTTAACTCGTGGTTAACTTCCACAATTATCGAACGATTTTTGTGCTTGTTTTCCGCGATATATAGCGATCCTCTTCCAAACGCATGGTGGTTAAGATTGTGATATAATTTCACATTAGAATCACTCGTTTTTAGGACATCACAACAATTCAATCCAACTTTTATAATTAAATCGGCCAGTAAGTACTTCGGTGGTCTAATAAGATTGCAAGATATATTTCGTGATGAGTGGATAGAAATCTCAAACTCGGGATATGTGTCAGATTTATCTGTTAAAAATGAATAGCAGATTATTAGTCTTGTGAAGAGGATAAGGGGTTAAGTTACGAAAGACTGACCATCACTTGTGAAATAACTGAAGGAAACGGGAATTAGGTAATAAACTCCTGGGTCAACCATTAAATTCAGATTGACGTCTCGTTCCTTGACTCGTGCCGTATATTTTATCAATGTCCAATTTTTCGCTTCGTCAATACAACCTGATCGTACTGAATTCGATTTTAGTAATACAAGGGCAACGTCAGGAACGATAGACTGCGGGTTCTTACGACCTCTTAACCTGCGTTTAAAATTAAATTCACCAACGTGAATGAAAAATTTATAGTTGAATAAGAATATGCGACAAAACATACCAAGAACTTTGGAACAGAGTAATATCCAATTCAGTAGGGCGATCAATTTGGATGGCATAACAAGGGTGACTAATTGTGTCCGCAAACGGTACAAAAATGCCCTGAAAACTATTAAACTCCCAGTTTTGTCGAATTCTGCAAATATCAAGCACCTCAAAATGTCTGGAAATGAATACATACATTATATAAATATGTATATATTTAAATTGTGTCTTTAAGAAATAAATAACTAAACTTGAACAAGACCATACTTTATGAAATCCTGAAAACACATCCAGAATGTGCCTTTCTCGTTAGAACTTAATTTTAGCTTATTTTTCATGGACTGAGTCCACAGGTCAGAGTTAGCGGACCAGTCCCCATTCCACGATTCTTTTCCCCACGGGTTTCTTAACTTGACAAGCCTGAAAATCATACCACGATTCTATGAAATCTGGCATTTAAGGTCTAATAAATTGACCTGAAAAGTAGAATAATGCATTACAACCCGTACCTTGGACCACATTCATCGTTGACTTCCAATATCGAATAAGCATGTTTGGCCTTGAGACCCATGTTTTCATTTTCCTCCATCTTCATCGAATTACGACCATGAGTTCCAGTGCCAATTAAGAACCCTGCAGCAGCACTTGACACTAACGTGGCCCATGTTAAATCTATGTCTAAGGTTTCAGACGTCTAAAGCAGTACAAATGAATCAATGGTCAAATGTGCATAATATCAGATAGCAGAAAGCTAACAGTCCAATGAATTCAGTGCCTGGGAAATTACCAGAAGGATAGAATGACATGGAAAACCCGTCAAAGTCGTTAGTGATTCTGCGTTAGATCCTCCAATCAAGGCTTCATAACTTCCGTGAAGTTTGGCCATCGCCTTTTCGATTAAAGGCACCCACAACTGCTTACGTTTCCCCTTCAAATAGCATAATTCATAAATACAAAAAATATAAACATACGCATGGCATAGTCCACGTGTGGTTGATGGATTTCATCTATTGCTAGTATTACATATGCACATATGTACCTTTGCATAAATCAGCCGCTGATTTTGGTCACAGGGTAGTAAATTATCTACGATAACATCTTTCCATCTACCAAAATGATTCAGTCGAATTATGTAGGCCCCAGCTTTGTTAATTTCCTTTGTTCGAACGATATTGTCCAGTAATTCCTTGCGCTCGGTAATCATGGCCTGCAAAATAAAAATACTTGTCACAACAAACATCTTCATCTGTCGTAATAATTTTGTGTTTACCAGGCTCCCCATCAACCAACAATCTCCCAAACTTCCTAAATACAAAATAATTTCGATAAGAAAAGCCAAAATTACGTATACAAAAAGAGTAGAAATTTTGTAACTAGATACCCTGATAAATGTCTGAAGGATCTGTGGTGTCACACATTACGGACCAATTTAGTTTCGTGTTACGAGGCCCCATATCCTTGCAGGATATTTCTGAAGGGCGCAGCCAAGCGCTGGGAACAAGGATTTTTTCAACAGGCGTCCTCCCGTTTACAAACAGTGCTTTGGGTCCAGGAGGAAAAGAATCGTCAACAAATTCTTCCTGAAGTGCTACACATGTAGAAACAATATCGTCATATGTTTCTTTCACCCCTAATTTCACAGGTCCTCGAGGATCATTGCTTTTCCTCCGGTTTACGGCTGACTTTTGCACAGTTCTTGTACTTTCCTCCGACTTTGGTTGTTCACAAGCAGTACAAATTACGACATCACAACTGTTAAGGAGGGTGCATGACTCACAACTCCAAAACCCCTGAAAACCATCAGAGTTTGCAATATTTATTAAATATAGCAATATTTTTGTATGATTCACTACATTCACTCACGCACCTTTTCAAAGTGAACCGTATTTTTCCCCTTTTTAACATCAGATTTGCTAGTATCCAGTTTTGGAGCTATCTCAGATTTCTGAGAATTGTCTCGTGACTTGGTCAAATTTGCGTGTACCTGCAGAAAATGGTGCATGCTCATAATATTCGGCTAATGACATTTCTTAATAAATCGAATTTATGCACATGTCCTTTTTCTTACTGGTTTGTGATTAAAGACATTTTCCAGCTCTCGTAAAATGAGCTTGCGAGATGGATCTATCGATATGGCTCTGGTACTGCTCTCTTTATTTTTCATGGGAATTGGTGGTCTTGCATTGTCTCCCTTTCTCTGCACAGATAAATTATAGTAAATGGATAACTTGTTGACATTAACATTGACATCTTTTTACTTACCACAACCAGGACAGCTTCAACTTCAGGAATGTCATACCTACGACTTCCACAGGCGTCACAAAGTAATTTTGTCACGGGATTTTTCAGAGTGCATGCACCACATGACCACTGCATTGTTGTGCAGTCAGCAACGTCTTGGTATGTTTGCGGTTGTAAAATTCGGTTTCTAGTATTTCGAGTTGTCATGTTGTGCACGGGGGAGGCCATTTAATTATTTTAGTCTGATAGTCCCAATAATTATGTCAACGAATAAAATTAAACATATAGTCGTTACAAAATCCAGTAAATTATTAAAAATGTATCAAACATTGAGTATTTATTAAGCTAGTCTAGTTATGGAATGTCAATATTGACAATACTTTATCACAGGCCGTGAGAAGGGACGAATGTCACTATTGCAAAACTGTATGACTAAACAAATATTAGTCGATTACAACAAGGTGTTCAACCGCAAACTTGTTCACGCAAAGTAAAGCACCATGAATGAATAGAATAGCAAATATGGAAGTCTGCATACAGCTACCAAAAACACAAGTTTATGGCTTGTGAAATGTTTTGGAGTAGCTTAACGTGTATGCAGTTGTTAGTGGCTGAAACGGAAATGAACTTGTTACTCAATGTGCATGAAATCTGAATTTGCACAAATACTAATACATAACACAACTTTTATTTAAGCCGATATGTTAAAATGTGTGTGCTGACAATTTGTGGGAGCTGACGATCAATCTACATATAAAGTGAGATAACCAAATGACTACTACTGCTGTAGCTTATCTTCACTTCAGTGATCTGTCAAAATATGCAAGTTAATCAAATGAGTGACTCATTCTTGAGTGTCATTGATTCACTCGTCATCTGCAACTTGTGCAAATTTTATTACAATGCTGTTGTTGCTGAACACTTTTTTACTACCACTTGAAAACAGGACGGATGTAGGCTTGCTGTCAAACTAAAATCTTATATGTACAACTTATGGACCAGAATGAGTGAGTCAACAAATGATAAAAGATCCGTTAGAAGCACAAATGGTCATGGCTTCACATGATAATATTTATATCTCGTAAGAATGCTACATTTGCGATGGAGGTACTAATGATGACTTTTTTACCATCATCACGCAATGCATATACTTTGAGGTGTGCAGAAAAAGGCAATCGAATCAGCAAGAAGTGGGAATGAGTTTTCATTTTATTTTGAAAGCGTAGGATATTATGACAATAATTGTCTTAAATTGTTATTGGTTCGCTTGTTATTTATTTTTTGTACATACAAAGTATTTATTACATTTACATTATGTGGAAAATTGGCTCGTATAAAGTCAATCATTAGAAACCAACAAAAACTATAGACTAATATACTCTTAGCAAAGTTTGGATGATTTCTCTGGTCTAATCGTTGAACACTAATTATAGGAATTTTTGCCTTCCCTTAGCAAATCGTCCCCCAAGTTCTTTAGTCTTTTCAATATATTTTTTTGAATCTTCTCTGGACAAACCACTAACTGCAAGATCAGTATTTCTGTCGAAGGGCTTCCTCTTTTTATCTTCCACAGCCTCCTTTAAAAATTTTACAATTTAAAGCCACGACGTATACAGTATATGTATTTTTGTAAATATCCAGTTACCTTTTTTGATTTCTTCTTTAATTCCCTTTGATGCTGTTCAAGTAGGGATTCAGACTTTCGCTTCTTTTCACCAGTTTTCTCAATCATAGCTTCCATTTTCTTGTCGTAATCGTCTATTAGTTTTTGATCCATGGCGGCTCTGGTCTCCCTTTCCAATTCTTCGTCTGAATCCATTGGTTCTCCATTGTCCTAAAATTTAAATACAATTAGTTAAGAATTTATTTAATTATTCAACTACAATACTTAAATAAAATTAAAATTTTACCTTGACAGGTTTTTCAGGAGCTCTCTGTAAGAATTTTCTTGGGCCAAGTCCGAGTTCCGTGACTGGCTTATTAGATGGTGGTATTAACATCCATTCCTCTCGTTGGAGCTTAAAATTAGAATTTTTTACACGTCAAATCAACTATCTAGTAGCAAATTTTCTGTAGAAAACCTTACCTTCTTCTTGGGTTTGTCATCGCCAACAGGTTTCGACGCAGAGGCGAATGCATCCGCCCGTGCAAGGGCGAGCGGATGGTCAGGTGGAAGAGGACCAATCACATCATCGTCAGAATCTGAACATTGGTCGTCACCAGCGGAAGACGATGAAGAACCATCGTTGGTCACATTGTTCTGGTCATCGTCAGTGGATGGCAATTTGAAACCAGGTGGTAAAGTTGGACCAATGGATGGTAACGCAGAAGAGGGTGCCAAAGATATACCGCTGGGTAATCTGCTAATAATACCAAATATCCAATTATTACCTTCAACAATTCAGACTTGTCCAATTTATGCTATTATATATTACCCACTAATTAAGATACTCACCTCTGTTCAGGTTCAGTAGTACTGTCTTTTTTAACTGGTTCAGGGTCAATTGACCTTTTCTGCAGGTGAGGTGGGAGGGCAGGTCCGTACATATCGTCCCCATCTGAATCTGAATTGTCAGACATTGAAATTCCAAGAACAAATCGAGAACAGATTGGTAAACAAAGAAGAATTAATTAAGACTAATTAAACTAAATTGATTCCCAGTCAGCTTATTTTAAAATTGGATGCATTATTATTTTTATTGAACTATAATAAAATGTCAAATAAATATTTTTTAAGCTGCACAATACAATTAACTTCAACTTCACGAATAGTTCTTGCGTTACAAAGGTGTAATTAATTTACAGTTGCACCGGTGTGTAGTAAAAGCAGATGTAAAAATAAAAACAAACAAGTTTTACTGCTTGAGAAGAGCAGAATGAGTGCCGGTCTGGGCATTGTGGGATTCTCGCAAGAAATTTCACCAAAGCATTCTCGCATTCACTTCGCTTTCTCTTCTAACTTCGACCTCCCTCCAGATCCGAGAAAAATAAAATTACGCAAAATAAATGATTGATTATAAATTTATAATTATATTTAATTTATTCATTATGGTAGATTCCAAATCGACGTATTTCCAAATTCTGTGGTCTGAATTTTCATATTTGGATTTCACGACTTTCACCGCATCACCATGATAATTTGGCACTATAACAAAAATCAGCCTATTATGAATCAATGCAAGTAATCAGAGACAGTTTGAAACTAGAGACAGTTTGGCATATTTAATAGTATCACTTAAGACAAATGTCATCGTGCAGGTGCTCATTAGTTTGACCATTGATTCAGAGCTTTATCATCATGACCGTGACCTACACCCACGAAGTTGCGACTGGAAAAGGTGTCCTTATTTCAATGGAACGTGCTTGAAATAATTCGATAATCAAGTATGTTTCGTTTTTTCCAGGGTTCGGAAATTTTTGGAGGCTTTTAGGCAGATGGCGAGGAAGCATATACAAAGTCGTCGTTCCCGAGCTAATTGTCTATGCCATCTTCTTTGGCACCATTAACCTCACTTATCGCTTATGGATAAAACACGAGCCTTATCGAAAGGAGTGCGTTTAGAGAAATATGTACATCCATTTTCACCCATTTTACTTTACCATAATTTATTGCAGAATGTTTGAAAAATGGGTGAAATACTGTGCAGACTACGCCGGAGTCATTCCAGTGTCGTTTGTACTCGGTTTTTATGTGTCCCAAATTGTTACCAGGTGGTGGAATCAATTCATGACTGTGAGTGTGATGCTGAAATTGAATTAGCATAAATGGCCAGTATTCTTAAATTCAGTACACTTTGCACTTATTGTTAGATCCCGTGGCCTGACCCAATCGCCGCAATGATGGCCACCACGTTTCATGGGACTGTAAGCGCCATATTCTAAGATATTGTATGATCATTATTCATTTAATTAAAAATTTTGAGCGACTAGGATGATCAGTCACGACTTATGAAAAGAACTGTTATGCGTTACATCAATCTGGCATTTGTGATGACAATGGTTATGATTAGTCCGCAAGCAAAGTCTCGGTTTCCTACGATCGGTACGTATGTTTTTATAAATTAGAGCATCAAGTTTTCGGAATTCATTTTCATTAAAACTTTCTTATTTGCATGTTTGCAGAGCACTTAGTAATGGCTGGTGAGTTCTTCTGAGGAGGGGAGGTTACTATCAACTCCCGGATCTTGATGCCCTTTGGATATGTTGTAGTGTCCTATGAATGTACAACAACCCTGAAGTGGTTTGATTTGTGGTTGTGGTGGAGTGGTTTGATTTTTTGGCCACATTTGCGCCCGCCACACCCACTCAAAGGTGCCCAAAAATCGCTTTCACCCCAGCTTTCACTCATTCAAAACCACGTCAAAAATCCAATTTTACTCCGATTTTCAAATTTCTTTCACCATTATGCTCCCACATAGTTGCTTTCTTATTTCCAACATCCAAATCAACTTTTTGGAATGCCTAGTATTTTTAAAATTTAAAATCCTGAATGAGTATTGTTCTAGTAATCAACAAAACAAATTATGGCTGCGAAATAATCATCAAAAAAGTTGAGTTTGATGTTGGTAATAAAAAAGCAACTATGTGGGAGTATAATGGTGAAAGAAATTTGAAAATCGGAGTAAAATTGGATTTTTGACGTGGTTTTGAATGAGTGAAAGCGATTTTTGGGCACCTTTGAGTGGGTGTGGCGGGCGCAAATGTGGCCATGGAATCAAACCACTTTAGGGTTGTTGTACATTAATGGGACACTACAACATATCCAAAGGGCATCGAGATCCGGGACTTGATAGTACACCTCTCCTGAGAGGTTGAAAAAGTTTGTCGAGTGAAGCATTCGTTTTTACAACACTTCGTATGTATTTTCCCTTTAGGTTTCATGTTGCCTCATGAAAAACAAATATTTGACCGATTGAATGCTCGGTCAGATTTGCCAAAGTACGAAAAAATATATTAAAACTAATTGCTTCGAAATATATGCATGCATATATTTATAACATTGAAATATATAACGTTGCAAGGTATTGGGTGCCGTTGGTTTGGGCAGGAAACATAGTGGGAAGGGCTCGTCAAGAAAATCGTGTTAGAGAGGATTTATCAATGATTAATATTTTGCAAGGGATTGCTAAATTTCGCGGAGGGTGTGGTGACTTATTGGCATATGACTGGGTGAGAAAATTTTTGCTTTGGTTGGACAATAATTCTCCAGAACGGTGTCACATTCTTAGCTATTCGTTCTCCAGGTTTGCGTCCCTTTGGTGTACACTCAGGCAAGACGAGAAGCTACACCATTGACTCATTCATTCTTATCTAATCCTAAGTCTATCTTTATTGCATTTTGTATAGGTGGTCACACTGGCTGTATACTTGTACTTCACCGCTGCACTTTTTGGGAAGCAATTCATTGAAAATGATCATGAATTGGTATTTTTCTACAATATTTGATTTTTTCGTTATCATCATTAAATCGTGCTGTTTTCTGGTACGTATAGGACCTTTATATCCCTATATTCCTGTTTCTCGAGGTATCTAAAATAAGCCAAATTTGCAGTATGTACCCTTGTATTTTTTTTCGTACAATCCGATCATGTTTTTGACGTTGTGTAGTTCTTTTTCTATACTGGATGGCTCAAAGGTAAATTTTTCCAAGTACCATAATAAAGAATGATGACTAAATATTCAGAGAATTATATTACAGTCGCTGAAACAATGGTAAATCCTTTTGGAGAAGATGATGACGACTTTGAGGTTAGTAGAATTTGCAAAATGTCTTACAATTTATTAATTAACTTGTGTGGCATTAAATTATTAAGGTAAATTGGCTGATTGATCGAAATTTCACTATTTCCTTCATGATTGTGGACGATATTCGAGACGAGTATCCAGAATTGGCAAGAGACATTTGGTGGGACGAGGTTTTCCCAACCTCACTTCCGTACACACTTGCGGCACAAAAATTTAAAGTAGATAATTACGAGGTAAGTACTAATCAGCGCATTTTCTATAGACAAGAGCCTTCAAGTTCATTTCATTCGGACGCTTTTTACAGGGAAGCGCTGCAATGCAAGACGTTGAACTGGAAGGCGACCAAACGTTATTTATCATGCCGGAGAAACCAAGGGTTAGCCACCCTCATTTTGTGTGCAAATGCAGTGCAAAATTTGACTTGTTTAATTTGCATTTGAAAGGGTTTAGTGGAGCCTTCACTTTTGGGTGCATCGTCAACTAATCAAGGAATTTCTCACCGTTCAGATGGTTGGGCATTCCAATAAGGGTTTGAGAATATACATGATGAGATATTATTTTTCTGTAGATCAAAAAGCTGGACAACGACATGACGATACAAGTTCAATCTCTACCCATGCATCCAGTTTGGTATGCAGGATTAGCAGATATTTACATATTTGTGCAATTAAATTTTAATTGCCGGTTAATTGTATTTAGAATCACTACGGACAAAAGCATAACATTTTTGGCCAATATAAATACAACAATTAACTGTAATCCCAAATTAGATGAAATCTGACTAACAAAACCCACAAAAGCAATAAATAATTTAGTAATTTTCATGAACTCATTTATAGCTTTTCCTAATATATGAGATCCCCGAAATGTGAATGAGGTGTAATAAATGATTTTTAATAAAAATGATGGAATACAGAGAAGTTTAATATTCATTTGTGCTTAAAACTATTCATAATTTTGTAAATAAATCATCACCATTCACAATAAATAATCCCATGTATTCAAGCAGAACACGTAAACTCGTCGATTGACGAGAACCCAGTATATTTTTCTCATGAAATTAACAAAATAAATGCATTTTAAAATATTAAAGATAAATATTGAATTATACGAGAAAATCACAACTTACAGGTCACAAATGTTGCGACGGTGTTAATATATTTTTTTTTAAATGTTACATACTATTGGAAAATTATGGATGGTACTCATTCATATCTTTCATTTCTTCAATTTTACAATCAGATTGGTTGAAAATTACATCAAGAAGGTCAAGAACACATACATATTTTATAGTTGACAAAAATCTAAGCCCTGCATTTTACATTTGTTAAATTGTTTACATAAATTACATTCTTAAATCATTCTGACTGATTATTCGAGTTTGTAAATCAAAATATCATCTTACCTTTCAGACCGCGCATGCATTATGTACATGACATTGAACTATGGAGTGGGATTTATCTTATTTAGATGCAGTAAGCGAAGAACCCATATGAAATATTCCATTTGAATTTCTCCCAATATGCAATACAATCTGGGAATATATGCGGAAATGTGGCTTCTTTTATTGGGAGAAATGTCAGTCAGACAAGATTGTGGCTGGAGCTGACGCATTCAATTTTGAACAATACTCATGTACGTCGGTATTTTTGTTGTTCATTTTAGTCATGTCTCCAAAATAATCATGTTGCCAGTTTGACATTTGCCAACGGATCCAATTATTTGCACACCGTGCACGTAGATAAATTTAAATAACTACCATCGTACATATGCATGTAGAACAAAATGCTCCTGAAAATCCTCAGAGTATGCATAATAACACGGATGACTTTCATGTGATCCTCTCTTACAACACCGTTACAACAACGCCATTATCTTGCACGAATGTTTCATTAACTGTTCCAATCGTGTTGGAACTCTTGCCATTTCCCGAATAGAGGACAGAAGCCACTGGTCTCCTAATGCGGAAGTTGTCATCGGGGACAAAGTGATCATTGATGGTGATGTGGACTGTGGGGGTGGGGGGGACGATTTGGGTGGCTGACGACGATGGGCCATTGTTGATGAGTACAGCAGTCATCACGTTGTTTTCAGAGGAGGACTCGTCCACGTCGGGAATGACGTGATGTTGGAGGGGTGGGAGTGGTTGGTGATGTGGGGAGGGCAGCATACTGCTCCGAGTCGTCATCGTCGTCGTCTCCAGGGTCGTCCCCGCATAAGTGGCCGAGGTCAGAGGTGCACTGCACTTTCTCGGCCGGTGACCAGACGACTGACTCTTCCTTCGTGGAAATACAGAATTTTCCGGGTTCAGAGTCGCATTTATTTCCTGTTAATTTGAATTTGAAAAATTATATAATCTTCCATTTATAGTAACGTAGAAATTAGAAATGTTTTTTTTTCTTTTGTAACAAATACAGTGCATGATTTAGCTGCTGGTTTTGTGGGGGATTAAACAGAATATGTGTAGGATGTAAGGAATTTTACTCAAATAAGTTTGTGAAAGTATGTAATAATTGTATTTTAATGTCCGACAACAAAGGCAAACAACTCGAGTGAGAGAGATATGAATCTGGAAGATATAAATGCCCTTTGTATGTAATATTCATAAAAGATATAAATATGTACGAGGATGAAAGAATGAAGAAAGTTGAAACCATTAGTTTGAAACCCATGTTGCAGAGAGCCCAACTCTGGTCCGAGAGACTTCTTCTAAAGTTTTTCCAGGTGACCCAACTATTATCTAATTCTAGGATAATTTATAAAACTGTGGTACAAAATTCCACGATACGCATCACACCCTTTCTACATGTAACACCACTAAGAATATGAAGTCAGATGAAATAAAATTTTTTCTGGAAGGACCAAACAAGATGACGCACACATAAAATTAGTAAGAAAAAGGTAGCAGAAAGTGTGCACGAAGCAAAGTTTCTAGAAAATTTGTACCAGAAGGTCAAACAGTGTAACCAATACTAGTTATTTAAATTAGTTGGGAAAATTGAAATTTTAAATGTAACTTTTGAATGGCCTGTACCTATAGAATTGTGACCTGCATCAAGGAAATTAAAATTACCCGGTTACTAAAGACAAAAGAGGGCACAAGAATTACTTTAGCTAATAGAGTTCTCTCTGATGAGTAATGAATATGAATAATGAATTTAAGTAATGAATGTGAGTTTTTAGGACAAGGGCCTGAATCGAATACGTTCTCTGCTCAAGAACTGCATATTGAAAGTTTTTGTTTACGATTCAAATTCTTACCTTGCGGGATGCACAGCTGCATGCTTTCTTGAAGCTCTTCTTAAAATTGCTGGATAAAAAACCTGTAAAGATCAATTAAAAACGATGATATGCACATCTTACAAATTAAGTAAACTTGTCACCAGAGGGAAAAGTTTGATTTGCCAAAATGAATCATTTATAAATGCTAGTTCAGGGCTCAGGGTACAGCATGCAGATGTGCATGAGTATACAACACTGACCAGGAGTTATTTTTTTTAATTTGTATGCAATTTTGTATATGTATTAGCAAGACAAACCTTACCGTAGAGGATTGGATTCATCGTCGAATTACTGTAGGAGAGACAACCCGCTAGAAGGAATATAATCAATACCGTTCCCGAATGACTGGATTCATGCGCCATGAAAATAAGTGATAACTGCAATATGTGAAATAAAAAAACATTTAGAGAAACAAGTTATTTATACACAATCAAAAGTGTATAACGATCTGAAAGTTGTAAACTTTCTCCAAAGAGAAAGTTTTTCTTGACTGCATGATGCAATCAAGGCAATCGAGTGAGACGTTTTACATACCTGTGATCCCCAATATGGAGCCTGTAAGACAGAGAATAGACTTACCCAGTGTAGACTATTGACTATAATAAGAGTGCGCTTACACTACAGACTTACCCAGCACAGAAAGTAGACTGTAATAACCGTGAGGACAAGTTTCGTAACTTTTCTATGCGATTTTTTCCTTTCCTTGGTTCGAGTGCTTTGTTGCTGTGCTTGTTGATTGTCCGTCTGAGTTTTGGTCACGTTAGGACTTTGGTTTAACTGCCTCCTTGGGCCCACGGATCTAAACGATTAGTTTAAATTAGATCCATACTTGCTCCACAATAAGCTAAAATTTTGAGCGGAATTTAAAGAGCCTTGCCGGAGTCGACGAATCACGAGAATATAGAATACTAATATGAGAAACAAAGGAATTGCGAATCCGAGCACAAATGAGTAGATTATGAAGATCATTTCTCCACTCATGTTCAGGGACCCTGATTCTGGCCAGAAAATGTTACAGTTCACCTTGGAATTGGAAATTGTAATCAAATTATTAGTAATTATTTTAAATTAGTTAACAAACAGAACCTTAGCATAGATAAACCACGGAATAAGTACAAGTATGATCCGACATGAAAGTTTATTGTATAGTCTTAAAACGACTGCAGGTTTCAAGGATGGTATTTTTAGAAAATTTCTATGCTCAATGATGCACTCCATTAGTAAAATTAAAATATATGCTTAGCTCGATACATAAATTCTAAAAATATTTAGCATGAAAACCTGACTCTTGAAAATCGTCTAGAAGACTTCATTCTACTTTCCCCAACATGGAAAAATTAAGCTGTTCTGCATTTAACCAGTGTGGAAAACACAAGCACAATAAGGACTATTTGGACAACATCAACACATTTAGTTCATTTAATTTCAAGAGCAATTGTTGACTCTGATTTAATCAGCAGCACTTCATACGCGACATCATAGCCTTGCCTAGAATTTTAATGAAGGGTCTAAACCGCAAAAGTACAAAAACAACTTATTATGATTCAAATGACTGGGAACTAAATCAGTTCACGTGAAGCCACTTACGGGTAATGGGAGTGTGAAAGCACTAAAAAAATATTACGCTTCGTGAGCATGTAATAAATACGTGACCAATTTACTCGTTTGCCAGTCTCAATGATACGCCAACGTCCAATGAGAGCTACATTTGTGCTAAATAATCTGCCCGTTCTGTTTACAAAGATAAGCGGGCGAAAGACCTTCAACCACCGGATGGATCTCCGCATTCAACTTATGTTTCCGCTTGCCAACTTTCTCATTCAGTTCAGGATTTCTCCAGACTTTTTATGCACTTATGTTGCTTCATCCCTCTCTCCCAACTCACTCAACTTAATCCACTTTCGAGCGGATTATAAGATTTCCTAAAACATTGGAACGATTTTACGCAAAACGAAGCATGTCGTTGTAAACGTTGGACTGAGTTCTGGTATAAATTTATTGTTCCATAAATAATGAATTATTCGCTAGTGACGTGTGGAGTGGACATAATATATTTAATACAGTTGTGTGTTTGATGTTTTGAGACATTTGAAGTGCAAAGCAAAGAACCCGTGTGGGTAGAAGCCGTTTCAAGAAATTGAAGTTGACAAGTTCTCTCCATGAAATTGTCACCTTTGTCGAACGAAGAAAGCAGAAATATTGCCTTTGTCCACATGTAACTTGTGGTGTCCTTTATATAATTTTATTGTTTTAATATAAGTAGTTTTTCTGGTTGGTTCTGACCTTGTTATCGATTTCCAGAGTGTTGGCGTACATAAAGATTGGCACCTACGTATTGAAAAAACAAACACAATTGTGGCTCAAACGCAAATGGGAATTGAATGAATGACTACTGCTGTCACCATCAAAAGCGCGGAGAGAGTCCAAGCGGTCAGGGCCACGGTCTTCGCAATGAGAGGGGTTCTCCATTTGGGTGCGCTGATAGGATGACACACTGCCAAATATCTATGAATGCAATTAAACAGACAGCTTAAATAAATAAATACAAACAAAAGCTCTTTTTCAATAAATTACTCAACACCAACAGAATTAGTTTAATCTGGAAACTTATTTATGCATATTAATACTGGTGAGAACAAAATCCAGTCACTGTATTCGGTCATTTCGACAAGAATTTCTCGCAGAGGAAGTCCACACCGACTGAATAACATGTGTGCCTAAATATCACACACTTACATCACGTCACATGATCTCTCCAACTAATCACCTATAGTTTATCCTCATTCATTCATGACCTGCCGGCATCCCTACACCCAAAACGCTACGATAGACAATATCAAAGTAATTGAGCTGTCTGAGAAATAAAGTATCTTGCTCCTCACCACTGCATTTGTTGGGACTGGCCAAGAGCCAAAATATGCGCAAGGTGGATATGTACATTTGTGAAAATGGAAAGTAACAGGTTTCTCTTGTCTATTTCACTTTGGTTTCGTAAGCTTATAATAAAGTAGCCCATAAAACTGACCTCGTGCTAATCCTAAGTGCAAGGAAGTAAGAACAAGAAATAAAAGAGAATGGAAACGCGACGGTTTGGTTAAACCGAAAAGGCTTGGAAAAGCAAGCCTACGAAAATACTAGACTGAGATCAGATGGATAAAAGTGCAAATAAAAATAACAATGAAGGAATGCACTGTAAATGGGCTTGTTGTTTAGACAGATAGGACTAAAATTCCCCATTTGCGAGAACATTATTACCATTACAAAAGGCCAAAAGGGAGCCATAAGTCCCACTTTCTCTAATTCCCCTTGCTTATTTCTTACTTTATTCTCACAAGTCCATGAATTCCAGACACTGTAAATATTCATCCCCAAACAAACTCCTCCTGCTGGACATCCAGCTAGGTTAACATAATGCATAACTTTGCTGCTAACGTACAACTCTTGCAGCTACCAGGTTAAAATCAAAAGTTTACTTTCACTACTGTTGCAGTATGAAGATTTATATGTATACGCGTACGTATGGAAGGCCTTTATACGTAAATATTTTAAAATGAGCCATGAAAACTTTGCACTACGTACTCCTGCGTAGCGTGGGTTTTCATCTTTTCATTTTAATATTGGGTTTGAGATTGTTTGTTTGATAGACATCTTTATGAATGTGGAAAGTAAAGAACAAAGTAATGAAATTCAACATCAAAAAGAAAATTATGTATCTAGCTCGTTGGTTTTGGCTCACACAGCTCCAACTTTTCTTCGTAATTGCATAGCTACGTATTTGCATGTGCGTGCCTAATATCGTTAAACGTTTTCTTTACTTTCTTCTTTCATGCGACGTATGAGTAAGATTCCCGGAAGTTTAGGTCATATTGGTTGTTCGTTCTAGGACAACTATATTGGCTCATGTTTCATACTCGTACTAATTTGACGTTTAGCTAGATAATATCAGCGACGGACATTTCTTGTCTCACTCTTTTTAATATTAAATAATTTAACATAATTGTTACACGATTGAACTCCTGTTTCGTCGAATAGATCTTAAAATCACAAGTGTTGCTCACTAATCCTAAGTAAGTAGCTAGGAAGAATTTTTTTATATGTGCTCGCGCCTACTAATTAAATAATTCCGTATTTTTGTGTGCTTTGCAGAATGTGAATTAAAAATTAGGAAAATTTTGAGCACATTTGTTTAAAAACTAACCTAACTTTACAATTATAAAGCAAAACTCACCGATCAGCAGACATGATAAGAAGAAACATGGAGCTTGTTATTTGGTTGATACTCGTGCTGGTAAAGTAAGCCTTGCAAACTATATTTCCAAATGGCCAATAGCCAAGTGTAGCCGTGGTCATCAGAAATGGAATTCCCACCAAGAAACATTCGTCAGCAATTCTTTAATATTAATAATCAACATATAATTTTTATACGCTAGACATTAAGATGAGGATGTAAAACTTAAAATTAGACTTACGCGAGGTTAACAATGTAGAGATTTGTTACGGTCTGAAATCAAAAAAGGAACACAACTTGTGGGATTTTTTCTCTACTTTTGGTCACCACTTTACACTATGTGTATTGCTAAATACAGTATTACCAACCTGCATTTTGGAAAACCGAACCACAACGTAGATGACGAGAGTATTTCCAGCCAATCCAATTAGACATACGATTCCGTACAGACATTGGACAAGGAGTTGGGGCCTAATAAATCTGATATTAATATCTTATTGTTTGTGATAGTAATTGGTAAAATGTCAGTACCACCAAGTTGTGAACATGTGGAACTCGGCACCATCTACACCCCCGACTCCCATGGTGTCCAACATTCTCGTGTTCCAGAGATACAGACACGGGTTCTCTATTTCACTCAGGGAGGTGTCATTGTGACCCATCGATATCAGCAAACGGCTGCAGTTTGCATGAGCTTCGGGGCTTTCGAAGTACAGGTGGTCGGGATATAATTCCGACGTATTCATCTTGGAAGTGGGTTGATCAACAGGAAACAATTTTCTGCAAAACATTGAATCACTTTGTTGAGAAAAACATTGATTTTGTACAGAGGAAAACTTTATCCAGCTTCTTCAGTCATTTCATAAAAGCTGTGTTTTGTACAGACGAAATGTTTATGCTTTCGTCGGCTAATTGACTTTTAACTTCCCTGTGCTTAGCAAAATTAACTATCTGCTCACCAAAATACATACATTGCTCATTACAAAATCCCACGTTCGCCAGTAATTAAGTAATCAACTCCATGTTCTAATATAAAAGAGTCACAATTGTTCATCTGTTGCTCACCAGTCTCACCCACACCTACGCACGCAGCCGAATTTTTGTCTCGTTAATGGAAATCACCTTGCTGAGTGTTTTACAAAACTTAGTGGTAAAAGGCAAAAGGAGAAAACTCAATTTGTGCAAAATTTTGTCAACCGCCCACACTTCATTTTCGTAGTATTTTTTAACTCAACAAGCGACAGGCTTACATATGTACGAACATGTCAAAAGAGATTACCTCCAATAAAATTTCATTTTCAAAAAAATATGTACTGATAAATAGGATGACGTACATATGAATGTCTGAATGAGTTCAAGAGCATGAATATCTAAAAGCCGGTCCTCATTCCGCTTTAATTGCCTTGATTACTTTCTCTTCTCTAGATCGTCCAGTCACGTACACTGTGGGACAAATTTGTTAATATGATGTTTTAGTTCATTTTCAAAATTCATACATGCAAATTTTGGTTTTTAATTCTGCAAATTTTGAATGAAATTGAGCTAGTCTCATACTGTCATGCTTAATTTTACTGAATTAAATAGCATACACAGTATATATATCAAAATTTACTATACATGTGTATGTATACATATGTATAGTAAATTTTGAAGACAGAAAGTTACTGTTGAGATCTTTTGTTTGTTAATGAATTTTTCCTCCTTCTTTCATTGTTTCAAGGTGTTGAATTGTCCTGCTTTTGTATTTTCTAATGTATGTAAATCAAAGCGATAGCGAGTAGTGTACACCTCAACAACTTTCTTTCCTTTTCCTGTTTCTGTAAATCTCTGGAGATACTCTTGACTTGACACAGGTTTTCTTTCAGAGTCTCCACGCTGTGTTCTATATGCGTACATAAATCATGATTGAATATCTCCCTTGATTAAAACTTTTCTATGTGACATTCCTCACTAAAGACAAAAAAGCACCTGATATTTGTATGATAAACGGAATTTGAAAATCAAAGAGAATGATCTCCAATTTTATTAAGGAAGACAAAAAAACAAGTGAGCTCAAGTTCGTGAGGGAGTAAAATTCAATTTCAGGCGACTCCGGCATCCCAATTAGATTGTCATTTGTTTGCCTTCTGTTGACTTTCGCCCAATTTTCCAAGAAGGTTGTTTGCTAGACATTTAGAATAGATTTTAGGACACGAATAGTAGTTTCGCTAAGGAAAATGGTCGCCAACAGTCTAAATAAGACCTATATTATCAGAAATTAAATCAAATCAAAAATACAATCTCCAGCTAAATCATAGAGTTGTATATTACAAATAGCTAACAAAGAGCTAAATATGGATGCATATGCACAACAGCACTTTTAGTTTAGCCAGTACGTAATTAAGAAAATAGATTTTATTGGTTTCACACGGTGCAACAAAAAATAAAATTCTGCAGAAACGATTTCGTGTAGAATGCCTTTGTCCAGTAGGTTTCGACTAGAAAGAAAACATAAATTTGAAATCCTCCTCAAATTCTGAAAGCAGCGACCCTTCTTGTTAGCTGTACTTTCTATTAGCTTGAACAAATTAACTGCTTGCTCTTTGTTGCATTCGAAACCTTTTGGCCTGAAGCGTTCTTGCCAGAAAAAAATTATCGGATAACCGTGAAAAGTGACACCAACTGTAGCGTTCGTTGCCTTGAATTGTACACGTGGTTTATGTAGCACACTCATAGTGTGGCTTTCCACTGAACATAATGACAATTGCAGCTCGACCCGATGTGGTTAGCCATGACCCGTTAAATGTAATGCCTCTTTTGTGCTAAAACTTTGGGTCATTTTCTAATTTTACTTGCTGTAATTCGTGACATCGTGATGTTTTTGCACGAACTTGATTTTCCTTCTGAAAAAGTACAGCTAAACCACAATAAATGTCTGAATCCATCTACATCTGTCTAACGCAGGCTAAAATTCTATTATAATGTACTATGTTCATATTTTGCCAACTGAGTCCATATTTTCAGCAAGCTTTCACTTGCATAAGTTGAGTGTCATACAGTCATCCATAATAATGAGCCTCGTGGAAATCTGCTTTTGTCACCGACTTCATCACGGCACAATTTTTATGAATGTACAATTTAATTTTAAAAATATCAGCAGCAGTGTTGTCAAACCTGTTCGACATGTATTTATATTCCCCGCGCCTTACTTGTATTAATGCAGAAATTAACATACTTTTCCGCACATATGCCCGTATCAAAGTACAGAAACCAATTTACTTGTCTGAGATTGAGACTGGCAACATTTCCAAAGGGGAGCAAGGAGAGAAAGCAGCACGTAACTTTTTGTTGATGAGTTTTCTTTCCGTCTGTCATCCCTTCAACTACCAAGGCCAGCGTAACACCTCCGTGTGCAAAATCACATCTGCTGGACGAGAAAGTTGATGGGGGAAAAGTGATGATGAAATGAAGGAACACGAAGGAATCATCATTACCCTCATAATTATTATCTAAAGGTGAAATGTGACCAGAATCTAGACCAACATATTCCGCTCCCATCTCCCTTGAGACTTGAGCCTTCAACTTTTTTGGAACTTTTGATATAAATATTATTACTACACACACAAACTTTGGGCTTGTAATGATGAAATCTGTGAATTAATTCAAAATTGAGACATGGTTTGACAAGGCGTATAGATGGATGCAGGGAATTTTGCGGGGCACACTTTCTCTGAAACTTTATCGCACATCTACTGAGACAACGTTGCAACACTTTCTAATTTAAGACATATTGTGCTATACCTGAGTTTGCACTTGCCCAACTTTTACAAAAGATAACTTGGACAAATAATAATTGTATTTGCAATGCATGGAAACTTTCTCCGTGAAGTGCGCACCACAAATTCAATGTGAGGTCGTAACAACTCGGAGTAACTTTTTAATTCAAGGTCATTTCTCGCCACAGCTCTTTTAAATATGTCTCTAGTATTTTTGCAAAGTTGCCTAACTTTAAAGACAACCCAAGTTTGTTTTCGTTAAACTAAAGGGACCCTGTTCTGGTTTAGATGGGTGTAGAATTAAGTGGGTGACCCTTTTTGATTCTGGATGTATGAACTTTGGGTGGGGATTGGTGTAGCATCAAGGTATATTTAGAAATAAGTGAGTGGACTTGTTAGACAGACTCCATTTTACATTGGCTTTAGCCTTACTTAACAATGACTTGCAGCAGCATGGACCATGACATTAGTAATGTTGAGACTGAAGAAATATGTAGGATTTTGCATACGTACGTAGAATGTTTTAGATTAAAGGAAATGAGAAGGAATTATCGTAGTTAAGTCTTAAGAGATGTAATAAGTTAGTTAATTAGAGATAAAAGTTCATGCACTTAACATTGGTCAGGAAATAATACAAAATAAGTAAATCATGTTAGGAAATAGACTTCAGTCGGGAAGATTAGTATAGTGGACGCATGCAAACACACTGAATTACCAAACAAACTGAGGACGACTACAATTTTCAAGCCAACATTGTTTTTGTCAAACGGATGTTTATATTACATTTTTGATGAATTAACTTTCGTTTCAGTTTCGTTTGCTTGCTGCTTCGCAAGATTTAATTTGACAAAAGACACTGCAAATAACTTTTCTACGGATGGTTGTAAGAGAAATTCTACATGGATGACAGGCCGTACTCTGTGTACTCCAGTAAAAATCGTGAATTCCAGCTAATTTCGTGTCATCCAGAGTATAAAGGACTCCGACATGTTCTATAAATTCTAAGGCGAATGAAATGATATTTTTGCGTACGTGTGTGAAACATGGGCAATTGTGTAATTTAATATGTCGATTTCCTAAAACTTTTTGGGGAATGATGGTTTGGTTGAAGGGTAACCTTCGGTTGGGAAGCAGGGAGGGAAACGACTTAATAATTGTATGAATAAATTACATAACCATCAAAGCCACGCCACCACCCAACGGATTTAGTGTCCTTTCATTTACACTATTCATTTACTATGTATTACTGAATTAAATATTTGGGGAAGTTTCTCAATGTGCTCAGGTACATAAATACAAAGACAAAGTCGTTGCTTTCACTGGCAAGAAGTTAATTAATTTAATAATAACCAGCGTGGTCCATGTTTTTAGCGTACAGATCACCAGCATTTGCGAGGAAATTCGACTTAATACTTATTTTGCAACTATCTAGATTCGGAGCGTTGGCGTATTTTGGGCACACATAAACCTATCTCAAGGACATCTTTCTAATCAAGTACTTCATTCCCCAAAAGTTGAATAAAAGCAGACCAATCAAACAATTGTGAAAGCAAGAATCCGCTCTCATTTCAGAATTACGTGGAGATTTCTTATGAAACCAACTGATTAGACTTTTTGCAGCAGTTCAGTTACAAAATGAATGCTGTCAATTTCATTGAAATATCACGACAGCGCCACATGCAATGTGTTATTACATGTTATGTACTCGTATATTAAACCTATGTAATGTATGAAAGTATTTTAATAAAAAAATATATGTCTCTTTTTTGTGTGCACAACCTTCTTAACTTGCATAACTCGGTGTGTCTATGTAACTGTTCGTAACATTAGTAAATCTGTAAATAAAATTACTTCTAACGTACGCAATAAGAAAATTTTGTAAGATTGTTGGAAAACGAGATGGTTTGGACTTTCGTCGAATATCAAACTTGCTTAACGCTGGAGAATCACTGTTTATGAATGACTGGACTGACCATAGATTCTCCTACTTTGTTAGGTTACTGCATTCCCATTATAAACCTACTTCTGCCGTGGACATTTGCCAAGTTTCAGTGAACGATCAAAAAGCAGTTTAAATCTTGTAGAGAACTCGATGGTCTAATGTTGTGTGCCTGGTTTAGTGGGGTATGAAGTAATGCCATCAATATCAGTGAGCATGATTTCTGGGCAGAAATCAAATAAGTTTCATTTCCGTTCCAGATGCTTCAGTTTAGTCCCCCACCTAGAATTGGGGGGCTTTTCTGTATAATAAGTATAAAATAAATGGGGGGCTTAACAGCAATATTGTCAAATTAGCAATACAAACTTTTTTATGTTGCTTTCTTTTTTGCATGATTGACAATATTCATTGTATCCTCTCAAAATTAATCCAATTTAGCTTTATCCTTCAGATGTATGTATCATTTTAATTCAGTTTGGGTACTAATTTTTGCTTTATTTTCAAACGTAACAGAATCTTCTTCTTTAGATCATTATGGAAAATGTAGCAATAATTTTTTTTCCCGAAACGAAGGTGAGCATGAAAAGAAATGAGGCTTTCCCAAGAAGATGCATTACTTTTAATGAGATAGGAAAGGAGATTTCGGATTGGTGATCTTGTTACTAGAATATAATTAGATTCTTTATGTGAAGATGATTGGGAGAAGATTGGAGAGTGTATTATTGGCGACGCTACGACAAATGTGCAGTGGATCACATTCACTGATCCACTTGCTCAACCAGACTATCAGAAAATTCAATTAACCAGCAACACTAAACTCCATTATGTACAGTCCAGTTGGTGAAAGTGATGATCACAAACCAGCCACCATTATCTTGCAGGAAGCAAAGAGACGACTACATGACTGATTATTTGGTTATACAAAGGGATATATATGACAACAGCCTGAAGTTCTAGTGGCCAGTACAATTCTTGGTTAGAAGTTAGCGGCTTGAAAATGATACATTTTCAAAGAATTGGCATGATGTTCAATTTGCTATTTGTATTTTGTTGCCAGTTCTACAGGTACCCAATATGTGACAGATTATTAGCACGGTTTACGGTATAATTTTGCAATAACAAAGCTGATCCTGAGCTGGTAGAAAATACGATGTCTAAATTATAAAGCTCAGATATAAAAGAATTCTTAGTAGAGTATAGGTTTAGTTTCCTCAACTCTACTGCAGGAAACTGGATGATGATGTACACTTAATTTAATTAATTCCTTAATTTATTCCCAACACTAGTTCATTTGAACGAGGATGACTCATTCCAAGTAAAAGTCCTGTTAATTTAATTGCCAAGAGAGAATGCATATGTATGTTAGAGCCCATGCAAATGTGCCTGGAATTGTGATGAGCAATGCATACGCCCTATTACTTAATGTTTAAAAAATATGCGCTGGTTATCGATTTTACGACTTTTGTAGTAATTGTGAATTGAAATTGATAACGTAATCAAGGATATTTTAAGAAATTCACGCTTCAACTTGTCAACTTTTAGAGAAGCGTCTTTTGACATTCACAAATATTTGCTTGCATTTCACGCGTTTCGCATAAATGTTTTAAATGGACGCTTTTGTGCAACTCGGAATGAACTGCACGACCTAGAAATTAGAAAACCCGGCTTTGCACTAATTAGTAATGTGAAAATTATTCAAAGACTTTGCATCGTTATGACCTTATAAAGCCGACAAGGAAATTTTCTACAGGCATTATGGCAGAAAATTACTATTTGAGAATTTTACAGTAAGTCACTGACGACAGGGCACAGATTTAACCGTATTTTACCGTTGTCTGAAAACTTTGTTTCGCTGTTCTCAAATTGTATACTGCTCGATTAAACTTTCGTATACATTTTTGCACAGTAGTAAAAATTTCAAACAAACTTGAAGCACAAAATCCTCGTAAAATACGTATTTTTCATAATTAATTAAATAGAATAATAATACTATTTTGTCAATGAAATACAGAAAATGATTGCAGAAAAAGTATCAAAAGTTTTATGTTTCTTGTTTGTGATTTATTTATCATGTAACTCAGTCTTTGCAGATCAACCAGAATCAAGGTAAGAGCAAGATTTCAATAGTTTACAATCCAAACATAATTGTTTGTTATGCACACAATTTATCGAATGTATAAAGTACACACAGAGCGGTACAAGTCAGAGACCCGAAGCAACTTTCTGGTTTTTTTGAGTGGTTGTTCGGACCTCAAGTGACAAAGAGTACGAAGGAGGTCAAGGGAATTGCAACGTCCCCTCCAATTATTTATCAGCAACTGACTCGATTTAAAGACAGTTCACACCACCAACCACACAAAAAGGTCTCCACCGACCCTCCTCCTAATCATCCATTGGACAGAGCAGAAGTTCAAGTGTATCAACCTCCAGTCGTGGCAACAGCTAATGAAACAAGTCTCTCCACTTTAGAGCAACGCAACAATTCTTTCAACTCTAATTCCACGCAATCTGTCCTGCCCAGACCGAAGCCAAGAAAAATCAGAAGCGAACCTGCCAACGACTTTCGTCAAATCCAAATAACAGATATCCAACATGCTGTCGGGGCCGAAATCAATGAAGATGACCTCAACTCAGACCCAGCACAAGTTAACCTTCAGGAGGAGTTGGAAGCTATTGATCGGTTAGAGAAAAATTTGACCGACAATTCCATGAGAGCGAAACGGGATGCATCGTCATCCAAATTTCGCCAGCTGAACATTCCTTATGGCCACGATGTGTCATCCAGTAATCGAATCAATACATTAAGCAAACGACAGTTATTACTTTCACCTGGTGAGCAACAAATGTTCGCTCTCAGACAACAAGAATTGGCAGCAGCAGCTATGCTCCAGCAGCAACCGCTCCTCAGTCGCTATAATAATCGATACATAGACGACTACTACGATGACGATTCGTCCTACGAGGACTCGGACGAGTATTATGACAACTTCAACAGGAATGGACTTCATCCAATCATGCAAGCAATGCGACATGGCGTGCGGATTCCGCCAATCCATCATCCCTACGGAATTGGTAGGCGAAGTCTGCCCGATGACCAAGGCCTAGCAGGCGGCCATGCTTCCTCCTCTTCGCGTGCTAAACAAGGAAGAGGGAATTCAAAGCTGTCCAAAACTATGGGGGTCAGAGGAGATTCGTCATATCTTGGGCCCATTTCTAAAGCAGGTCGGTGGGGTACGATTGAAGATTATGATTTGAGCTCTGCTCCAAATAAGCTGACATCGAGAAATGGAATGCCTTCTCGTTCCGGAGGCGGTAGTCGAAGTGGTGAAAGCGTGGGAGAAAAGCACAAAGAGATCTTTAGTGCTGCTGAGAATAGGCGAAACATGGCGAAAGGGAGAAGCGAGCTGTTGGGGAGACAGGATTCACAAGACGTGAATATTTCAACCACCTCCAGCCCTGGTACACACTTTTATTCGACATGAAAATCCTGTTCTCACGTTGTGTCCAATATTTCATACATGATGATGATATTCCTGCGTATCATTATTTCAGTTCCAGCAGATATCACCACGACTGAAATTCCCTCGGAGGGCAGTGTGACAGGTAATGGGCCATTTAGAAACGGAAGTCGTCCATTATAGAGAAAGCTGTGATGAAAATGAAATGGCTAACTTGAGAATATGCATACATAGATATGAAATATTGCATTATTTATTAGAATTTATCTTGATTTTCAAGTTATTGAATAGTTGATTTGTTAAATAAAACAAAATAACATCCAGCATATTCAGATTTATGCATACCCATAATATGTACCCACATAGTGTACGTACAGAGCCCGAGTCAAGGTGCTGATTTTAACCTACATATTTTTATATTATTAGGCCTGACTGAATCGATATGTGAGGGTGTCACCCTCATAAGTATTTTATTCTAATTTAAGCATTAAGTATTTTTATTTCCTATTTAATAACATAAAGCGACTTGTACAAACGCATCATGTTTATTACATAAATGTCAGTTCTGTCGAACAAAGTATAAAAACGCGTGTAGGTGTTAACCCCTGGTGTTTCTCAATTGAATTTTTTCTCAATTTTGCATCACAGATTTCACTGGAGCCATTAAAGACTGCCATGTCAAAGATTATTCAGGACCAATTTTTAAAATTCGGAGCAGACACATTTTACTCATATATATTCCATATCACCTTTTTATTTTTTGGGAGACAACCCGATATACATACAAAAAAGATAATTCCATAAACCTTGACCCGAGCTAGAAAACAAGCAAATAAACACCTCGATATAAAGCGTGTTCTATTATTTTGATTCTTTGTGGTCACAGAAAGCCCTACCCCTGCAGCAACTATCCCTGACCCTGATGAAACCGAAGAAACACCGGGTGAGCATGAGGAACAGACCCCGATTTCAGAACCGACTACTACTCCCATTCCCAGCTCAACAGGTACAAAATCCCAAAACGAAAACAATCAACAGCATACTTATTAGTCTTCTTTGACCACTACCTAATTTTAGCAGACGAATCTGAAGAAGAGACGTCAACCCCGGTTTCAAGCTCGTCACCACCCACTCCAGTAAGCGAAGCACCATCGACCCAAGTATCAGAAATATCAAAACCGAAGCCGACTATCACCACTACGACTGTGAAACCACAACCGGCTAACCTCCCTCCATATCACCAAACCCTAAATTGCCGTAGGTTGGATACAAATATTAATATCGAGAAGATTTGCTCTTCTCTATTTACATAACCGTTATATATAATTTATTTTTACATTTAGGATGTGGAATGCAAAGCGTTCGAGGTCATGACATTGGCGAGAATACAATTATTCGAGCTATGGTGAATCCATGGTTGGTGGCCGTTCGGACAAAAAAGAAACATTTGTGTTCGGGCAGTATCATAAATAAGTAAGTTCATACGTATTCTGGCCATGGTGCAGTTCATTCACAGTGTGTAGCAGCATAATCGATAAATGATTTGTGATACATAAATAATGCCATTCGCAGCAAGTACATCCTGACTTCGAAGAGCTGCGTCAAAGGGTGAGCTACAAATTGACTTGGGGCTATCGGATCACATGTAAATAAAGTGTGTAATCTGTTACCGGAAACAGAGCGAGAGGCCTAATTGCTACCGCTGGGATAGGTTCCGGGATTCCCAAAAATTTCTCCATTATCCACGTCAATGAACACTCCACGAGGAACATTGCGTTGTTAAGAGTAAAGCCTGCAATCTCCCCTAATTTTGCCATGAGACCGATTTGTCTTCCCATCAGTGAAAGCAGCGAGAGAAACATAAATACAGGAACGGGTATGCTTCCGTATTTATGGGCAAATATTTCTACGCAGTCTTGATTTTTTGTTGCTGTGAAATTAGGCATTCTCGTCACTTTCAAAAAGAGCTCGTTGAGAGGCAGCTCAGGGTTGCAATTGGTGCAGACAGAAGTTCCAATGCTAAGTAGCGCCAAGTGTACCAACTCTCCAGGCGGCTCAGCAGGGTCCAGAAATATCTGTCCTGGACCCCCTGGCACCATGAAATGCGGGGCAAGTCAATGAATACGACTACATAGTCCATCCTCCTACTCTAGAACATTTTTTAAAGAATGACCATATTTTTTGTATGCAGGGAGATTCTGGTGGAATTCTCCAAATGTATCAGAAGGGATACTCGTACGAACAAATCGGCGTTGTTTCTACAACTGTGGGATGCAGAGCACATAAAACACCGGGAGTCTACACAGGTCTTTTAGCCGGAGTTATATTTCTTTCGGAGTTTTCTTTGTTTTCTTTCCAAATCTATTCCACCATGCGACTATGCACTAAATGCTATTCCATTCATCTCCAATCAGTCACATTTGTTCATTTATTCCAATACAGATCTCCGAAAGAGTGTAAAGTGGATTTTGTACAATACTAAGGACGCCAGATACTGTCGCAAACCAAGGGTGACTGCACAAGACTTGATTAACACCAAGAAAACCGAGGTTGAGTCAAATGTCTCCGAGTGGGAGGATGAGGAAATTGAGGATTCGAGTGACGACATTGAGGCAGATGATGAGGAATGAGCGATTCGTTTCCATTTTCCCTGATCTTTCTAGGCAGCCGTGCTAAATATATTTATAGTTCTCTATTGTAGATATTTCTATTTATTGTCCATATGAGTGAAGTTAATAAATCACAATGCCAAGATTCTCGAACCACATTGCATATGTATAACGCCAACACTTTACTCAATAAATGCCTCCCCAACTTCCTTCCTAATCAATTAATTCAAGTGGGTTGCACTTCTTCTTGGACAAACTTTTGTTGATTTAATTTCCAAGTTGTATGAGAAAACTGAAAGATGCTCCTCAAACTCGAGAAGTAGTTTTACTACTTAACTAACTTTCGTGGACGCATCAGCCATGCTTGTTGGTTCCCAGTAGGACTCGACCCAGTAACGAGAAATCCACAATATTCAATTTTCCTTAATTCAGTTAATTCCGTGGTTCGGTACTCAAGTGTATGATTTTTGATTTTTTTGCGGAAAATAATAACCTTTGACTGATTTTCGCAGCATCACTCAGAAAAAATAAGGTTCAGAATAATTTCAAATGTGATTAAATTTACATGCAATGTAAAAAACTAAATTAAGTTTTTTGGTGCTTCATTTAAGTGTTCGTCAAAATTCTCATCCAACTTTCACCAAACTTGCTCGCACGTTATCCTGCACATAAAAATATTTCACGAATGTAATTGCAACTCTTTTGTCTGACTGAACCACAAACATTCTGTGAGGGGAAGTTGAAATCAACATTGGAAGAACAATAGAAATAGGACAAGAAATCTGACCATGGATGAGCAGTGATGATGGAGACGAGATTGGCAGTCCAATTTTCTGGTGGATCTCATTGTCTTAAGTATGGATGCCCTAGAATCTGTGGTCCTGTGGTAGCCGTACACACGTTATTGTTGCACATGCTTTCTCCTTCCTGTCGGAAGCGAACCTTGGTGGATAGGTGAACACACACGTATGATGCCTCACTCTCTTAGGTCTGGGTTCCACTTGAAAAGAATTGGTTTGTGAAGAGGTGTTCAGTCACCGGAAACAGCATGGAAGCATTACTGAGTTGAAAGAAGTTCGCTGATGCAGAATCAACCATCGATCCCTCCATTATTGCCAGGCCTATGTAGCCAGCTCCTCTCAAAGAGAGTGGAACGTGGAACCTTGAAAGTGTGCGAGAGTGCTCAGCTCTCGACAAATCCAACTAAAGTGCACGAAAACTGTCTCATCAAGGGTGGTTGAGGTTTTGTTTCGAGTCGTCGCGAAATAAACCTGCTTGAGCGAAAAACAACCTCACTTCACCGCCACCAGTTACCAGTGATGATGTCCCTTTTGTATTTTGATCAAATTTTAAATCGTTGAGCAACTCGGAATGAATGATGAAACTCGATTCAAATGAGATTTTCATACCAACTGCGGATTGTGGAAAACACTCAATTATTCCAAAGTTTTAAACACTTTTCACGTTTCTCGTAGAACAATGCGTGTGACATCAAATTGTGCTTTTCTCATCTTTTCTCATAACCTGGTTCTGACAGGGCTCAACTTTTTACTGTAGAATGGGTGTATTGTTCATCCGATCAGATTTGATGGCGTACATGTACATTAAACTTGGCTCGATTTTGGATTATCTAGGTGACGAGGAGAATAATCTTCTGGGACTAGATCTGAAAATTTCAAATCTGGAACTCATCGGTGTATGTGACATTGCGTACGAAGAGGACGAAACTTTAGCTAAAATTGCTTATGAGAAGCAAGCAACGTTCGCACTAAAATAATACCATTGCACCAGATGAATTTAGCAATTAGTTAATAACTACTCAGTATGTAAGTAGATATAAATTGCTAGACGTGAGAAAGACGAAAAACGTAGTTGGTTTGCATATGTATAACAGCCACATATATTTAGAAACGAGTCGTATTTCCAAACCACAGCTATGTCTGTGTACAAGACATCTGATTTTAACAGAACAAAGGTAGATTTGAAGTTGCCAACTATCTCACAGCGATGACACTTGTAGATATTTCCCTCTCGTCGTAATTTATTCTTTCTATCAATCTTAATTAGTACTTCATAATCTACTACTCACTGTTACAGAGTGACAATATTATTGCAGACCGTGTATTTCCAGGATGATTTTTTCTTTGAGCTAGACAACTTGTGACGGGCAATGTTTCACTTGAGAATATTTGTCTTATTTGAGCTAGATTTTAGACAGACTTGTAACGGGTCGTTAATTTATAATAATGTCTGTCGGCAGGTATTTATGGAACCGCAATTTTAGATTCTAGTATTATTAACGTAAAGATTATTATGTGCTTCGGTATACTTCCAGCCCTCACAAATGTATGCACATAAATAGATTGATGGGTTTTTCGTGTACGACTACGGCCAATTTCAATTTTACAAAAGTATAAATTGACATATGTACGTACATTGTACATACACTTGACATAACTCTGAGAATGGACGTGTGAATAATAAATGTGAAAACCGTGTGTACGCTGTTTGTCATATTGACAAATACGCCTTTATCGTTTCACCTCCTTTCCACGCTACGTGTATTTACCCAAACCAGTACTACAATTTTCGGAACAAGGGAGATATGAGTTTCCAAAATGAGTTAATAAATAATGAGTGTCATGGGCAGATTTGAAATATCTGTCAGAATTTAGAAGGGAAATCTGCTCCATTTTCAATTGAAAACTACCAGTTTCTTACGGTGGTGAGTGCCAGTGACAGTTTTGGCATGGTTCGAACTCTTCCTTAGAAAGTTGTTCAACCTTGAGATGAGTTGCAAGTAATAGAGGAAAGATGACATTTGGAAAATTTGTATACGTCTTGCTCTCTCGAACCTTAATAAACCTGATTAGTGGCAACGGCGGTAGCGACTGAATTTTCCCAAGGACGAAAGAAAAAGATACTCCACCACGAAGAAGAAGTGGTGACATTACTGACCGAGACTGAGATAAACCATTAATTACTTTTTGACTAACTTTTTGGCTTGCCATGACCGGACTCAATATTCAAGCAAGAGAAAAATCGATTTTCCAAGCAGACTCCTTTGTTAAAATGCATAATGCAAAAACTCTGAGCTAAAATAAAGATGCATGCAGTTTCGTAGTAGTAGTTTTATAGTTTACGATACAACAGATTCATTTATCACAAAGCTTATTCGAACCTATATTTACAAAGTGCGGACTTATGTACTGGCTCCTCGCTGCCTTTCCTACAAAATTGAAGGCAGAGAGAGAGAAAAAGGAGGTAAGACCTCATCGTGTCCTCAACATTCTGCACCCGAGAGACATTTTCATCTCAAGTATCTCTCCAAACGATGAACAAAAAAAGAAGCGACTGCACAAACGATCCTTCCCCGTCTTTTATTTAGCTCGTAAACTTGTGCAACTGCGTTATTGCACTATAACACCCAGAAAAAATGCTACTTTCTCCGAGGAGAATCAATATATATGTATCCCGCAAATGACCGGAATGCCAAACTAAGGATAAGTGACTTGACAAATACTTGAACTTAGGAAAGTTGAGGAATTTACTGGTTTCATAACGAAAGGACCAACAGACAGATATTTCATGGCCTGACTTTTACTGAAATGATGTAATTCACAGGAGACTGACTGCTTCCCAAATCAAGTGGGCCATTTTTTGGAAAATGTATAAGAAAACGTTGATTTAAAGAATTCTAACTTGATGAATACATCAATATATCTAGCATTGCAAGACAAATGAATAAACGCCTGTCGTGTAGTACATTTTTCAGGTGAAAGTGTTCCACCCTTGCAAGTACCTACCTATCTTATTTCATATTCAATCTTAAGATGGGGAGGCATGAAGGTAAAATATTGATTAAATTGAATAGTCTTAACTCACAACCTGTCTACCCGTCTTGTCGAGGCAAAAGGAAACATTATTGTACCAAAACCTTGGCGTTTATGCTTTGAGAAGAAAGTTTGCAATCCTGTTGTCTTTCCTGGGCTACGTGCCTCAATTAATTTTAATTAGTTGGCCCAGGATAACGTTATAAACTCGAGTTGATGTTGTATTCACGCAGCGTGATAATTATAAGTAAGTTGCCTTCTCGTGCCAAAAGTCATATCTTAAGTGAATGGTTCACGAAATGTGTTTTGGGTGGTTATTGTGGTTTTACTTTGAGCACTAAGGTTCGACATGCCATGAAAATGATCATGCAAAGATTGCTTCTAAGGCTCTAACAAAATTCAATTCATGTTCATCAATGTGGAGAATTTAACATAACAAAATCAAGACTTGCACAAGTTTTGTACGTTTTATCCTGCTTGATAGTTTTTTATAAAACGCTACAAGTTTTGTGGGTTTATAAGGACATATACAGTTCATTTGATTTCACAAATGACTAAATTATTAGCATCTCAAGGGAAATCAGCGAACAATGTTCCAATTTTGTTCAAATATAGCAAACTAATCGTGTGACGATGGTAAATACGTATAGGCTTTTTAGCCCGAGTCAGGGCTTATGGAACCGTCATGTCCGTCCGTCTGTCTGTCTGTCTGTCTGTCTGTCCGGCACGATAGAGCCAAAACGGCTGAACCGATTGACTTGAAATTTTTACCATATGCATATTGGACAAAGTTAGGAAACGAGTTCGAAGATGGGCGAAATCGGTCAAGTGGTTGACCGGTGGGGGTCATCGGAGTGGGTGGGGTCTTATGCACTAAAATTTCAAAATTGTTGTAGAGAGCTGAAATTTGGTACAGAGGTTGCTAATGGTTCCTAATAGAAAAAAATAACTTCAGGTTGGAAAAATTTTCATCATGAGTGACCCTATGGGGTGACCCATACCGATTTTTCAAAACCATCATATCGAACTGAAATTTGGTGGAGAGGTTGCTTATGGGTCTTAATGAAAGAATATGATATGATATTGGTAAAATTTTTATCTGGAACGCCCCTATGGGGTGACCCATACCGATTTTTAGAAATTGCTTTAAAAAGATGAAATCCGGCACAATGATACTTAATGACTGCTAATTAAAGAATATGAAGTTAAAAGTGAACAGAGTGCAATCAGTATGGGGTGACCCATACTGATTTTTAAAAATCGTTATATCGAGCTGAAATTTGATTAGGAGGCTGAATAGCACATACATACAGTTTAGAACTTCAGGATGTTAAAGAAGCCACTGGTCATGGTGGTCAAGGCACATGATTTGTAACTAATTCAAAAATTTGGTACCAAATAATAGAAACTATCTAACAAACTTTTAACCATCCACAACACGGAAGATGATGATATTATGTCGGTCAGTTCGGAAAAGAATTTAGAAGCGGGCTCTGACTTATTGAGTCAGGGACTATGTCCCTGACTCGGGCTATATGGAGTCTGCACTGTAGGTTTTTAATAAATGACGAGAATACATTACACGCAGAAGAAATGATTGCATATTGTTTGCAGTATAAAAATCAATTGACAATGAGTCATGTACCTAAGGATCTAACAAGTGAAATCATTGAGCGTGCCTTGGTTTATAGAGCTTCTGATTCAGTGTGTACTTTACTTGATGACAAAAGTAGCTTGGCCTTAGTAATTGAACTTTACCTTCTCTCGAGCTACTTGTACTTTATGAACTGCTCTGAGATATAATTGCATTCTTGTCTGCTTTGATTATATGACTTTGATCGATCCAAAATTAAGCTGTTTATGGTTTCAAATCAAAACAAGTTAATAGAAATCTTGTCATACTTTCCATTTTCAAGTAAGTAGTTCTGGGAAGTGATCAATTTCTTGGCTTGCAAGCTTTATAATGTGTCACAGCGGGAAATTCTTCTTCAATCTTAATGGATTTTTTTGTGAAAAGACAATTTAGAATTGAAGGTTGGGTAGTTTGAGGCAACTCAATAGAAGATGTCAATTGTTATGAACTACAAAGCTGTTGTTTTCGCATGATTCTGTGCACTTATCCGTGTCCAGCCGCGACGGTTTAGGTACTTATCAGTAGTTGCAGTCATGAGTTTATGTAGGAACACGGTTCAGTTAGCATAGGGATGAATTTCAGTATGCATCATATTTGAAAATAGTCGAGCTCTAGTGTCTCAGACTGATTTGTTGTCTAAATGAATTTAGCATGCTGGGTCGGGCCTTTAAATACAGATATGAATATTTGATACATATTGTAGGTTTTTAAGTTAACTAAGTTAACCAGTGAACAGTACGCTGAAAAGTAGCACATGCCCTTTATGAGTACACGAGGACGAACATTTCTTATTAATAAACACCCAATTTTGCGACAAGACAATCAACTATGAGCATAGTTGCGACGACTGAGACTTGCACCGTGCAAGTTGCTCAGAGTTGACACAAGGAAAGCTACACTGTTGTGACGTGTTTGAGAGAAATGTCTCATTAATATTTTATAAATTGTATTAATTATCTAAATTGACACTGTAATATAGAATTGGGAGGTGGCTGTTGGCTCAGAAATTCATTGAAACGACAAAGAGCTGAATTTCTCTGCATAATAATCAACGACTTGTTACATATATTTCCCAAAATTACGTGAATGAGATTAAAAAGTTTGATTCACCGGGTGCCTGCTTTCGATGAGCTCCTATAAGAGTGAAAGTCAGGTTCACTTTTATATTTATTTGAAACTTTTGCACTATAAAATTATTGCTTAATTAATTTGTATTTGATTTAGTTTCAAAAGATATCGTTGTTTGTCGCTCGGTGGTAAGTTTCTTCTGCCGATTACTTTATGCTCGTTACAAAAGTTGGTACAAAGAAGTTCTTGGATGGATAAAAAGACCCTTTGGCGATTCATATTCCAAGTTTTTGTGATCTGTGTATCTGCACAAATACAGGGTGGTTAAAATGTCACGCCACAATGGAAAATTTTTCGATGGGAAAAATCCATAAATTTCCATTAGTTACCGAAATTTTGTCTCTAAAATGCAATATTTTAAGAATTTTGTCATCAGTTTTGATAATAATTTATAAAACCTACAGTGCGCAGTGTTTATATAGCCCGAGTCCTCTTCCAAATGTTTGTCAAGTGACCGGTACAAACCAACTACTAATAGTAGTTGGTACCGGTCATTATGGGGAAATTTTTGTCGATTGCGAATTATTCGCAATCGTCGCTGCAAAATTGCAGCTTCTTTAACCAATTCCAAAAACCCCACTGGGTCCTCCTGGCAAAAAAATCTTAAAGTTTACTTTACATTTATTAAGCTAATCTAACCCTGCAGGACCACGCCAACTTTTAGTCGTCTACGCCCGTTTTCCAAACCAATGGGGGTGACCAGTGTGTGCAAAAAGTCAGCCTTGTTGCTATTTGTTCCTATTTGCCTTTTTGCGTGCCTTTTTGAACTGTATAGAAAACGCAATGAATAGCTTTCACTTTAATTTTATTTCTTCTCATCTCGCCAATTCAAGTATGACCAATTTCTCGAATATCAGTTACCAATTTTTAAAATAGCTACTTTTAGAAACGGTATGGGTCACCCCCTAGGCTACTCTGGTTCCACTTTGTTCGCTTTTAACTTGATATACTTCCATACGAGACCATTAAGTATCACCATACCGAATTTCATCTTTTTAAGACAATTTATAAAAATCGGTATGGGCCACCCCCTAGGATCGCTCCACATAAAAATTTTACTAATTTAACTTCATATTATTTCATTAGGAGCTATTAGAAACGTCAATGGTAAATTTCAGCTCAATTAAATGATTTTCAAAAATCGATATGGGTCACCCCCTCGGGTCCCTCCAGATAAAAAATTTGACCAATTTCATTTAATGTTCTTCCTTAAACCCCATACGCAACCTATCTACCAAATTTCAACTCGATATGACGATTTTGACAAATCAGTATGGATCACCCCCTAGGGTCTTTCAAAATAAAATTTTTTCCAACTTAAATTCATACTCTTTCATTAGACACCATTAGCAACCTCAGTGCCAAATTTCTGCCTTCTATGACAATTTTGAAATTTTGATGCATAATACCCCATCCACCTATATGACCCCCACTGGTCAACCACTTGACCGATTTCGCCCATCTTCGAACTTAACTCCTCATTTGCCCCATACTACATGTGTAGCAAATTTCAAGTCGATAGGATGAGTTTAACGAGAGTTATCGTAAGACGGACAGACGGACGGACGGACGGACGGACATGATGGTTCCATAAGCCCTGACTCGGGCTAAAAATCTCAATCCCAAATCTTGTAACTAATGGAGATTTAGGGACTTTTCCCATTGAAAAATTTTCCATTGTGGCGTGACATTTTAACCACCCTGTACATGCAACCCAATCCTGCAAAGGTAACATTGCATAGTTGCAAAGAATTTAATGAGAGTTATCTCGTGTTACCCAGATGAACAACAGTAAATATCCTTTAGCTTTTCCGTTATGAAAAATTTATGACACAGTTAATATGATGGTTGGATAAAAGCACTTTCTTCAGTGTTGCTTCATTTCGTTTGGTTTACTGGAAGGAATCTTGAATCGAATTTGCATTGTAGAATATTCCTCTCTTGGAACTGGCAAGGCAGAGCAAATGTTATTACCTTTTCATTCAATTCAATGTTCACAGAAAGCGTATTACATCCGCTAAGTGAGCATAACATCATTTTCTGTTGACGTTAAAAGTCAGCAGTTTGGTTCCTTAAGTGTGTTGGGAAAGCACTTATGGGCCCTCCTTGGACTATTTACTGCTCGTACAGATACATAAGTAAGATGGCAATATCTATACGCCAAGGCTATGCAATCTTATTACAATTCATAATTCATCGCTGAGAAGGAATATTTGCGTAATAAATATAATTGAGCAAATAAAGTTTAGAATTTCCCATTCCGCCCCGATCTGAGAGGAAGGAGAAAGCAATTTCCTCCATTACCCGAGTGGAACATGGCTACATTTACACTTTTTACCGACCTTTCTCCCATCTTCTCTCTTGTACATCGTCCCGCCTTACAAGCAGTTCTTCACAGAAATATCACCATAACTGTAATCTAATGTCGCATAAAAGAACGGATCTATTGAGTTATATTTTTCTTTCAACATACACTTTTTCCCTGGAACAAGGCATGGAAATATGTACGTGGTCGATTTTCAAGAACGCTAACCCATTCACCATCTTATTTAAATAAAGAAAAAAAGCTGTCCTTGCAGTAACAATGTTGCCTAAATATACATATACGAAAAGTCGTAAAGTCTGTCGTACGAATATCAACGACCCTTTTTTACTGTATCAGGCTGGAATTTTTAAAAAACTCTGGATAAGAAAGTTGCGACTTGCAAATAATTGTGTTATTTAACTTGGGTATGAAGGGACTATGAAACAGTCAGAAAAGCTTAGGAATTTAGAGAGTAGAGAAAGTTGGCGAATATTTGTAATTGTCCAATTTTTTTTCTCCGTTGAGAACGAGCACAACTATTTTGCTAAAGTAGTTGTGTAAGAGTTTAAAGTAAAATCATAAATTCTTTGCTTACCTTGATATTAAGTAGTATGCAACCGGATGTGAGCTGAGAATTTGAAAGCCAAATATTTACTTATTTATTCCTTTTAATTTCCTAAATTATTTTATGAATATTATGCTCTCTCATTCCATTTTTTATAACTTAGAGAATCATAATTTCTTGTAATTTTCTGAGAATGTGAATCAATGGAATCGTGATTTTCGATCCTGCAGCTGAGGCATACGTTTAGCAGACAAACTTGAGCCAAGGAAGCAGCCATTAGTGTTAATTCGCAATTTATATGCATCTAATGAATGAATGAGCAACTCAAGACTCGTCAATGTTTGGGTACGCTATGCCTTCGCGTCTCATTTCGATCTTCCTCTGAACATATTTGCTAAACAGCCATAAAATCTGAGGTTATCTAATCTAATTTACTAATCTAATCTAGCTGAGTCGCATCAGAAGATCAATGGCTTGCTGTGGTTTTTGGCCCTAGCCAGGGCTTATGCAACTGCTTTACCCGGACACGATAGAGCCAAAACGACTGAACAAATTAAGTTCAAATTTTAACTAGTATGTAAGTTTGTGTATGAGATGACATATAGGTTAAGTTATAAGATAAGCCAAGTTGGTTCAGGTTGCCTTTTCCTAACTATTAGGGACTTGGGGTATTATGCACAAAATAGCATCAAAATTAGTTGGTTTCTAATGATCTGAAGAATGTACCTAGTTTGGTCATCTGGAACAAAAAGTCAGCGGATGGCTCCGACTCGGGCTAAATGAAGTCTCCACTGTATATTTGCATACCATTTCACATTGGGCTGGTAAATAGGTACCATCAAGAGTTATGCATTCTAATCTATGCGCATATGTATGTACTGAGAAAGTTCATGGCTGCTTAGAGCAATGTAAATATCTCACAAGTTACACAAATCGATTATTGATGGGCATTGCATGAGCAAGTGCAGATGGTATTGGAAAACTTGGGTGGATATAAATACATTAATTAAAATTCACGATCTATACAGAATGTGAGGACAAGTTATACAGAAATTTATGAAAGTCAATAACTTGATGGTTTCGGCGTTTTCTTCTTTCTCTTGCACACAAGACATGCCTCTGCATATTGGGTGTGCTATCGCGTCTGAACCAAATCTCTACAGAAATTGTTATTTGTTTATTATTGGCCATAAACACCCCACTTTACTTCACTCACTATCATCGGCTGAGAATGTTTGGAATTTGGTTAGAGCACTATGTAATAGGACTGGTAAGGAGAGAAGAGTTTATTTACGTATTACTCGATAAATTACAAATAACGGTATTTTCTGGTTTATAGCAAGTGACTTATTGATGAAATCGTGATGTACGTAAAATCCAAACTTTTAAATAAATCTATAACAAATTATTGACTAATCTACCGTTTTGTAATAATGACAGAATGGTTAGGAATTTATAATCATACTGAGACCATGAATTATGTAATTATGAAATTGCAAGCTCCAAAATGAATATGCATAAGTTTATTCACAACATTTATGGCAGTTTGAAAAACATTATCTAGAAACTTATCTGGAATTTAAATGCAAAACTGAAGCGTCCGTCAGATTCTATAAACAGGTGTCGGTGTATGAAGGATTTATTTACTGAATGTCGCTCTTTAAGTTCTCATGGGGTTTAATTTTTTGGCACGCTGTTTATTCCGTAAGTATGGATTTTTGGTGCTACTAGGACCACAAATCTTTGTTGAATGGGTTTTTGTGGTGATTTTAGTCCGTTTGAGAAATTGTCTCCCTTATGCCTTCTCATCCTCAGCGAGTTGGCGTGTAAAATAGATTCATCTCCATAAATATGACACTCCACTATCCTGCAGACCAGCCAAAAATTGTATTGCGACTATAAATAGTGAATGCTAATAAATTGCATAGTCGACTTCGTAGAATAACGGGATTTGATATCAAAACTAGTCTGTTCACCCACGACTTGTGATATGATATAGTTTTGACACATCTGTTATTTATTCACGGGGTTAAATTAATCTATCAATCTCAATTAAGTAAGATAAACAACATTATTTAAATCTGACGTTGACACGAAAATAGGCAACTATGTACAGAGGAACATGATCGCAGCACAACAATTCAATGGCGTAGTAGCAAAATAAAAATTAGTGCGATGAATGAGACTGAATCCATTCTATGAAAAATCGTCATCATGCATCGACACAATGCATGCCCAACGTAGGGCTATGAATCATGTGACGGCTAAAATTTCTACTAACAAAGGGATTACTCGTGAACACGGAATTAATTTAGTGAATTTCGTACAATCAAGCAGTTGCCCGGTTGCTGAATGCAAGGCTACGGAGCGTGTGCAGAGGAGTGGAAACATGATATGCACCAAGAATACAGAACTGTCAATACAACAAATTGCTCCATGAATGAAAGATGAGGTATGTCAAGGGCCAGGCAGCCAGCATGTCTTTGTCGTGCAAAAGTTGATTTTGTACTGCAAGGTCCACGTCTCCGTCAAAAGTATGCACGTAAGGAGTACATTTGATATTACGCAAAAGAACCAAACGAACCAAGTGATGAATGTACTCTGCCCACATTCATCACTTCTCCTGCGAAACTCTTCTTGCATAACAACGACGACTTTCTTTTGTTGCTTGTAAAGAAATTGTGCAGGATGAACCCCACAGAGTGAGATCAGAGGCAAATGTGTTGATTGATAAGGCAATTTTGCTTTATTCAACGAAAGTGCTTCGCCGTAAACTTGTATTTTCCTTGGTCTTTCATCTATGTATATTTTTGCACAAAATCCATGCTGGAAAGGTGAGTCTGTCAGTGATGATGATCTGGTTTCGCATTACGTGTCGGTGACTATGCAAAATTATGTGTTTGACAATTATGAAAAATGCAATGGAACAACCCTCTATTCCAGACTACTAAATAACTACCATTCACCATGGTGTAGTGAATAGACTTTTGGATTGCAAAATAATGTGTGCATTATAATAGAACAACTGCGTGACATCAAGTCATTGATCAACGTTCTTACGGTTTAAGAGAATCGCATGGTAGGGAGCAATCCATTCATTTGTATTTTAACACTTGTACATACGTATGCACAGTTGTTGTTTGTTGGGACTTGTGCCGATGCCCTTTCACAAACCACGAGAGAAAGTAGTTTGTTGACCACGGATGGAAATTTACGAATTGACGATGATGACCCATGAGTAATTGCTCATAGTTATCTTTCTCGGTCTAATCTACAATAGTTGTGCTCACCAAAAGTTATTTGCCCCAAATAAAGTGGTCAAGGCTGTTGGGTTTGGTGGTAACAATGACAAGCAAATAGGGTCTTGTCATCTTAATTTCTCGTCATCAGCATTTATTGACAAATTTATGAGCTAAGTTTGTGAAAGGGTTGTACGGTCGGTAGGTTACCACCGCACCATCACCGGTCCTCTTATCTAATAGACCGAGAAGGAATAAACTGCTCAAAATCAGCAATATTTTTATGCTGCAGGAAAGTACCCTTCCCATTCCTCCCATTTCGGGACCATGTCTTTGTCCAACTCTTCATTTTTGGTAGCAAAACTTACAGGATCAAAGTAAGCTTCAGCGACTACGTACTGCATTCGGCAAAAAAGAAGACGAACCAACAATTGTGACAGAAGATTTTACGACACTCGTATGTGTCATAAATTGCATCTATTTGTGTTTCTGCCAGTAGAGTTTTCCCGTTTTATTCCACAATTTAGACCTCAAACTGTAAAAATTTCAACTCTTTTCTCTCTTATTTTATTAGTGCTATTACTTGCAGTTACGATTACGATTGTTTAAACATTCTCTACGACAATGGAACTGGGTGAAATGGCTTGGGTGAAATTAACGGTGGTGCTGGTGGTGCTCCATCCAGCAGCATCTGCAACTTTCCTGGCTTTACTTACTTTCCCTCGATTTTACAGCTAGATTGCATTCATACTTTTTGCAGCCGCTTTTCACGCATCTTTTGATTACATTTTCCCCACACGCAATTTCCCCAAAGGAGGTCGGTCGTGAGATGCGTTTAACTCTGTTCCGTTTTATTACCCATGCTGGCAGGGAAATGGAATAAAATTTGGCTGCGTTTTGCACAATTTCACTTGAGGACTACTAATGGATTCATAAGAAAGCGAAAAGATTTGCAGAAACCTCAATCTCGTCTGCTCCAAAGGAAACTCTGCTGCTGCTGCTGCTTTCACTAATAACACTAAGATGAAATGAGTAAGCCACTGTTTTAGTTGTTTCAGACTTTCGGGGTCGTATCCAGAACGACTGTACTCGTATATTGTTCCAAAAGTAGAGTAAATGACGCGCATTAGATCCCAATGCGTTTATCCACTCACTGCAGAATCATCTAATTACGAATTAAAAGAAAATCTAATTAGAACCCTAAAAAAATTCAGCTTGTCTCCTACAAGTCTCTCCGGCACGAAGTTATCGGGCAATTATGCTGCATCTGCCCAAAGTAAATAAAAGGACTGACAGACCATCCATGACAGGCAGATTATAGAACCAACCGCCATAATAAGCAGGATTTGGACGACGAAGGTTTGTGTACTCTCAAATTGAGGAAATAAATGTTTGCTTAAGAGAAAGGTAACAGCTGCGTGGCGTTAATTATATAAACTTGTGCAGCGAGAGAGAGAAGGCAAGAGATTCATCGGTGCACCTTCCACTAAAAAGCTGTACATGGCACAGGATGGTGTCATTATTCAACATTTTGACAACTTGGATTGGAAAAACATGAATAAAATTGAGGAAGTATCTGATTCCTTACTTGCATATTCATAGACTTTGCGTTTCAGTTAGATGTTTACTCCAAAAATATAAATCACAGTTGTCCGCTACTTACCTTGTTGAACCACGAGAAAGGTTGAATTGGGGTCGTCCGTCAAGCTACCAGCAGCAGCGCAGCGTATGTAAAAGAGAGTCTCTGGGGTCGGCCTCTTGCAGATTGTTGTCCACAATGACCACCTGCCTGAGAAAATGGATTCAAAAGTGAAATCGGATTTAAGTTAGTGAATAAAAGTATTATGCGAGTGCATTATCTGGCCGCCAGATAATGTAACACAAGGCTTTTTCTTGAAAGGGTTTTGCAACTTGACTCGGAGTTGAATGGAGAAAAGTACTTTAGGGAAGTCCAAAGAACTTTAGAGTTCAAAGGATTTTAATTCGTACTTATGACCAAGTTCCGTTCCCATCTTCAGGGTCCGCAGAGACCAGCTCGAAAAACCAACCGTAAACGTGGGAACGGCCATTACATACAATTGCAAGTGTTGGAGGGCTTGATTATGCTGCCACATTGTTTGTACGTAGAACACTCATGAGTCAAGATCCTGCATGCATGTAACTATTTATAACCTAAATTTAGTATGTACTACAAGAAAGAAGAAATGCAATAAAGGGAACATGTACGTTACGCAAGCATGTCTGTACGTATACACATTTGCCTGCTGGACACTAATTGAAGTCACTCTTGTGCTAAATATTTAACACAGCCCGTAATTAAGAGAGATGAGGGATATTATTGATGTATGTATCTACTCGGTATGACGATGTCAAAAGTAATGTAAAAATACATGTATCAAATATGCCACCAAAAAGCGACAAAAAATAAAGTGAAATTGCTATCCTTTCATCAAACCAGTACGTGACAAGTCTTGTTGAGTTACTGCATACACCTGTGATGTCACTGTCTGACATGAAAAAATGCCTTCACAACTTTTCAGTTTTATATATTTTTTATCATTTTGCTTTGAACAACCTCATGTTGGTTGTTTAGCTGTGGTAGTTATTAAATTTGCAAACTCCAAGTTTATTTGCACAAGGGGTGGATCATTGAGCATCGCTTTCTTTTGTCGCTTGTGACTAATTCCACCACAAGCGTCATGTTTGCATAAACATTGATTATTTTGTTGAATGGCTGTTTAAATTTAGTAAATGTATTCTGGGACAATTACAAATGTTGGAGTGCATTTACCGCAACTACCGAAATGCATACAACAAAGTTTATGTAACATAAAGGGTCTCACATCTGAAAGGAACTTGAGACTGAGAATTAACCAAATTCTCTCCGACGACCACTACGGACAGCCAAACGTGAAAGGTGTTCAATGTGATTACGTTCTGTTGCACAATGTCGCGGTTTGCTTTGCGATTGTCACTCTCTCTCTCTTCATCCATGCAAGGAATATGGAATTGCATTGCATACGCCCTTTATGAAGGACAAATCAAATCCGTGCTCGAAATACCGTAATCTGAGCTGTTTGTCCTTGCATTCATACATGCATATTGTATTCTACACAGATTTTCCTTGTTTAGCATTTTCTCCTAAATTGAGACTTGGACAAAAGAAGTGTAGTTCAAATATGGAAATTCTTCTGCATTTGCTTGGCGCTATAAATGTACTTCTACAATTATAGAGAAATTCCTTGTCCAATTAATTACTTAAGTTAATACAATCACAGCAGCATCAAAAAAATTAAGAGAGGCAATTTTTAGCAAATGGTTGCGTTTAACCTATTTTTCGCTAGAGCACTTTTTCATTTCATTAGGGAAGCAAATATGTACATGTCTAGCCCAGCAGAGAGAAAGGGAAACGTTGAGCTTTGTATATGAGATTTGCTTCTTTCTCTTGTACTTACTTATTATGGTGCAATTTTGGCCTTCCTTATTTTTGAATAACATTAGCTTCTGAGAAATTGCCGATTCTTTTGGTCTTTGTTTTCCCTGAATACAAATTTTGCTGACATTTAATGAAACAACGCACAATGGTTATTTGTGATATCCTTTCTCCGCGATGTGAACGCAATATGCCAGGGACGCAGACTGTGTAACCTTTTACATGGCTACATGGATTGATTTATGTGCAAGACAATGCCGCCTTTGCGTAGTGATACCCACATTTTGTACTGGATAAGACATAGAGTAACTCGTAAATAACAATAGAGGATCTTAGAAAATGGACAAAGTATTTATAAATAAAAAGAAATATCACGCACTATTTCGTAATTAGTAGTTACTAAATAATTTTAAGCTGTTTCTTGTACGGTTTGCAGGATGAGATCGAAGCTTAGCTGGTAGCTTATTTTCTTACTTGTATGGATTTTGTAAAAGTTCTAGTGTTATGGACGCAGTCGAGTTGAAACTAAATTGGCATTTGTTTCCTGATTGTTTGTGATGAACGAGTTTCTTTGCAACTCGACCTTTGTTTGATGTGAGACAGTTTGTTGGCATCATGACTGTAAATCATCGTCAGACGACCAGTCCTTTTTACAAAACTCCCAAAATCCTATATAAATTTTGTCTTATTATTTGGCAAAGTAATTGAATAGGATTCTCAAGCGAAAATATAAAAGTGAAAATGGGAGAAAGTCGGGCAGCTTTTCACTGCCAAATTTATGGAGCAAACGTCTAGATTACGCACTTCCGGGCGGATCAACGACATAAAATAGAAATTGCGTGACCCAATAAAAGTATATATATATCAAAGAACTTACTCTCCAAAGCAAACTGCGACAAGTTTTGCTCCCAACTGTTCTCTGTATTGTCCTCAAATGACAAAATGTAGCCCAGCACACTTTTATGTGTTCAAACAACCAAGTTTGCGACTCTGTTCTTTTCGAGATGAACGGATGTGATGAATGTGTTGGTTGTTTGTTGGTCAGTCAGCGACCCAGAAATCAAGTCGGCAAAGTACGAGTTTTTTGTTAAGATGCTCTTGTGCTAACTTATGACAATGAGATTGTACGGCAACTGACTCCTTACAAATACATTAAAATAAATAAAATGTGTCACATATATGAAATTCTTCTAGCAGATTTAAGCAGAATTGGATTAAATTTATGTTTAAAAAAAATGTGTAGGTATGTAGATAGGTGATCTTGAGAGTGCAGTATTTAATATCGAAATGTAGAAAAACGTTAACCCGTACAGATAAAAGTATTTTTCAAGTTTTATGGGTTTCCTACGTTTATTACTGGAACAGAAATTGAGGAGGTTGACAGTTTTGTGGAAACTTTGGTTTTAGCCGTGTGACAAGAAAAGGAAGAAATATAGGGGTGAAATAGCTAATAAATCCTCATAAGAGTCCACTTGGTCCAAAGACAAAAAATTACTGTGGTTCGAGTTAAGCACGCCCACCACTCCAATTTCGATACAACTCTTGCTCTTCCTTTGCTTCCCTACTTTTGCAACATCTCAGTCTGTCGGATGTGTTTGGAAAAAATCTATCGTCTCCGTGGTTGAAACGGAAGAGGATTGTTTTATGGGACTGAATTGATTTGCGGTAATGACCACTTTCCAGCAGCACACAACTTCCTTCCCCCAGGCTGCTGGGTGGCTTCTACCTAATTCTGTGTTATTGCTCGCTGGACCAACTTGTGGCTCGGGTCGGGTGAAAGTGCTAAAAATAATACCAACAGTGTGCGAGACTTGGGGGAGAGACTTTGTTTTGAGGACTAGAACCGATCTCTTCTGGAGAGAAGACACTGACAAACTGAGCTTTTATCCCCCAGTTTCACAGCTTATGTCTTCGAACGTGACTCTTGTCTTGCCCTTTTCTCGTTTCCAGTGGAGAAGCTAGAAACGGCAGAACCTGGCTCATCCCATGCAAACACACAGCATTGCATATCATTTCTTTCGAGGAGGCATCCTGAGATTCACTACAAATTCAATGCAATTCCTGTGTTGTGCTACTGCCAGATGTGATGTGTTTCTCCTCTTAAATCACTTGAATCCTCCTACCGTAATGGATGAGCAAGTAGGCTAAACAAATACCAAACCCCATTTATAATACTGCTCTTCGTGGTTGACATATTGGAAGAGAGTGTGCTCACAATCATCCCATGATTTCACAGAATTTTAAAATTTGATTAAAATTCAATAAAATTTTCCCACACAATTCGCTAGAAAATGTTTTATAAAGAAGTACATGTTATGGTATGTGTTTGATGTAAAGTTTTACTAGCAACTGCGCGAAAGTAGCTTATACGTATGTCGTATTTTAGCCAACAGCCCATATTTTTCGTAAAAAAGGGACTTGTTTTTCCAATCGTCCTCGAAATAAATGCTGAATGCGCCCGGATCGTTGGCAATCACGGATATTCATTCCTTGTCACCTCCCCAAATGGGGCTCGAGGGAGGAGGTGACACTACTTTCTCCACGGTCTCCCTATGGTGGCTCAAGTGGAAAGCAAAAGAAGCTGTCAGGAAAATGTACAGCACGGTTGTTGAATCCGAATGTTTGACGACTCTGAGTGGATATTTGCGAATGTATGACTGCGATGTTGAGACTCACAGACTGAGAAAGAATGGCTTTTGAGACATTTCTATTACAGATAGCTTCATGTTTGATTCATCCTCCGTGGACAAAGGAATAACACCCGCAATTTCGATCCTCCCATGTACAGATAGATGGATACGGAGAATAATCATGTTTGTTCAAACTCGTGAAGTCTGACGCGAATTCAAACCAGAAGGACAGCAAGGAAGAAAGGAAAGATGAGAGAGAGAGATTTCAAAGATGAAATGAACTCTGTATTTTGGATTTGTTCATGATTTTCATTATTCTTATAAATCTAGATCTTACTGTCGCTAAGAATCACTCGAGTACATTGTTTTCGGAGTTCAAAAGTACGCATTGTGATGTTGACTATATTAGGGAACTGTCACATGCAATAAGTTTTCATTTTCTGCTACTCTTGTGGAAATACATATACAACTCAATGTCCTATACGCCGTAGTTGCACAATGTCCATATATACGTATTTATGTATGTGCGAACCAGAATCAAAGGCATACCTTTGAGTTTAGTTGGTACATACGCATCCATAACATCCAAAGAACACTGGGTTCTTTCCTCCTAAATTTTGTGTATTTGTGTCTCATCCAATTATGAGCCGTTCACTCACGACACAAGTGACAAGACAGACGCCGTTAATGAAAGTAACAAATCTCAGAATGTGTGAGAATGTGTGTCAACTGAGCAACTGGGAATTGAAAATAACACAGTTCAATGTTCTTCTTGGTCTGCTCTCTGAGATTGTGATGGTCCAATTAATGGGTTCTCAACTCGTGTCTGATGTGGAAAGTGCAGATGTCAAATGTCAAGTTTGTGTTGTACGTATCTATGTACTTGTGACGAGTAAAAATTGCTGAAATAAGCATTTACGTATAGGTCAGGCAGTCCTGTTAGAAATTAGTGTTGTATTTTAAGCCATAGTAAAAAATATAGTCATCTAGTCATGAAATCTCCAGGCGGCGTCACCTTACACTGATTTAAGCAGTTTAAATAAATAGGATGTCTGACTGAAAATTTAATTAACAACGTACAAGCTCTCTCTTTGTTTGCTTGCGAACATAATTCAAATGGTTCACAAACAAACGACTTTATGCAACTTTGTTGTGAGACTCTGGGTGTCTGCACTTTATTTGATTCACAGCGGAAAATAGTAGTTCCGGTTGAATGAAAATGGAAAGAGTAAAAATGTCGACACGTGTGCTAGTACACACAAGGCTGGCATGTCCTTTGCCCCAGCGGTATTGTTTGTTGCTTATTTCAGGCATATTTCAAGCAAATAATAAGTTCTCGAAACTTTTTTGTTTGACGAAATTAGCGCAAAAGTGGGCCATCCGTAAGACTTCACAACATGTGCGCATCAGCAACAATAGCGACAACCCGTGCATGGTTATCAACAAAATGTATTTCTGAGATTGTTTGTTGTCTAATTGCAATATGGGATTTGATCAAAAGGAAATGAAATGACGGATAAAACTTGTACATGGAAGATGCCTAAATGAATTTGGAACTTAATTTTACATACAAAAGGCTTGTTCGTCGAATATGAAAAATTATGATTATTTTTCTTGTGTTACATAACTTCATATTCTACATATCACGAAATGACTAGAAAAATGTGTTGTATCCTTAAATTGAATTGTTTCGCTTTGACATGAAGTTAATCATCAATAAAATGTTAATTCAAATTGCAAAATTGTCTCAATGGAAGAAGGATTTTCGTAAAACGTAAATATTACACACATTATTATAGTATATGTAAAATATTTGGAGGAAATGGCTGACCACCAACAACACAGGATTCAGGAAAGCCACAATATTCAACATTCCAATTATAATTCAATTTCCGCTTTCCTTCTTTAGAACTGTCAAATATTCTAACGTGAAATCTTGGCAAGCAAAAGTAATAGGATTTTTATATTTTGGACATGTATTCAGTCTGAGCTGAATCCAGAATCGGAAACTCAGTTCAAGTTTAGTTTCCAATTTATTGACGAGGAAGCAAGCAAAGGCGGCTTTTTACATATTTCACTTATTCGTCAGGTCGTCGAGGAACATTTGAATCAGAATGGTAATTTGTCAGTGGAAAAGCTCAAATTTTGTTATTAAGCATGTAAATGTTTTGCACATAGCGAGAAGTAATTTCTGTGCACATTGGACAATGTGGAGTTCAAACTGGTAACGCTTGTTGGGAGTTGTATTGCTTGGAGCATGGAATTCAACCTGATGGAGAAATGCCTTCCGATAAATCCGTCGGGCTGGCTGATGACAGTTTCAACACTTTTTTCAGTGAGACAAGCGCCGGAAAGCATGTCCCCAGGGCCATATTTATTGATCTCGAAGAATCCGTTGTCGGTAAGTGACATAAGCGAAACCTAAAGTTCAAGGAGTGAAATGTTGGGGGTGGTAAACTGATGCATAAATAGATAAAGGTTTTCTAAAATAATGGACATTTATCATTTCACACTTTAAAAAACGATAAGGTTTGTAGATATGACGCACAGTCAGATTTACGACGGACATGATTATTCTCCAGAGACAATTTTCTAAAATTAAGTATGTTCTATACATAATCGTCGCACTGCTAAAATAACATATTCGGTTGCAGTTAATTGCTCATTTTATTTTACAAATTCTATTATTGACAGAATCAAGTTCAGTATTCAAACGAATGCTATTTAGTAATATCAGACAGCAGACTCTTAACTCAAAGGCGACTCTGCCAATTATTATGTTCTACGTGAAGAATCTCGTGAATTCGTCAATGAATTTTCAACAAGAGGAGTACTGGATTTTGTGCTCTTCTTGCAATTAAATTGTCAATTATCCCAATTTGTTGCTTCAGTTCGATCGTCTAGAAATTCTGCAAACCTTTAATAATCAAAGAAATGTTCCTCACATCAGTAATTTTAAAATGGTCCAATTATCTGCTGCAGAATCCTTTGAACTCTGAATATCTCCTGTTATATTTAGACACTTTGTGCCCAATCAATCCAAGAATCCAAAAGCCATTCGACTAATAAACCTGAATTCTTTCAATTATAGACGATATCAAACAGGGAAAATACAAAAAGCTATTTCACCCAGACCAGATGCTTACAGGTAAAATTAATGTGAACCTATTTCGAGTTTCGTACGTACAATTATAGTACAGCTCAATTCTTGTAGGAAAAGAAGATGCGGCCAACAATTATGCCAGGGGGGCTTATACCACTGGGAAGGAAATTATTGATGTGACAGTTGACAGGTAGAGAAAAGAAGCACTTGTGCTTTCAATGTTTTGACTATCAAGGTTTATGGAATTCTCCAACTTGGATACAATCGATACATATCTTAAACCTGCACTATATACATAAACCAACAATTTAGTCAAGCAACCTACGCATTTTTTTCTCGAAACTTGTGCATTGACGAAGTAATTGAATTTCTTGATACTTTTACTACGAACTGAACTTCTTAGGATTCGCAAATTGTCCGATCAATGCTCCGGCTTACAAGGCTTCCTCATATTCCGATCCTTCGGAGGTGGTACCGGATCCGGTGAGTTGGAATAACTTTTTTTCAGGATCAATGAAATAGCATAGAATTTCTAAACCGAGTTCCTGAAAATTGTACAAATGACATCATCATTATCTGCAAATTCATATTCAATCGTTTGGAAAAGGAGATATCCGAGTTTTAATTCAATGGTGAATGAATACATAATATGTTTTCTCATAGGATTCACCTCATTACTGATGGAACGTTTGGCAGTAGACTATGGAAAAAAGGCCAAGCTCGAATTTTCTGTGTATCCTGCGCCACAGGTTGGCTAAGCTAAGTTACTTGCATTTAGTACAAAAACACCTACACACACAAATAATATATACATGCACAAATATCCTACAAATCTCTTTTCGTACAAAATGTGGAATTGTTGTTTGAGATGGAAGACATTCATGCAAACGTCGTTGGACATGCTTTGATTGGTTTTTGCTAGGTTTCCACTGCAGTTGTCGAACCTTACAACTCCATCCTTACTACTCACACAACTCTGGAACACTCCGACTGCACATTCATGGTCGATAACGAAGCCATTTACGACATTTGCCAGAGGTGATGGATAATGGGATAAAATATTTATTTTATTGGGAAAATCAAAACTGCATGATCCATGTGGGCCGAGGGCAGATGTATGCAGGAAAAATAGTTGTACCTTAAATGTGATGATACATGTAGGAATCTGGGAGTGGAACGGCCAAGTTACAACAACTTGAATCAATTAATTGGACAAATCGTATCGTCAATAACGGCCTCCTTAAGATTCGACGGTGCTCTAAACGTGGATCTAAACGAATTCCAAGTAAGCATCTTTGTCATGATAGTAGCATCCAAATCTGCACTTTAAAACTCTTCAGTTGGCAATATTATCACTCGTCGTAGCAAGAGAAAAATTGGCACAAGTTTAGTTTTGTTGCCAAAAAGTAAACTTATTTCCATCGCCAATATTGGAAGAATTTTCAAACAACAACTCAAACAAGAGTTACATCTAAATTTGGATCAAAATGGATGTCCCACTCATCGTTGCTTGAGAATTTTGAAGAGTCTGAAGTTTAGTTATTTGAAATTGGATTGTTTTGGTCGACTTTCTCAAGTGTGTACTCAGCAAAATTTGTGGAGTTTGTGTATCAGTATTGTTTCATCCTTCAGATTTACGACAATGGTAAATACATATATAGTGAGTTATGTAGATATGAAAGCCTGCGTGAGAGATTATAGTGAAATACTTTGGTGTATTTAGTACTCGGTATACATTCATGAGGATTCCTCTTTGTCTGCAGAAATTGCATAAAATTTGTTTGTTTATGAGCGACACATACAAGATTACGTTGGTGACTTTATGAGATAAACGGGAACATTTCCGACGCTGAATTAACGTCATCATCAGCGTCTGCTCTAATAATAATAGTTTAGTTTATCCTGCAACAGATTGATAGTAATAATAAAGAGGCGAGGAAAGCAAGGATCATGGCAAATATTGGGAAAGCCGTATTGTGACAATCGATCCTTATTGTATTTCTTCCTAGACTAATTTGGTGCCGTTCCCTCGTATTCATTTTCCGCTTGTGACTTACGCCCCAGTCGTATCTGCCGAGAAAGCTTACCACGATGATTTTTCTGTTGGGAGGATCACCAAGGCTTGCTTCGAGCCTCAGAACCAGCTAGTAAAATGCGACCCAAGAACAGGTATATATTCCAATTACTTATTATTCCATCCAACAAAATCTTTTAGTGTTTCCCCACCGTCGTCGTCGTCACCGTCGTCTTGTGAGCATTGGGTGCTAGGATTCGGTCGGACCCCAATAAAGGAAATACATACAACGATATATTCTATTTTCGCAGGAAAGTACATGGCTTGCTGTTTATTGTACAGAGGGGACGTTGTGCCAAAGGAAGTAAATGCAGCAATTGCAGCCATCAAGATGGAAAAAACGATTCAATTTGTAGACTGGTATATATACAACATACATTTGTAGTTTGAATACTTTTATGTACATACGCATGTATATAAAATGTAGGGTCGCATTTAATGGCGACCCTAAGTGACTGAATGGGATACCCTAACAACTAAACCCTACGGTGGACTGAATGGCCTTCCCTAACAGGTCGAAATTAATAGCTAATAACTGAATCTCGACCCTAATATTCTGATAGTTAAAAATCATGTATTTACATCATTTTTAAGGCAATTACATCTCGATTATCATTCATTAAAACCATTTCGTAGAATTAGTTCATAAATTAACACAAAATCAGTCAACAACAAGGGCTGAACTGAATTTCTTTGGGCGCCCTGGTCCTCGTTTTGACCCAAGAGGTACATTTTTGCAAGCATCCGAGGTATTAAAATCTCTGCGAATGTGTTGATACGGCAATTCCAATCGGGTGCATGTTGCAATTTTTGTCCGAAGTACCAATAACGATAACTGGGGAATTTTCCCAAATTAATTTGTACGTTCTTCAGAAGATGACTCCGAACCGGAACTATATGGGCATAGGGTTTCGAATTTACTCATATTTTAGTATTTTCTACTTTGACTTTGCGTATGAACTATAATTTAGTTAGTTAAAATATATTGAGAAATTAGGATAAAGTTTAAGATAAATGAGGATGGTTATTGGCAAGTTAGGGAAGGCCATTCAGTCCACCGTAGGGTTTAGTTTTTAGGGTATCCCATTCAGTCATTTAGGGTCACCATTAAGATTTGCCCTAAAATGTATAGCATGTGCATACAGATGTAAATGTAATACGACTATGCATATATATATTCCAGGTGTCCCACAGGGTAAACCCCCATGATAAATGCTGACCATGTTTACTTTGGGAAATGAGGTCGTACATTGTATTTGTACACATCGTAATAGTAATTGCTCAATTGTAAATCACAGATTCAAAGTAGGCATCAACAACCAACCACCAACGGCTATTCCCGGAAGCCAACAAGCAAAAGTTGGTCGTGCTGGTATCATATACATATATTATATTACAATTAATACTAGCACAACAATTCAGCCTGGACATTAATAATTTAAATGACCATGATTTTTCTTAGTTTGTATGCTATCCAATAACACGGCAATCGCCACGGCGTGGGCAAGATTAAATCACAAGTTCGACTTAATGTTTGCGAAACGGGCCTTTGTCCATTGGTACATAAAACAATGATCACTAACTAAATAACTAACAACATGTGCATAATAAATCGATGCAGTGCATAATATTTACATATGTAAGCACAGAATGACATGCGCTTTTTTGGCAGGTATGTTGGGGAGGGAATGGAGGAGGGCGAGTTCGCGGAGGCCCGAGACGATCTGGCGACCTTAGAAAAGGATTATCAGGAAGTTGGCGCTGATAGTGGGGAGGCAGAAGCTCACGAGGAATACTAATGAGGCCAAAATGTGTCACTCTCAAATTGCAAAATCTTATGCATTCAATTACCTTCACATGCTCAGTCAACCAATTTTACCAGACTTTACTTGATGTTTATTGTTTCACTCGTTTAATTAAAATTGTCTATATTTATGTGGCTTGCAAATAAAAGATTTCGCAAAGCTTGTTTGATATAGTTTTTGCAAATGTGGTCAATTAATTGTATTAGTAAATTAATTTGAGATAATGTGTACAGATATCAGATACAAAATATTTATTTAAAAAATCAGTTAACATAACGTTGTTCTATACAAATAAATTTAAATGTCGTTCTCGTTTTACAACCTTATATTTACAGTTTCCAAACTATATTGGCATGCATAAATATGAGCTTTCCACACCCAGACTCAGTGTTTTGTATAATTTAATAATCATATTCTAGAGCGAGTGGATTCGAGTTCCACTGATGAGTCCTTGATTGAATATTCACAGGCGCAAGGTACTACACATACGAACATAGCGATGTACTTGTGTATTTCGCCGAGTGAGACAATTGGGAGGCAGAAGTAGGATTATGAAAATCCCCCAAAACCATCAATTTCCATTCTGATCTTCAAAATACGCTTTGGGCAAACTTTTTTCAGGACATCTTTCGAGCAAGTAGTCCAGCCAAATCTTCTTGTTGCTGTCGAAGATTTTAAGCTTCGACAGCGTGTTTGGAGAAATGGTGCCCTTTATAAAGTTGAACGGAATCGCAAAGAGCCACGGTGCTAGACACGGAAAAAATCAGTTGTATTAAATGCAGTGAAACATGTACATCATTTATAATACAGATGTATTCGTAGATAGTGAATTATCTACTGGTCCATTCATTGAATGACGACAGCAAGTAAGCAAATTTGCTAGAAATATGTCTTACGTTACACTTCAAATTCAGCGATTTTACGGATTAACTATACATACTACGTTATTTCATACATATGAATGAACTCGTATGTACATACGTAGCATAATAATACATGTCTGAATGCATATTGCTTGGCACATTCACTTATGTACGCCTTGACGAGTGCGTATTGCTTGTGTTGCTTGTGTACTTCCTAGTATGTAAAACTTGATATTGCTAATTGAGTGAATTGATCACAACTTCGAAGTTAGTTACGCAATAAATAATTATGTACACACGAATAATTACGTATTCATCAAATGTTTCCTACTATCGTGTCCTATTTTTACAACTATTCACCTATTTACATGCTTAAAATTAGTACATGTGCTTACCGTTTACAATAACAATGGATTTCAACATTTCCGGGTAGTTTTGCTCCAAAGCCTTGAATCCGTTGTAAAGGACCTTTAGTGCTGCATAACGAGTACAAATTAGTGTCCAACACTTAATTAGCGATACAAATTTAACTACATATATGTAAACTTGAGACTAACATGGAATGTGTGCAGCCTGATAGTAGGAAATTCCTCCAAGATCAAAAATAGCAGTGCACTGACGTAGCCCATCAGAAGTGGCCTTTTGAAACGCATCCTCAATCAAACGATATCCCCAACGCAGCAGATCTTCTCCGTATCCTTTCTCCACCCAACACCTTGCGTAACATGTCAAATTGATTGAAAGTGAAATTACTTGAAAAGCATGGTTGAACTCTGTATAACCTGTGGTTCCATTTGCCGAATGGAATATGTACAACTGCAACAAGAATCTTTTAAAGTTTGACTGCGAAGAAATTGATTAGAACTTAAATATTGAAGAATTTGCACACCTGGTCCTCCATTTTTGTCGAAACCTGGTATCGAGTATGGTAGATCTTTATGCAGATACTCTGGAGATTTCCATTCAAAAATGTGGTCCATTCGATGATCCTTCCTCCATTGCATGGACTGAATATATACACAAAAGCACTCATCAACAACTTCATTTTAACTGTGTGAAAGAAATAAGAGAAAGTGTAAAAAAAAGTGCATACGGATCTCAGCATATTTTCTGCAGCTTCAATATTAAACTCCCGAGCTATTGGGGAAGTTTAGAATAATTGTATATATAATTTTACATATGTACAAAATAAAGTAGGTGTGTAATTTACATACCTATAAGAAATCGGATGAGTGTCATTTCCTCCAGATTCAGATCGCCAACTTTTTTCTTGAACTAGTAAACAAAACTTTCGGGTTACACCAGTCTGCATAAAAAATTGTAAATATTTTGTCAACTAAATACCTCAGAAAGAATCTTTCTTTCTTGATCATTTTTTGTTTCAATTATCATTTTCACGCTTTAGCACAAAACACAATGAGTTGTGAGCGAGTAAATAATTAAGGAGATTTAAAAAAGTGAGAATCTCAGAAATGTCAGATTTGCATACAAGTGAGAAAGTGTGAGAGGTGCACTTTAGGAAGGCCAAGCGTAAACTGAACGGCATGACACATGACACTGGAAAGTAGTTAATCGAGTTAATATTGAACACAGTGTGCTTGAACTTGGTCACATTGACTTGTTTTCTTGTGATAACATGGATGCACAAAGTGTTCATTACAAATATTTAATCTCTCGATGATTGTACCCCTGTAAAGTACATCCGTCTATGTACATATGTACTTTGTAAGGGTACTCGTAGCAAGAAGATCATAGTGATTATACTATAAAGGAAGAACACTTTAAAGGAAGTTCCTACTAAATACGAACTTCCTTTAAAGTGTTCTTCCTTTAAACTGGTTTAGTGCGTTGTCAGTTTTCAAAATACTTATTCATTACCCTTGAAGGAAGATTTGTATAGAATTTTGTCTCAACAGTCTCAATATTATTCCAACAATTGAGGTCATTTCGTGTACTTATATTAGTATCACATTTAAAATCGTGCAAGAATGTATTTAATTCCTAATAATTTCTATCTTGACAATATGCATGTTGACTAAGTTCGCGTCTGTGTGTTAGTGTAAAAGTAGATAAAATGCAAAATTGCTATATGCTAGTACAGATAAACGACGGGCTACCGTATTTATGCATCCTTTGTTTGTTTTAAATATGTACATACATGAACGCCTATCTCTTACAGCTTTACTTATGAATTTATTGAAGTTCATGTTCAAGTTGAATACAAATGTGAGAAATTTAACTTAGCAAGTTCGAAACTTTTGTGACCATCCTGAGTCGACAACGAATATCGTATCATTCGCTGAAGGCAGATTTTATTAAGCACTTTTTAAGTAATCCGAAGGTATTGCAGAATCTGGCATGAGCTGTCGCAGAGCAGGAAGCCACTTTTCTCTCTCAGAGTTGAACACTTGTATTTTACCCAGCGTTTTGGGAGATAGGATGGGTTTGATGAAACTAAATGCGATGGAAAACATCCAGGGAGCTATATAAGATAAGCATAATGTAAACGTCATGTTGCTCACTTTTATAGCATAATTCTCATATCAAAATTACCATTAACAATAATAAGCGACTGTAAAATCTCTGGGTAATTTTGCTCCAAAGATTGAAAGGCAGCGTACAAAACCTTCAAAGCTATTTATACATTTGATGATGTTGATGAAAATAATATTTTACTTTTATAAGATATGCACATAAGTTATAAAATTACTTGGAACATGGGAAACTTTGTAGTATGTGAGGGTCTCGATGCCCAAAATTGCGACGATTTTCTTGTTGTTCCTCGACTTCATCTCTCTGAAGGCTGTCTCGAGAATTCGATAACCATAAAGCGTCGTTTCTTCTTGTTTTCCTCTCTCAACCCAATATCGTGCCAGCCATGTACCAAGTGGAACCCACAGGACTTTTTATTACATGGGTATGCAAATTATTCATTAGAGGACATAATTCCATATTACTATATTAAATATGTATATCTATACCTGGTCCACCATTGTGATTAACACCTGTAATTTTAAAAATATGATCTTCTTCTTTTGCTTCAGAAACCACCCAATTCAAATAGTTGTCAATTCCAATTGTTTTTCTCCATTCTACAGACTGTAACAGACAATAGGGGTTTGATATGTATTAATTAGTATGTTCTGTATGTGGTGCATCATATTAGCTACATATCTACTTATACAAGTTGAAACTTTGTAATTACGTTTCTCATCATTTCTTCTGCTAAATGTATTTTAAATTCCCGAGCTGTTTGTTTAACACAAAGACATTTATTATGAATAATATATGGATATACATATAGTCAAAAAGAAGAAAACATTCATGTACATATTTATGTATGTACCTGTCAGAAATCGGAGGCATGTATCTTCGTCTTGTTCCAAGTCGGCAACTCTTGATTGAAACTGAAAATAATTAACAAATGGTTCAAAATAATTCAATCAGTGGAGCGTGGGAATACTGATTTCTGAATTTCACCTACATAAATGGTTATAGTTATGCATATAATAAATATGTACTTATGTACATTCACTTATGGTTTACCTCTCTCAATAGTCGCAGTTCACACTCATCACAGTCGTTACTTTTAGGCATTACCATTTCGATTCTGAATAAATCACACGGTTAATAATCATAAGAAATTTCGGATCAAGGAAGGAGGCAAATTCCCGGAAAATTATCTGAAATATTTAATTTAACGAACGATGAAATTATTTTAGCGTGCTGATAAATTCATGCGCAAAGTTGAAATGGCATACATTCTCATGTTTCGTTTCGATTGTACTTTGAACTTAATTGACATTTGCATACGATTTACATATTCCATTAATTGCGTCTCAAACTATATGAAGTGTATCAAAAAAGTTCAGTAAATGAATGTTTGATAACGATAATGTCACACACGAAGTATGTAATTCACGTACTTTGCCTTATGGTGAGACCATACTTTTCTTTAGTGCGTCTATTTATCTCAAAATCAATATGACCGATTGAAGTATAAATACAGACAGTACCACTTATAAACTTTAATAGACACTCATATGAATTTATGTACGATGGTACTTGTAATGAGACACATTTCATCGTGTCAATAAAATTCTGTTATGGGATGTGTATTGCGATACAAATTCGATGTGATTATTGATAAAGATCGATTGAGACTTGCTTTTTTGGTTGCATGAAAAATGGAGAACTTGGGAACCCAATAACCTCAAGGCTTCGCGGAAGATAGAATTTGTTATTACGTGCATTGTCCCTTGTTTCACCCTCTTTTAAATACATAACTTGCCGACTATTATATCAACGTATGATATGGTGTTATCGGGATTCTAAAAATTTTCCTACTGACCTTTGCCTGGAATTTAAAGCAAACAAGGATATAAAATTCACTCACTCTAACTCTGTCTGTCCAACGTCCTTAAAAATGATCTTGTTACACGATACATATGAATAAGTAAATCTAAGTAAGTAAAGTAAATCTATAAGTAAATAAGTACAGATATATCTATAAGTAAATCTATCGACTATGAATTGAAGAAATTCGTCAAAAGTATTTCAGTTGAGTTGATGAACTTGTAAGCTTTGATAAGATGTATCAATGAAGTTACATGAGGTTAGCTAGGTTGTTTACTAGTCAAGGAATATTTATTGAACTGGCAAGGCTTTATATGAACTTTAAATTCCTCAACAAACTGAGAATGAGTCTTTCCCAGTTTATTAGGCTTTAGTAACAATGAATGGTTCAATGCTTATGAGTTTCCTTATGCTATGTATGCATCTAACAGGCTGAGTTATCGTGCAACGAAAACATTATAATGTACAATTAACAGAGTATAATTGTAATAACTTATGGATAAGTGTAACATGAAGATATGTAAGCATTTATGTAGTGGCATAGCATCCTTCATATTATCTTCCTTCAATTGGACCAATTTAGAATATATTTCGTTGTTGCTGCTCCAAAACTTCCTTGTTTCGTGTACTGAGATGAGTAGAATCTTGTAGTTTCCAGCGGTGATGCTATTCGCGTTTAATTAAATTTATATGATTTCACCCTGTACATACATGTAAATGAACGATTAGACGAAATTAAAAAAAGTTTTACCGTTCCATGAGAAGCTTTATCCATAATTGCATTGAGAATACTGAATCTCCGTTTGAACAAGTAATGCTCAAAGTCAATTGAAGTCAAGTCTTTAAAAATGTGTTCGAGCAACGCATTTTCTCTGCACGTCAGAAAAAAAGATTACGATACATTTTAATTAAACGAATTCTGTCCTTTTCATACTTATATAAATACGAACTTATGTATGTGCGTTTACCTTGTGCCTTTCTTTGTGGGGAAGTAATCTTCCACATCCAATTCCACACTGTCTGAATTGACATACTCGGAATTACGGAGAAGGTCATCCTCTATTGCGGATATGTCATTAGTGCGAATTAATTAATACGTGCATTGAATTCGTTTTCAAAGTTGAAAGTATTAGAACAGAAATCTTTTGAAATCATAAAGCTTAAATATAATATGTAAGAATATTACTCGCGTCTTCTTCTTCTACATCTTTCTCCTCGTAGGGCTTGTTCATTTCTATGTATTTTTCATGACCTTCCAAGTAAATTAGGGCCTCCTTCTGTTTCGTTATTGCAGCATCAGCCAATGTTAGTTGGAAATTGTCCACCAAGACGGCCACGAAGAGGCTGAAATCGCGCAAAAAATATTTTTATACCTTAGACTCGGTCATCCTTAAATTGTTAATAGTTAAAAGATAGAGAGTTAAATATGTAGTTATGAGTGAAGTCCTACTTCAAAAAGACGAAATATTCAATAACGATGTAGCAGAACAAATATGTAAACATAATCCAGTACTGTTTGGCTTTCTCTTCTGACTCTGTGTCAATTACATCGAGCAATTCGAACCAGTCATCCAGCGTCAGTAATTGGAAGAGGGTCACAAAAGCATATCCGATCGTCCCAAAATGAGCTGGAGACTCTTCAAAGAACAAACCTCTGCCAAGGACAGCAAACACAACTAAAAATAATGAGAACTTTTGCAAACTTTTGCAAACAGAGTCTAATTAAGTTGAGTAAAGTAAGTAGTATAGCATACAAATAAAAAGAGACATCAAAACTGCAATGGACCCCATGCTCAACATGGAGTGGAAAACCGTAGTAACTACAACCTGTAGATTTGGCAAGAATCTAGAAATTTAAAATATGTCTTAAAAAATGTGTTTGAACGTATGTATATGTGCATATCCAAAGATATCTAACTTTATGACACGGAGGAGCCTTAACGCCTGCAAGAGATACAGCAAAACTGGATTAGTAACTATTTTTTTCTATTACTTTCTAGTGCATAAATGCTTACACGAAGACTCTTGATGGTTTTAAACCCAATGTTCTGATTCAATTCTGTGGCAAGAGCTAACGTTTTCGTTATCAGTTCCACCAAGACCTCCCTGTAACAATATAACAAAAAGAAACTTACTTATTGCATGTTGTGTGACACTTTTATAGTGTGCTTACACTATATGAACAACAATGATAAAAATATCCAAAAGATTCCAGAGCTTTGTGAAATAAGTTCCTTTGTAAATCATTATTTTGAAAATCGCTTCTACCACGAAGATTCCAATAATGCAAGAGTCCATAACTTGAACCGGATATACTAAAAAATAGACAGTAGTTGCATTACAGCCACTTACGTCATATTATCTTGAATTGGTTTTCAAGAGCTTACCATATCGAATCAAAATGGGTTCAAAGGTAAGGATAAAGATTCCTAAAATTTATATATGCAATGTTTTTTAATAAGTGGTGCATATGCACAATTAACATGGATGAAGACATTTGCATTTCTTGCTTACCCACAGTGCTCACAATGACTGTGATCAGCATAAACTGGATAAAAAAATTGCTATTGATAAAATCATACAGCATTTGTCTCTTTTCATCTGCATTGTGAAGGTGTCTTTCCCGATTTTTCTTTTCCTCAAAAGCATCCCTCAAGGCCTGTTGCTCAACTTTATCCTACAAATTCCAACTGGAACTTTAAAAAGTTTTCGCATAAACCCCAATTTCGCAAAAGGCTCATCAAAAGAAGCTTAAAAAAGAAGGGACTAGGAAACGAGGATCAGCACCAAGATGTAGGATTTTAAAGAATATGTACAATGGCAGGCATGCATGATTATATCTGCATACTCGATACTACACACATATGTACTTATGTAGCTTACATCGCATAGCCCCAAAATTTCTTCAAATTCTTCATCATTGATATTTGTCCGGGTTCGAAACATTTTCACTGCAGACTTTGCAACATATTTTGGGTCAGCTAAATTAGTCATTTTGTGGTTATTCGCGACCTCGCGTTAAAAAATTTAACGAGTAAAAACCAACCTAAGACCCTCTTGAGGTTCGGATACACAATTGCCATTCTTTCCTCCTCCTCCTTTTGCGTCCGAAGAAATATCGCATTCATTTCCTTTGCCACATCCAAATTATCATCCTTGGGATCCGTTACGTCATGTTCCGTCCTTGTTTCGTCATCGTCCGTCGCCGCGGTGGAATTTTCCTTTTGGTCCCGTCCAGATTCTTGATCTCGTTCATCTTCCCACAACCCTTCTGCTACCAATTCGTCCGATTCCCTCTTACGACGCTTGACCCCGATTTGTGCAAATCTCGCCTGCATAATCTCGTCCAGATCAGTATGCTCTCGTAAAACCTGAGGCAAGACAAGACGATTAAAGTCATTTTATGGACATGCTAGACAAATATGTATGAAATCGAACCAAGTTTCAGTTCAGATCAACGAGGTTGTCCTGATCATAAAACGATAACAATTAAGAAAATTAAACTAAAAATGCATTTACTTGAAGTTTGCGATGCTCCCCGTGCAAGCATTTGAGCATTTCGTGCACTCGGACTCTTTGGAGAAAGCTCTGCAATAATGGAGAAATTAGAATTGTGATTGCACATAGCGAGGGGAAAATGCAGGTTAGGACCAATTTTTTCATATCTTGACCCACCTGCCACCGAACTTGGAGCTCATCTTGCCACTTCTGGTCAGCACTAACGTCTTCGTTCAGATCGGCAAACCGATCTGCCTGGCTTCGTGATTGACTCGGTTTCTTCATGCTCAATTTAATTTGTTAATAAAAGTGAATATCAAGGGAATGTAATCCTCAGTGCGATGCAAATTGACCTCTCGCTTCTAGTAATCATGAAAAAATATTCTGATGAAAAAAATCTCATAAAATGATCGCAAGGCAATTTTGTCGTTATAGTACAAATTCAGAGACAGTAACTTGATAAGGGGTTGCGCAACGTGAGCACTTTTTTCGATTTTTTAAATTTTTAAAAAGCTGGTGGTCCGGACCACCAGCTCCTGATTGGTTTTTAGGTTTCCATGCAAAATTTAATTGAGTTTCCCCTCAAATTTACTTAGTGATTTAGCTTAGTGATTAATTTTTTTCAAAATTTAATTTTTCAAAAAAAAAATAAAACGCCCAAAAATATAGAGAATGAAATGATGACACCAACTTCCACCACTGCTGCCAATCTCTCCACCCATGATGACCAACATTGCCCGATATCCACATGCCCAGGAGCTAGCAACACAGACCAATGGATACTATGCGACCACTGCCAGAAATGGTATCACACAGCATGTGTCGCCGTGGTCATCATACCGGAGGAGGAATGGCTTTGTCCAACTTGCGTCATATCCGTCACATCTTCACAATCTCAAGTCACTCCATCATCCCTCAACACAACGACTACCACCAAGAAAAAGCACATAATCGCCACAACACAATATTGGCTGAAATCCAACCTCGTTGAAGATCCTCTCGGCCTAATTCCAAAATCCGAAATAGTCGCACGTTACGCCCATCATATTCAAACATCGGGAGAAGGAAGAGTTGTCGATGCCACCGTGGGAAAGTATATTCTTCAACTCTTCCCCAGCACAAAATTTTCTCGTCCCCCGACTCGAGGCGCAGCCAACGCATACATTGGAATCAGATGGAAGGATCAACCACCACTACTCCCACATGCTCCAAGAAATTGGGGTGCTGAGTTATCGCAACTGAAGAATACAGTACCCACGCTGAGAAGAGTCCCAAAAGGTGCAAGGATGGAAGTAGCTAAAGCCCTTGCAAAAATAATAGAGGAAGTGACCACCACAAACTCGGAGGAATCATGGTTCAAACTTTTCTCGTTTCCATACGCAGTCGTCCCTGTTCCCACCAAATCTGACAAAGTTAAAAATTTAACAACATGGGTGAAATCAAGAGTTCTGCAGTGGTTTGTAACACCCTCGAGACCACGACCACAATTCGCCAAACCCTCACGTCCTCAAGAAACTATTGCAAAGAAGGTGGAAGCAAAATTGGCAGACGGCGATGTACGGGGTGCAATTCGTTTATTGACCTCTGATGACACAATTGCCCCAAATAATCAAGAAACCTTGGATGCCCTCATCACTAAGCATCCCCCACATCCAGAGCCAACTTATTTCCCGAACGCACCGGACAAGGCAGAAGTTTTGGCCCCTGTTGATCCCAAAGAAGTCCTCATCGCAATCTCTAGTTTCGCTCCAGGATCGGCAGGAGGACTTGACTCTCTTCGCCCTCAGATTTTGAAGGACCTCGTCATCTCAGAGAATGGAGAACCTGCGACCAATTTACTAAACGCGATGCTAAAATTTTTAGATCTTGTTCTCAGGGGAGACGTGCCAAAATCTATTTGCCCAATCTTCTTCGGGGCTTCCATGACCGCACTTAGAAAGAAAACTGGGGGCATTCGTCCTGTCGCTGTCGGCAATACATGGCGTCGTCTCATCTCGAAAATTGCCGTCGCCCGTATGTCATCTACTCTGGTCGAGATTTTCTCCCCTCATCAACTAGGAGTGGGGATTAAAGGAGGCGCTGAAGCTGCAGCCCACGCAGCACGTATTTACTGGAATTACTCACATGATAGCCCCAAGGCTTTTTTAAAATTGGACTTCCGTAATGCTTTCAATGAAATCCGACGAGACACACTTCTCCAAATCATTCGAGAAAAATTCCCAAATTTCTACCGTTTCGTGAGCCAGGCCTACTCCTCCCCCTCGGAAATTTTCTTCGCGGGAACACCCATCTCCTCCCTTTGTGGGGTTCAACAAGGTGATCCACTCGGACCAGCTCTCTACGCTCTCGTGATCCAACCAATTGTGGACTTGATTGACACAGAGCTGAATATGTGGTACTTAGATGACTCAACCATTGCTGATTCGCCGGAGAAAGTCTTAATGGCAATGCAAACCATCACACGTATGGGGACAGAAGTCGGTCTGCACCTTAACACTACAAAATGTGAAGTGGGAATTCTGGGTGTAGTCGACGACCAAACTCGTGACGAAATTTTTGAGCTATTTCGTTCAACAGCTCCGGGGATACAAAAGATCTCTCCTGAAAGTGCTATGCTGTTAGGTGTTCCACTCACCGATGAAGCCATTCCTACAATACTAGGAGCCAAAACCGAGGAAATGGAAAAAATTAGCACGCGGCTACTCAAACTCTCCTCCCACTCAGCCTTTTTCCTTCTCCGTGCCTCCATCTCAACACCTCGTCTAATATACTTTCTCCGCTGTGCACCGACATGGAGAAGATTTGACGCCCTTACTCTTTATGATGCCAAATTAAAAAATGCTATGGAGGGAATCATCAACTGTTCCCTTTCCCCTCAATCCTGGTTACAGTCCTCTCTACCCGTCAACAAAGGTGGTCTTGGGGTCAGACACGCTATAGATGTGGCGATTCCGTGCTTTCTAGCGTCTATCTATAGCTCCCTGCCTCTTGCGGAACGCCTACTTCCACCACATTTACATGGCATCGATACCGCCATCCAAGAAGGAGAGGAACGCTGGAAATCACTTGGTTCATCGCCACTTCCTCCACTCGAGATACGAGGTATCCAGGCAATATGGGAAATACCACAACAGGAAGGTGTAATCAATCACCTCACAACTAATGCGACTACATTAGAAGACAAAGCCCGCTATCACGCCATGTCACAACCCAATGTTGGAGCGTGGCTCAACGCTATCCCCTCTCCTCAACTCGGCACACATCTTCCTAATGAGACGTTTCGCATCGCCGCCGCTCTTCGACTACGCTGTGACATCTGCCAGCCCCACAAATGTTCTTTTGGTGAACAAGTGTCCACGAAAGGCTATCATGGTCTCAGTTGCAAAAATAGTGCTGGACGTCACTCCCGTCATGCCGCAGCCAACGATGTCATCGCCAGAGCCCTCAGATCTGCAGGAGTCCCTATAATTAAAGAACCAGCCGGGTGTGCCCGTGAAGATGGGAAACGTCCAGATGGTCTCACACTTATTCCATGGGCAAGAGGAAAATCGGTAGTGTGGGACTTCACGTGTTCCGATACATTTGCACCATCGTACCTCCCACAAACTAGTATTCGCCCAGGAGTAGCAGCTGAGAAAGCAGAGGACCGGAAGAAGAAAAGATATGAACAACTTATGGACAGTTTCCTTTTTGTCCCAATAGCCATCGAAACAACAGGGATTTGGGGTAAAGATGGCTTGTCATTTATTAAAGAAATCGGGTCCAGAATCACAAACATCACAGAAGAGAAGAGGGCGACATCCTTTTTATTGCAGAGAATGAGTATCACTGTTCAAAGAGGGAATGTAGCATCCATTTTAGGATCCCTTCCAAAAGGACACAAACTGGAGGAGATATTTATGTTATAAAGAATTTCATTTATATATCTATTGTAGTTATGCTAATATTATGGATTACAATTATGTATTATGATAAAGTACCCAAAAATTATCAACACTCAAAAAAAAAAAAAATTTTTTTGCTATTTAAAAAAAATCGCCCACGTCGCGCAACCCCTTATCAAGTTACTGTCTCTTTAACAACCCTGGTACAAATTCACCTCTTTATCATGTTCCAAATAATTTAGGGTAGTCATTCAAATACAAATTTGTGTGTTCGCATCGCAACATAACTTTTTCGAAATTGCGAATTTCGGAAATAGAGGTGGAGATAAATGTACGAAGCGAAAGCAGGAGGTGAAACTGGTTGACGGTGAAACTTTCACTTTCACGCTGATGCTTTCTCACTCTGTGCATACGTAGATTTTCAGTGTACAAACTCCACCGCCAGTCTCAAAACCGGGGTTTGTGTAAAAAATTTGCAAATGTTGAATTTATTATTACTACTACACGTTGTAGGAATTCGCACATTTCACATCTAAAATTCGTCCTCTATTGATAACCTTGTTCTAATCGTGACACATTCCTCGAATTTTAGTCTCTGGATCTTTTGTCTTCCCCCATTTGAAGGTGTGGACGTGGACAACAGATTTTTGGTATTCTGTGGATTGATTTGCACAGGCAAGTGTAATAAAATATCATAAATTATCATAATTGCATTTTAATGTGGCCAAGACTCAATTCGTAATGAGTTACAGAAAGAACTATTAAAATTAATGAGCATATGTATTAATTCACGAGTAAAACCACATTATTTTTGTGTTGGTTGGTGGGTTCATTCAGAGGTAATTTGTTGTTTGCAATTTCGTCAGGACTTGTGATCCGGTTAGAATTATAAAAACGCCAGGTGAAACCTATTTGAAAGTTTATCCGGTGAATTATCGTCGAGCAAGTTTAGATGTTTTGATATTTATTGTTATTTACTATTTTAAAGTCTTTTATATTTATTTCATTGTATAGATTCAGTCATGGGGATTGCCGACTATGCTTCGGCGTCGTGGGAGGCTATGAAAGAGCTGAAACATCCCTACTATCTAGTCAACATTCTCTTAAGCTTATCCTATCCAATTTGTAAACTTATCCCCCCAGTTTGCACCTTTGTTTTCGAAGGAGAATGTCAATTTGAAGGGAGAGAGACAGAAATCCTTTTCTTCATGCTGCTCATTGTGATGGCGAGGGCGAGAAAAACGGGATCCATGACCATGGTGGCCTACTTAACAAATTCATTCATGTACTGCAAAGTTGCAAATGCTGCACTCTGGTTCTTTGCGTACAAACCCTATGGATTGTTCTTCATTGTTCTCTTCTTGCGTAAGAATTATTTACTACATTCAATTTTGAGTTTACCCTCCAGCTTGAGCTAGTTTGGTTATATTCCAAATCTAATATCACAGTTCAGGGACTTGTACTTCCCCAACCAACATATAAAGGGCCTCAAAAAATCACATACTTTAGAGATGGAAAGACTTTCAAAGACGAAATCACACGGGACAAGAAGATGACTTGGTTGATTGAATTTTATACAGCGTGGAATCCTTCATGTGTCAATTTTGCACCTTTGTTTGCCGAACTGTCAAACAAGTAATTAAATACGAAAGTAGAACATTATAAATATAGTGATATATTCTGACATCTAATTAATTCATGATTATTTATTCAAATTAGATATGCGCTGGAAAATTTCAAGTTTGGGAAGATTGACTTGGGACGCTACCCAGAAATTGGAACCGAGTTTGGAATTTCTGATTCAGCTTTCTCCAAACAACTGCCCACCCTGATTCTGTTTCAAGAGGGAAAGTCGTCTTTATACAGGCCATTTGTCGATTCAGCTGGGAAACTGATCAAGTTCCATTTTAACAAAGATAATATTATCAATGTTTTCGATCTCAATAATGTGCACACAGAGTGCAAGAAAGTAACTGAAGATAAGGCAAAGAACAAAAAAGTTGGTGGGAATACAAATTCTCACATAAAAGAGGATTAAATTAATCTAAAAATTGTATCATCAAGAGTTTATATGAGTACTAAATAATTGTCAAAATATACCTATGCATTTAGTTTCGTAATAGAAGAGTGTGTAGCATTAGTCACCTCAGCTAATTAACATTAACGAAATTTAGCCTTATCGAAACGAATGTCTCGCAAGCGTCGTCCTTATTTAAAGTTTAATCTATAATTTTCCATATTTCCAAAGAATACATGTGTAGTTCCCTTTAGTTTGTCATTTTAGTTCGTGTTTGAAATGTTTTGTAAAAATTATGAGGAAATAATTAAGTTATGCAATAAATCCATGTTCATTGTTATGTATGGTTTTTACTTACTGTACTCATTAGAATAAACAGTGTTGAAACGAGACAATTGCGCTTTTTATTCGTTTTTGTGACATAAATTGCGTAATAATGCATATAATACTGATTGTCGACATAGCACTGCAAAGGAAACAACATAGGTCTGTATGTATGTATAAGGAGTCGTACACTATAGCTGCTCCATTGTGACTGGATATGCAAATGGTTTAGATGGAACGTTCCTATGACCAATAATAATAATTATGATCTCATCTCTGGACAAATATGCACGAAAAAAACTGGAAAATTTTATATACCGTTCAAAAAATGGACATGTTTTCATGTGGTTGATCATACGCCCAGGTTCCCCAAATTTCCATGTGCGAATTGGCGAAAATGCAGAAGAAAATATCCATTTCTGAAATGAGAATAAATTCGACGATTAAAATCTACCAATGAATATGTAATCAAAGTACTAAAATTAAATATATGCACGACAAACTTTTTCTGCGACTTCCCAACCAAGTTGTCCGTCTGGGTTTTTCTCCCACTGCAAAACTACGATCCCTCGGTCAACCACCACGCAGGAACATGCATCTCGAAGGATTTGGTTGGTCAAGGACAAAGAGTTGAGACTACATACATACATACATTACATATATAATTGATTAGTAATGCTTGAGCAACATATTGATTCAAATGTACAAAGGGTCGGCGTTACCTAAGTGGGTCGAGATATTTCGTTAGATGCACCAACAATTCAAAAGGAAGACTAGAGAGTGAGACCATGTTTTCGTCAGTCTTTGAGGTGACTTCTTGGGTAATATCCAAATCTGTAGATTACAAGAAAAATGTATGAATGTACAATGAATCAATCTTACTACATAACATATGTAAGTATTGAATACACACTCAAGTTTTGTGACTTTGTGGAGGAGTGTAGAGAGCTGGAAGTATTATGAGTATCTTGGCTTGTAGATTTCTGACGAACACAAAATGAATCTGATGTACGATTGTAAATCACATTGTAATTTTCGTCGATAGGTTGCATTCGCTCAAGACCGAAATCGCATCCCAGCGTCGCCATTGGGCATCGTGTAAACAACCTATGCACATAAGGCATATTCAAGCTTAGCCGTTACATCAATCACACAGTGAAGACTGAAAACGTCATTAATTGGAGAATAAATCATAAAATGCTTTGAATTGCTTAGGAATTGTCTACCCTTTCTCCGCAGGTTAAATGACTTTTTAGTATGCAAGTTTTACAAGGTTCAATAATATGTACAACGAACCAGCCATTCAGTTGGGTATGAATGTGACTGTGAATGTGACTGAAGTGGTCCGGAAATTCATCTCGTCTAAATTCTCTGCAGCACCTTTATATCATAAATCATATCTTTTAGTATGATTGTGGAAACATTAAATTGAGTATTGTAAAATTATTTAAATTACATGAAAGTGAACAGGGCATCTGGTTTCCTGTGACATTTTGTTCTCACTTCCACCATCAAACTCAGGTCCACATGTTTTTTTCTTATCGCACCACTACCACCGTTTTCATGAGATTCGTTTTTATAATGTCCGTTAGCTACCCCGTTTTCTGAGCACCCATTGTTAGAAGACTTGATTGATTCTATAGTAGGACCATTTTTAGTAGCACCGATATCAATCATGTTTCCAAATTGTATCCCATTTTGATTGCTGTCTACGGATTGAGCCACATTTAAGGATTTGAGTTTGTTGCAAACACTTTCTTGTAGTCCGGGGGGGCATTTTTTCCAACCCCATGGAGAATCAGAACTTTCGGATTCAGTAGCAAGTTCGGATTCTGTAGATTCAGAGTGATCATTATCCAGATTATGCTCAATTATTGCCTGGTTTAGAATTGATTTTGGTATTCTGAGTCCAGAAACACCCAATGGCATGACTGGGTTACGATCATTCATGTATGTTTTGAGCAAGCAACGCAGCGTCGGTGGGACAAATTCTTTCCATGCAGCCAACGTTTTCTGGTCTCTTACCGTAGAAGCGACATCTACAGAAAATCGCAAGATGATGAGTGATCTGATAAGACATAATCTTGGGATTTAAAATAATTTTGGCATACCCAACTGAGCAGTATTCATATGGAATGGTTGAGTTTTTCCTGGAGGCAAAGGCCACCTGTTCCATTCCATTGTGCAAACCAAGACGCTGTTAAGTTTAGAAGTCAAAGAAAACCTTTAGTCTGACAAATTTTGTTTTCATTGTATGTAGCAGAAGGTGAATATTTATAAAAAAATGTTCAGACCTTGCAGGACACGTTGCCAAATGTGGCCCCCTCTTTCTTCTCTCCATTACAAGTGGACAGCCAAAAGTGCTGTTTATACACGGAAGTCGTACTTTGGGACAGAGAAGTTCATGTTCGTAAGTTTTGCACTGGTGGAATTGATGACCACATTGCAACCTGCAGCGGATTATGGGACAGCAGACGTACTCCTCTCCACGCGACTTTCTCAAACTTTTCATCTTGTTGCATTGCACATAATTTATGCATTTCTCACAATGGTTAGAATGTATATCCACCTCCATAATATCGATCTATTTGAAATATTGTCGCCCAACTGCAAGAATCTCAATTTGAGATTAGCGAAGTTGTGTTTGATTGAGCTGGGATCATTTACTGCCTAAATGAACGTGATTTGTGCTGACGCATTACCACCAAAAATGGTTGGATCACAACCATCGAATACATTGCGATGATATCACAGATAAGGTTTAAATCGTAATAATATCTTGACTAACTAGTACATAAATTGAATAACTAGATATTTAATGATTTGGAGCTGAACTGAAGTGGACGACTGAATCAGCTGCTACTGCACAACTCTTTTAAAGCAGACAACCCTTTGCTCTCATGTCTCTGAAAACATGCTGCTGAAAACAAACTCAGGATCAGGAGAAGAAATATTGCGAATAAATTCCATATAGGAAAACTTTTATCCAACTTCCTCCAAAAAGAAAAGATAGAGCGGAAATCGTGTGCAAGTTTGTGGAGCGGTGCTAAGCTAAAATGTACGCTAGTTATTAGTTAGCCTTGTAATATGTCAAAAGTTACACCCAACAAATGAACATAGTCAAACTTGGCAAGTCAAGGGGAATGATTAGTATTGTGACCGGATGGATACCGGATCTTGTAAAAGAGGCAGAATTAGAAGTGGAAAGCAGTAAAACCACTGAAATTGCATTCATTGTTCGTGTCAATGGATGCAGCCTGAGGCAACAAAGAAGATGAGACTCGATTCTATCTATACAACATGACACACACAAGTGCATAAGTACGTACATACGTAATGTAGCGAGTAAGTAAGCTTAACGAGAGCCAGGCTAACCAACAAACCAAATAGCGAGAAGAAGATGCGAGTTCAACGAGGATAATGATGAAGTCATGATGAAAATGCAGTCAAGTGAACAATCACTACGCCATTATTTTGTCAAAGCATTACATTGCTCATCATTCGTGTCGTGGTCTGTTCTGGTTTGTGCTCAACCTTTTTTCAGTCTTGGGCTTGGGCTGCTATATATGTAGCTAATTATTGTCTGAGCACTGAGCACATGCAAGTGACAAAAACTCGCCAAAACTTTGAGCTTATAAGGAGAATCTTGCCTTATTATCTATTTTGAGATTTATTATACCAAGTCTCATCTTGTACGCATCTTATTTTGTATGAATTGTATCTGAGCGAGGTTAAAATCCATATAATTTATATCCATATAAATCCATATAATTTGTTGAGACACGGAATGTGCATATAGTTCTTAGCCCTTTAGTTTAGATTCAACTTTGCATGCTGTCGGTTAGTTATTTCTGGGCACGAATTGTGCACAACATTTTACAAGTACCGTACCAGTCAGTTTCTCTCTCTCTACGGTTAATTATTATGTAACTCCAGTTAGATTACCTTTCTCTCTGTCTGAACAATATTAAGAGGAGCTATGGATGGCACGATTGAAGGTTAAATTTGCAATGCACACATGGGCAAGTACAACCTATTGACCGGTTTGACTAAAGAAATGTGTTTGTGATAGATACACATTCGCTGCTCGTTTGTACGTAAATATGTATATATTTGAAGCATTGAAATAACGTTTATAAAAATTATCATTATTCCAGTCTTTACGCGTAGGTTATTGACTACTGTAAAAAATGTGACTTCTTTCACATGTCTGAATCTCTCTCTGAATAAATCATTTTGTGGATTAACCTAAGGATTTCATCCATTCTGCAATGTGGTGGTTATAGCGTTATAACTTCTTATTTTCTTCATAAAGTTATATTTATTTTATTTATTGGAATTAGAGTTAAGCAATAGTTTTGAAATGAAAAGTGCAAGAGACAGAAATATTGAAGATGTTTTGCTTTATATCCCAAACTTGATCGGTAAGTAGAATATTTACGTATGTAATGGTCATACCTCGGATAAATATTTTTTTATAAAGCCCGAAATATTTATTTTATATTTTTGAAAAAAGCGCCAAAATATTTAAAAAAATATTTTTATTTCAACATCTAAAGACTCATAAATTCGAGTTTCAACTATAATTCATCACCCCATATAAAATAAATTAGGCAGAGATAATTAGATTTTAAGCATCAAAATCATCATTCAAAAGTTCAAAGTGAGAAATAAGTTCCATTAAGGGGAATACAGCGATTTTCATGGTATATTGTGAAAAATGAGAGCACTGGTGGTGAAAGAAATAGGGGGCAGAGGTCGTATGCCTTCTGTTTTTTTCATCCTCCATTTACGCAATGGTAAATCCCACCACCGCTCCACCAGTCTCATTCTGACTGTCGGAGAGAAAGGAATACCAACAGCACTAATGTTTTTGGATTTCCCGTGACTACACAATGGGGCCGCCTTATGGTAGGAAATATCAGAAATTATTTTATGACTTTTTTGAGCTATTTATGCATACGAGGTAGTTTGGAGATGGATGGCATAAATTATATAACTGTAGTGCGACCACACCCCTTTGGGGAGGAGTTATCTCCATTTGAATGGGTGTGGCTTTGGAAACTATTGAATTCGATAGATCTTTGAAAGCTAACCCAAATTCATATAAGTTACACCAACGTACGACGCTCCAGAGCCAAGTTATCGGCCTCCAAACATCGAAATTTTGAATTCTGCGCCAACTTTGCGACCTCGTGGCGCAGTGCGCGACCGCATTCATGGGTTCGTAGCTATCTCAAGCGACGCTACCAATGTTGGGCTGTCACCCCAAGAAAGAGAATTGATGATTACACGCCCCGTTTCGCAGCAGGAATTTCTTCAAAAACATCAAAAATATAGCCAAAATAGCCTAAATTTCAACACTAAAAAATAATTAACATTATTTAATCGTTTTCAAAAATGTGAACTTTATATCGTAGTAATTAAAATGTATTAAGAAATTAAAGTAAACCCTTTTTAGTGATGGGATGGGCTGAAGAAAAAAATAAACAACGTAATTTTCGCATTTTTGAAAATGATTTAATATTGATATTCCGTGACACAAGAACGGAATTCGATAAAAATTTTGAATGCATATGCAAGATTACTAGTTCCACCACAATTGCCAGGTCAGTAGAGGTCAATATTGTATTTATTGTAAAAGATGTGAAACTGGAAGTGTGGACTTAATTTTACGTCCACATTTCCAGCTTCACATCTTTTACAATAAATACAATATTGACCTCTACTGACCTGGCAATTGTGGTGGAACTAGTAATCTTTAATATGCAATCAAAATTTTGATCAAATTCCGTTCGTGTGCAACGGAATATCAATTTTTCTGAAAAAATAAGGGCCATAAGCTCAGCATTGCGAGCCATTTGTGAGACAGGTGTCTCATGTTTCACCACCATGTTCTTAAGACATGCTGGCGTTAATCCACGGCGTCTGTCTGAGGAGGAAAGACCCTCTATCTGTCATTCTCAGATCTTGAATCAAGATCAAGAATCTTGATCAGATCTTGCTAAATTTAGGACATTCCAGTTCTCACGAATTATTCAAAAACGTTCAAAATTTCAAAAAAGTTGAGACATTTACTGGTTACGATTATACAAGTATCTAGGATCACAAAAATGTAAATTTTATCAAAATTCGAGCAAAATTGGATTTTTATTGACAGTTGAAGAACATAAAAACAAGCTTTTTTGTCAGTGTTGCAAATAAGTCCAGGTTCATGTGACACTTCGAATTTCGTCGCTAAAAGTCTTGTTTTTTGATCATTTTGGGAATATTCCCACCCATAAGCTAACATGTGTCAGTAAAATCACAATAACTTCTTGTCCCCACTAATGTTTCGCGTAAATTTTTTTTGTTGTTAACTATTTCGATATTAGATCATAATTTCAAAAAACTTAGAAAAACATGAATGGTGGCAAGAAGTTACAGCGCTTCAAAATCGTCATTCAAAATTTTGAAAATTGAAAATTTTCAACTTTTGAAAATTTTATCAAGTAGATTACGGCAAATAAAATAAAGTTTTAGTTGGAGTAAACTGTTTCAACGATCTGTTGCACGTGATATTTCAAATGCAACGCGTTTTTAAAATTTCGAAAAAAATAATAGCTCGACCAATATTTGAAATTTAATTTTTTAATTTTTTTGACCTTAAGTTATTTTACATACTGGTGACTATTAATAAAATAGGGGACAAAATCTGAGACCTATTGGAAACAGGCCTTCAAAAAAACTGAGTCTATTGTGTCGTCATTCTTGTCTTTATTTATTTAATGTATACATTAAATCATCATTAAATCATCAAGTGTATACACAATGTGTATAAACATTAGGAATTAGTGTAATAAATTATCATGAAAATAAGAAATTACGCAAAAGTAAAAAAAATCCAAAAATGCCAACAAATGCATCAAAAACCCGAAAAAATTCAGCAAAAAATTAAAATATCACGAAAAAAAATATATTTTGTTAAAATATGGAGAAATATTGACGAAAATATTTATATTTGCGAAAAGTCCAAAATATTTGTTAAAATTGAAAACATTTTTGAATTTTTGATAACCACAAGTGTTGATAAACAACCCCACAAAGTATGGGGGTCGACGTGCTTGAAATGAAAAAGTCATAAATTAATAAATATCCGGGGTATGGTAATGGTATTCATGCCCAAAGTTCGTGTCCAAATCGTCTTGAGCACAAAACTTTTTAGATGCTAAAACTAGTTTAATGAAGATCAAGGTTTCTTCCAATTGGAAGGCTGTTTAGTTTGTCGGGACGATGATGATGATAAACTTACGGGCATTAGAATAAGAAGAACTTGATTTTAAATGATTTAAATTGGCTTTATGATTTTATGTCAATTTACTATTTAGGGTATGCACGACTTTGTCTACTCATCTTGGCATATTTTTGCATGCAACTTCCAGCCTATTTTCTCATCTTGTACTGCATATCAATTTCGCTCGACTTGTTTGATGGGTGGTCAGCAAGGAAATTTAATCAATGTTCAGCCTTCGGAGCGTGGGTGGGTCATAATTGAAAACCACAATAGAACCAATAAGTGAATTTGGTTAATTGACTACACTTCTCAATTTAGCTTGATGTGATTATCGACAATATGAGCCGAACCTGCATCTGGACCAACGTATGCACGGTGCGTGCTTTGAGTTAAAAATATAAAATCCAGCGAAAATTATGAATCTGCTTTAAAATCCAATTTCTACAATTGTTATTTAGTGGAGCTGGATTATTGTATCTATCGAATGGACAACCTTTGTCTGCAACCATCAAGCAGGAGCCAGATGGAAAGAGGATAGTTCAAAAACAAGGCCAGAAATTGAGGTCATGCCCCCACGTTGGGTGCTCAAAATTATGGAAAATGGGTTCAAAACGCCATTGGGTACCTGGGTAATTTTGGGTCTTCATTGTCTACCAGTCTGGATATTTGCAATGCAGCACGGTCTCACGGATCATTTTCTTTCATACGCTACCAGCGTAATTGGTAAGCGTTTGTAATTTATTATTCCACAGAAGAAGGATGCAAACAACAAATTGTATATTTAAGAGTGAGATCATTCATGTGAACCTACACTTTTTGCAGTGTGTCTTCTTCTCCTTGGTGGGCGACTCCTTTGTCTGGGTTGCGAGCTCTGGTGTATTAAGAAGCACATTATCGAACTTCTAAACCAAGATTTTAATAATTGACTGCAAAAACTATGTATTTTATGCCAAACTCTGGACAGACGAAAGCAATAAAAGGCGAGCTGGAAATGCTGAGAACCAAATTTTAAATATGTAGATTTGATGGTATAATGTCTACTTAGGCGAGAGGATTGGCACGAAATATATATTTATTACACACCCTTTTACAGGAGGCAAGCCCATGGAGCTACTCAAATCTCAGTGCCATTTTAAGTTTTTACAATTTCAGATTCTTAATTGACTTGTCCTACACAAAATGCAAAGTGTACAAACAGAACTTTTATTAATCCTCTTTTTTAGCTCGATAGAACGTAATAACGTAACAAAATACTTACAACATGCCCAACGAACAAAGCTGGCGTTCCTTTAAAGTCATCGAAGAAACTGGTTGAATCCAGAAACACACAAGGAGAAAATCCTCTTCACAATAAATCTTGGTGTACATTAATTGTAAATAGTAAATAGCAGAAAGGACAAGCTTTGCATATATAATATGAGGAATGACTTGTATTATTGCCCTCACTAGTATCATGTTCATTAGTGCTTCAGTCTTGAATGGCAACAATTTGTTCACATCACATTTTATAATTAATAAGTTCAGCTGCAACTACGTTTGAGACGCGTAATTTTGTTAGACGCGTTTTATTAAGGTTCAAACACAATAGTCTGATCACGGCCATGAACAACGGTCCAGCAGACATTGCATATCACGTAAATCAACATCAATGCAACAAAAGTAAATTTGCCAAGTTAATAATGAACTGCAACCGCAAACATGTGTAATTTTAAATTTCATTATTGTTGATCAGTAATCAATTATTTTTCCTTGTTGGATGCGTGGTTTCTCTTCCAATCATACACTGCGAGATTACAGACAATAGTGCTCATACAATAATTGTGAAATCTACTAAATCATTGCGTCCCTTAAAAAATATCATTTCAGATTAGGCTTAAACCTTATACGTATTAAAACTGGTTAACAAAAAAGTGCCATTGAATTGAAATAAAATGTGATTGAAATACTGCATAGCTTAGCGTGGATAGAATACACAAGAATGATACTAACATGTGCCACATACTAATATGAGTATCGTCAACAGTGCGGTTATTATGTCAATTGGTCTACGAGTATTAATTCGTCACGTATACATGATGACCTAAATTGTAGAATTTCCTTCTTCCTAAAATTGCGAGGATCCAAATCACATTAGATTCAATGTAGTGTTCAAGTTCAACATTATTATTTCAATGGTGTTAAACCAAGATCGACATAGTTAACTTCAACTATCGTGCAAACTTTTGCACATTGTGAGTCATTTTGCATACGACTGCAACACATAATTTCAATTGTCCAGACTATTGTCTCCGTTAAGAATTTTGAAGTGAAGTATCATTGAGCATATGCTGTATATTTTTTAATCGTTATAAATATCTGTGGTCAAGACTTTTTATAAACTTCACAGAGTGCCCGCAACTGGGTTGAACCGAAGTTTGCCAAACCAAAAGATTTTTACGTTGTAACCCTAGATTTGTAAATGTCATGAAAAAATCAAGTTCGACTTTATTTAGCAATGCGACTTAAACGAAGACTGACAAATACTGAACCAAGTAATTTAACATATTCAGTGAGCTTTGTGAGAGTGCAACATTACTTGTTTTCCTTCAATTTAGCGTGATGATTCTTATAATAGCCATTGATGAATACTTGCTTGAAAAGTTGCATGCAGTCAGTCGTACATATAATATTGTTTCGCTATAGTAGTGGTCCATTCCATCGACAACAAATCCTAATCCACGACCGCTGTCACAAATACCAACTGGCATCCATTGGCATCCTCTCTCTCTATTGTCAGAATTTAACACTTTTCAGTTTGTCTCATCTTCGATGTAATCCATTACTTTTGGGAGCAGAGGAAAAGGCCTGTAAATTACCAATCATCGTTCTCATGTCCAACTCGGAAAATCTGTGTCAAAGTGTTTGGAACAACTTAAGTAGTGGTCTCACTTCGCGTGTGGCATTCATCTCTGGAGTGTCAATGTCTGCATACATACAGATGTACAACAGTGGCCAATAAATTTTATTGTTTGTGTCTGTAAAATGTTCAGTTGGATTTAAATTCGCAGTGGTTACAGGGTTACTAGTAAGTAGTACTAAATACAGACACTGTCTCACGACTATGTGCACAGAGTGAAGATTACTTATTGGCCCTTAGCTCACTATATTGTGCCAATATTTGCATATTTCTGCTGTCCAGTAAATTTTTAATATTTTATGTTACACGTCCCCTCAGCAAAGAAAGACTGCTAAAGTGGTTTTCGAGGCACTTTTCAAGAATTCGAATACTTGTTATGATAAAAGTGCATCATTAATAACAGTGCAATGGACATGAGGGTAAGCTTTTTCGGGTAAGTAGGACACTGTATTTATGCCGATGGATAAAACCAAATTCTGTTGATAGAAGGAAAAGGATGGAACTCCTGCAGAAAATGTCACGCTTGTGGCTGCCAAACCTCTCAGATCTTCGCTCAACAAAGGAAACACGAGCACCGTTAGTCCCATCGACTCTTCTGGGGTCACGCCCCGAGAGGGATGGGTCGCTGACCCATCATCTGCCAGACCTTCTGGTCCGGTGTCCTTCGACAGAAAAAAATCATGGACTGGAACCGTGATTCCCAGCCCGGCTGAAATTGCAGAAAGTATGGATAAGCACCGACGAGTAATTCTCAACGTGGGCGGAGAAAGGCATGTAATTTTATGTGCACACACTTCATTTTCGAGTAGAAAAATTCCCCTGTTGTTAAGCCCCATGAATCCCAATACTATAGCCACACCCCATCAAATGGGTGGAAAATAAGTACAAGCCCCATGCTTTGGGTGTTTACTTAACTTCAAATCCAATTTTGCTCGGATTTTGAAAATTCATTGTCATCCACATGGCTGCTGTATCATGTTCAGCTTAATCAACCTCGTGGATTTTCCAAATGATTGACGAAACATATGCATCATAGATTAGCTACACCTTAATGTGACCACTAAAGTGGAAAAATATAAAGATCCCAGCAAAATTGGATTTTTTGTGTGTGTGACAGACATGAAATTTTATGGGCAAACTTGGAACGCCACCCTTATACCCGTCTTGGTCAACTGGGAGAATGTTCTACCCACGAAGAAATTATGGACGTTTGTGATGATTACGATTTGAACATGAACGAGTATTATTGGGACAGGCAGCCTCGGTCGTTCTCGCTTATTTTAAATCTGTACAGGAAAAATAAGGTGTAGCAATTAGATATAAATACATATAAATAAATACAAACTGTATAAATATAAATTTGTGCAGCTGCATTTCCCTGAGGATTCTGTGTGTGTCATGGATTTTGCAGGTTCGTACAAAGTTTATTTCTAACTCCGATACGTCGATCGGGGGTTAAAATATATCGTCTGCAGATTTGGTGGTGATGATATTTAACAATTTGATTATGGGCATATATTAGACGATTTGCAATATTGGGGAATAGATGAGCTTTATCTGGATTCGTGCTGCCAAATTAAATACCAACAAAAAATGGAGCAACAACTGGACGTGAGTTTTGTTTGCTTTAAATTGTACTAAAATCGTGTTTCGTTTCGTGTAATGAATGATTGTAATTCAAAAACAATGAAAATCATGTTTGCTCGAATCGTGAATGAAAACATAAATTGTGAAATATAAGAATTTGCTAGATACATAAAAATAATCTCCCGTCTATCATAGAGGCTCTATGTACTTCATGCTTGCTTCATAGTCAACCATCAATGATTGACACCTTCGTTTAACTCGGACTGAACAAATATTTCTGGGGTGAGGCCTGTGACCTCATAAGTGATGAGGTCGCAGGCCGCATCTTTTGAAACGTCAATATCAAAAATATTTGTTAAAGCTGGTGAATAATAATTTAGGAACTTAAGAAGGACGAAGAATTTCTCTTGCTCCACAAAGAGGAGGACTTTGGAAAAGGCATGCTAGCCGAATACCGAGCTTATCTATGGGATTTGTTTGAAAAGTAATTTATAGGTTTAAACCAGCCAAGAATAAAAAATTAATTCTGATTTCACTGTTTGTTTTTCTTCAGATCAACTACATTGCCACAGAAGGTGGGTAATCAAAAACAGATTTATATTTTCCATGCATAACTGCAGTTAACTAAGAAAATTCTCAGATAACTGGAATGATGTCGATAACCATTATTGTAACTTCGATTGTCACCTTGTCATTATCAACGGTTCCCGAACTCCAAGGATATCGATGCACGCATAAGAATCAGACGCTATGTGATGAAATCTTAACCGAAACTCTCAGCTCTTCCGACCACCTCTCTTTGCCCAAAGAATATTTTGAAGAAGCCGACAATGAGATTCTTGATAAAATAGAAATTGTTTGCATTGCTTGGTTCACCTTTGAGTATATCATTCGACTCTTTGCAGCTCCAAAACTTTCCAGCTTTTTCCGAGAATGGCTGAATAATATTGACCTACTCGCCATTGCCCCTTTTTACGTGTCGCTATTCCTCGTCCAATTCGATACCCCCGGCCGAGTTTTGCAAGTCCTCCGAGTTATTCGAATTTTACGAATCTTTAAATTGGCAAGACATTCAACAGGTTTACAAAGTTTAGGGTTCACACTACGGCACAGTTACAAGAATCTCGGGGTCCTACTTCTTTTCTTAACGGTGGGAGTGGTAATATTTTCTACATTAGCATATTTTGCGGAAAGGGACGCCAACAAGGACGGATTTGAGAGCATACCCCATGCTTTCTATTGGTATAGTTTATTTCATTCTACATATTCCGAGAATGATGTTCTGAATAACTGATTCGATGGTGTAGGGCATTAATAACGATGACCACAGTCGGTTATGGAGACATTACACCTAAGGTAATTCAACACGTATACTAAAATTCTTACACGAAATTCCTAACATATTTTTACTCCTAAGACTGTGACTGGGAAAATAATTGGGATGGCCACTGGTAAATAAATATAATTTATTTGGTAAAATGTGCGAGTGAGTATAATAAGGAGTAAGGACGAGGATGAGACTCACTGTAAACTGTAGAATCCGGATTTAAAGGCCAATGGTCAACGTTGACCATTGGCCTTTAAATCCGGATTCTACAGTTTACAGTGAGTCTCATCCTCGTCCTTACTCCCAATAAATATAATTTAATCCGGTGAATTATAATTTAATTCATAATGTATGCATATATATATTTAGGTATTTGTGGTGTGATTGTAATCGCATTGGTAAGTATGCTATGATGGAATATTTATTACTTGGGGTTTCACTAATAGTTGTTATTTTCCCCATAAGCCAATTCCAATCATTGTGAATAATTTCGGGCTATTTTATGAAGAGCAAAAACGAAAAGAAAAATCCCTGAAGAGACAAAAGGCAATCCAAGATCTGAAGGATTCTGAGCATTCAAATCAAGGTAGTTACCTCAAAGTCACGATACGCAACCCCTTGGGTTTGGATGAGAAAAAGGACGACAAAAATACTCCCGTCGAGAATAATTCCTAAAAAAGCTTATTTCTACAACATACATGTATAACTAATTATCAACTAAGGGGCCGTCCATAAATTACGTAACGCAAGAGGGGGGAGGGGGGGTCATGGGAAGAGCGTTACGAATTGTTATGTAGGGGGAGGGGGGTATAACAAATTTGTTACGTAACAGGTTTCAGTGTACGCATGCAAATACGTTTTTCATTATGGTGCTCACATTAAAAGAAGAGCAAAATTCTTGCCTACTTGTAAACCATCATTCCTCCACAGTGACCTCGGAGGGCGATGGTGTGACGTAAGTTTCATGATTAATTGAGCCTTACCTTTACGATGAGAATTTGATCGGAATTTGCCGATCACCTGAGCCACAACGAGGTCACTTAGGCGCCATGATGGTTGTCAAGAATTGTACTCATCTATTAATGGTCGTACGATAGTTTTCCGGGTGCAACTTGACAAAAGGTTCCATTGTGAGTCTTGGTAAACGTTGAGAGACCTGTAAGATTTACAATTTCCATTTCTTGTCGAATATGATTTCGGTTGTTCTTGAACAAGAAATTCACAAAATTCTAATTTATCTAGCAATTTAAAAGAAATAGAAGCAATAAAAGCGACATTTGTCTACACAACCTGGAACAAATGAAAATTTTGTAAGACTGTTACTGTTACTGTTACTGTTAAAGAAATTACCTGCGGTGAAATCAAATTTACGTTACGTTACGAAGGGGGAGGGGGGTAGTCGAGAAGCGTTACGATGCCGTTACGAGGGGGGAGGGGGGGTCTAAAAAATGATGATTTTTGCGTTACGTAATTTATGGACGGCCCCTAATGCCAATGCTTGCTACTCGTTCCCTCAGCTCTCTAACATTATCTTGCAAATCAGCAATTGATGATAAATACTCAAAACACTTACATATTAAAGATTTTGCATAATGCTTTCTGTATTACATCTTATTGATTATAATCCACAACAAAGCAGTATATTATAAACTTATTAAATACAAGAATTAGTTGAAAAATATAATCTCGTTCATACCGAAATTATTTATAGATAATGAATTATAGTCACATTCCAATTTTTCAATTTACTAGAACATCCTCTTTTTTCGTAAAATTATGATACTGACCACAGATCCAGATTTGCCCCCAAATTTAAATTCTTGGGTTGGAATGATTCCCGTAAAATCAAAGAGGTCCTTGGCGAAAGTGACCAACTCTTTGGAAGTCCAGTTACAAGAGGCCAACACAAAGATTCCATTATCCTTTAGCAATTTTAGCATGTTATTAAAGTACCTCTTCCTCCCTTCCACCGCAGAAATATTTGGACACAGTCTGTATACGTGGATAAATATGAGTCTCATGGGATGAATATAGATTTACAGATATAAATATGTGGCCAATATATGACATACGATATGGCATCGAACGTCCCCTTATCCAGACAGACGTCAAAAGCAGTGACTTCTGATTCTTCGTACTCTTTCAATAAATCGAACGTCTACAAAAAAAATAAATTTTATAATTTAGACTAATTGAGTCCATGTATGAAACAAATTGGTCTTATTTATTGCACTTTGAGATTTCTCGTACCTTGAACGTTGCAGTAAAGTTTTCGCCAGTTAAAAGCGCCTTCGCCATTTTTAGAGCATTCTCAGAATAATCCAAACCAGTTAATTTTGTATAACCTTCTCTCGCCTAGGAATATAATTTTACATCTTGTAAATATATTTAAAAATTCAGTTATAAATATTCAGTTATTCCAAAGCCTTACAAATTCCAGCATCAGCGAACCGTTGCCACAACCAATGTCGCATATCGAAGACTGCTCCGTAACTTCTAAAGTTTCGTCCACGATATGTCTTAACGCATTAATATTATTAAAACCAAACAAATGCGGAGGTAAATTAAAAATTGCTTGAGATTGAAATTACCTAACAATTTTCATCATAATGTCATCGCCAAACCAAATATCACCTATGATCCCGTGGCGATTATAATTTTCCAATTCATTCTGATAAGCTTTTTCCCAACTAGAAATTTATACGAACAAGAAGAATGCAGATTTGTAATAGCGTGTAATTCTTCCCCATATTTATTTGGACAACTCCAGCTTAGGATTAGACTTACTGCTCTTTAGTTCCTAGCTCGCTACCTTCCAAGTCTTCAATTTGATCTTCTGCAACACCACCAGCAGCGCCTTCGCTCTTACTTCCTCCACTCTTCGCCTTATCCATTGCAGAAAACTGGGGCGAAAAACTAACCTACGACAACAAGTAGACAGGGACCTGCTCCAAAGAATTAATAAAAATATGTAAAAACAACTTTTAAAAATATTTGGACGGATGGAAAACCCACGAGTTTAGAGCTGTTTGCCGGCTCAGCACTGAAGCAATGGTAGTGGTGATCGGGATGGTTCGTTGGAAATCTCGAGGTAATGCAACAAGTATAGCAAATGTTATTTTACTTATATGCCTCATACGCCGTGTTTGTGCTAACCAAATTCTTACACGAAATTCCTAACATGTTATTACTTGTGCAAAAGCAATATTTTATCGCTGCATGCAAAAAATTTAAATCGGGATAATCTGCGTTTTCTTTGTATGAATGCATACAGCATTGTGTGAAATGGTGGGTATAAAAAACATGCGAGGTTTAATTTTAGTATTTTCGTTTTATTTTGCATTGTTCTTCATGATTGCGACAATTTCAACAGCATAATAATTTCAGTATCGTTTACCATATTATTATGCATGTCACACATATAAAAGTACGTCTCAGGGGTTGGCAATTACAGAAAGTGGACGATAATATTATGAGCGGTATACGTGACTAAGATAATAAAATAAAATACTAATAAGACGCTGGAATAATTTGTAGATAAAAGTATGTATGTAGCTTATAATAAAGTACATACATGTCGGTAGGAAACATCAGTTTTACATATAAGTTAAAAATCATACCTAAATCAAACGCGTAATTTCATAAAATTTCTCGATTCATTCGATATTGTACAATTCAGTCGAGTTGAATTTCATTTGTGTGGTACAGCCAGCAGGACAGACATATACATTAATGTATATGTAGTAGTACATATTTATCTCCTGGTTTAAAAATTGATAAGTCAAAAGTGATAAAATGCATTTTTTCCTGTCTCATTAATTTCTTTCTAGCCATCATCCCAAGGATTTATCTACTGGGATAACAAATATGAATGTCATTGCTCTGTAAGTAAATATAGTATGTATAATTATGTATAATAGTCATTTCCAAAGGCATTCGTATTTTTAATAAGTATGTACTTGCTGCATTGCAAAAAGGCGTAGTCGACGACGAGACCTGCGACGCCAACTAATTTGAATAGTGATCTTTAGACTAGCTGTCTATTTTGATTCCTATTCTGTTGATTAGAATAATATTTTCGCAAAATTCAAGTCTTTACGCTGATACATAATCTACATATACCCTATAACCTAACGCATTGTAAAAATTGTTATTGTACAAATCATACTAAGTAGTTGGTATATAGGAAGCTGAAGGAATATTTAATTTATCAACAATACTACTAAATACATATTACAACAAATATAATGCTGAATATGTGACGGAATTGAGCATCAAAGGCAGAAGCCGAAGCAAAGACATATTAAGTAGTTTTCCTTATGTGGGCTTTCTTTCTTTGCTATGCTACATATTTCATATTTCTCTAATCGTAATTTCAAAGGCCAAGCTCGCTAGTTAAGTAAGATACATAATTAATTTGAATAGTTGCTCCTAAATCGTTTTATGTTGTAGTGCACTCATTATAGTCGAAGATAGCCGGATATAATTTTTGAGTACAGTTCATTGTCCATTCGCACGTATTTTCCATTGCATAGGAAAAATATCCCATCAGAGATTTTGGTAACGTCGAAACCCTCCTTTTGTAGATCAATCTTTTTCATTTTGTACGTGCCTTTAAATTGAATTAAACATAAACATTGCTAATTACTTTCATGCTAAAAATGCATTAGTAGTAATTAATTTAGTTTAAATACCTGTCATGTCCAAGTGCTTCACAATTCTTACAAATAGTGGACTGAAATTGAAACAAGGTTGAAATAAAGTTATTGATTTGTAAAACTGAATGAGCTTGTTAGCAGTTTGTACTTACCGAGCGTAAGATGGCAAAGACTTTGTGACTCCATGAGCTAAAGAATCAAAATCCAGGGAAGCATCAGGGTCCAAAATAGCGGCCATTCCTGCTCTGCCGTCTGTGAAGGGAATTTCAACACCATAACACACAGCGTCCTTTAATCCGCACACGTTACTAACAACTGCTTCAACTTCGGCAGTAGAACAATTTTCTCCCTTCCATCGAAATGTGTCTCCTGTCCGATCCTTGAAGTAAAAGTATCCACACTCGTCCATGATAAGAACATCCCCTAAAATGAAATATAAGTAACGTGTAATATTTATGTATGTACATTCGTAATGCGGCATATGCTACGTATGCAGATTTATTTACGTATTATACCTGTTCTGAAAGCGGCATCGCCCTTGCGGAATACATCGGTGACTATTTTCTTGGTAGTTGCGTTGGAATCTGCATAGCCATCAAATTCTCGGACGGGATGGTTCGGAACGATTTTTCCAACCAATTCTCCTGGCTCATTGGGTTTGCATCTTAAGACTAATCCTGTCCTGGGGTCACGCATAACTTCGCCTGTTGCTTCATCAACTCGAATGAGTGTTACGGGGTAGATAAATGGAAGAATTATGGATATAAACCCAACAGATCCAACGTGATTGTCAATATTAACTGAAATATGGAATTATATTAGTGAGTCTATAGTTTCTAATAGTCATGTATAAATTGAAATGACATACTTATATTGCAATTTCCTTCTGTTGCTCCATAAAATTCTGAGATGATGGAAATATTGAATCGACTGGCAAATTTTTCCCAGATTTGAGGACGAAGACTAGCAAACAAAATAAAAAAAATATTATTACATTGCTTATGAAATTATTCTGCTGCGTCAGTTTGATGTTTGGTCTCCAAATTTATTAAACTCACCCATTTCCAAACATTAAACGAACTTGGTGATTTTTATCACTCGAATTTGGAGGCTGGCACAGTAGATAGCGACAAATTTCTCCAATATATTGGGCGGCCTTAAAAGAGGAATATGTGTAAATAAATTATGTGCATAATGTCTCTGATATCATGTGCGAAATATAAATAAATAAAATAGCATCATACAGTGCAGTTGTATCTTGCGCAGTCTTTAAAGTACGAAGATGCAGAAAACTTCCTTCGGAGAACTGCTGTACATCCATGAATCAATGCTTGACCAACGCCTGTGAATCAATACACCAATACATTTAAAAATTAGGGCACCAACTTATGATTAGTATTGCAAATCAAGGTTTAAAGCAAGGGTTGCTTACCAATCATCCCACCGGCGGTATGGTACAACGGAAGTGGGTCATAAATGACTTCATCGTTAGAAATACCGACAAAGTAGTGTATGCCCATCGTGAAAAAGATGAATCTTTATAAAATAAGAATTAAAATATTATACCAATTTCTAGATACCTCGTCTCATCAATCATTAGAGATGCTTACCTAGAATGCTTAATTATGGCAGCCTTGGGCAAACCTAATTATAGAATGTGTATTATACAAATTAATTGACGGCGAATTACAATTAGTGACCTGACACCGTCAGGTCACTCTAAAATATGTGTATATTGGACAAACCAGTTGTTCCGGAGGTGAAAATGTAAAGCAACTTGTCAGAAAAATTTATGGGAGTGGAAATAACTGGAGCTTCTTTGGAATAGGATTTAATTTTTACATCCAAATCCAGCGAATTGAACAACAATTGTTCATCGCCATGTCCCGTGCTATACAGGTCGCATTTTGGGAGGGGACCGAGCTCGATAACTTCGTTGATAGCTGCATTGAAGAAAAATCAAATTTTTATAAGCTACTAATTTACGAGGATTATTCTTTTGAATGTTTTATTTTATTTTACCTAATCCTAATTCATGACCAAAAATAATAGCCTTGGGCTTTGCAACCTCGAAGCAATGTTTAAGTGGTTGTTGTCTTAAGTTGAAGTTTATCAAAGCAGGAATCACACCAATCTACAATAAATACCGGTGTAAAGTTATGAAATACGTTTTCTGGTAGAATCATGTTTCATGTATATAAACACGTCATACTTTGCTGAGTCCAAGCCATATGCAGACGTACATTGGCCGATTTTCCATAAAAACAGAGACACATTCTCCCTTTTGTAGTCCCTGGGACGCAAAATAGTTGGCGATTCGATTGCTTTCCTCGTCGATCTAGTGAGATGGAATAATAATTAAATTAATTAATAGCAAATTCACTAATAACTGGAGATATACGATTAACTTACATCTCTAAAACTCCAGACTTCGTCCTCTAAAAAAACAAATTCGAGTAAATTCATACATTTTTTTTACACAATCACTAATTCGGTCAAGTCAATCTTATGTACATATACAAATTAAGAAGTATCACATCAGTACGACACACTTACCAAAATAAAAACAAACTTTGTTTGGATGTCTTTTCCTGTAGAAAATATAATAACCATTAAATCTAACTTATTGTTCGCATGCTGAATTTAGAAACTCCTCATTTACACATTTTCAGCAAACATGTGAAGAAAGGTCCAATTTTTACGCTGACAGTAGGTCACATGCAACAGGATTCTTCCATATCGATATGCTCCTCTATACGCAAACAATAGAGTTTATTTAATTACATTGACCAATCGTTTCACCTTTTCAGCGCTTACACAATGTCTCGTGGAATAGTCTTCAGAGCAGCAAGACACCATCTCCGGTGTCGATAAATTGCCCACAAGAGAATGCCCAATGTGGAAAATTGAGCAATTATTGTGAGTGTCAAGTCTTGAAAATTGCTGCCTGAAGCAAAGCCAAGGGCCAAAATTACCCCAAGAATAACCTGAAAAGGGATCAAAATAAAAGTATATGCAGGAAAATATAATCTGTAGCAAATGTGTAATCTATTTTCAGTAATTTTCCGGATATCATACACGTCATGTGTCACTATGAATGAATATTTTAGTATTTATTGTGTGTGCATAGACTTGGTGACTTACGTATTTTGTAACACTAGATGTAAAGTCTACATGTTTATGGGAATCTTTTGTTGCAGACGATATGGAGTCAGATTCCGTATAATGATGGGAATTTGACTTTCCATTTGCATTAGAGTTGTAAGCGTCGGACGATGGAGGAGGAGACTTTAAGGTCTGCATTTTGGCAGTGAGCATGCCTTGATCATTTACAGGTTTCAGTGTGTGTCCCCCATTTTGATGAACCACTTCTTCACTTGGTCTTTCTTTCTTTAGAGATTTGTCTTTAAATATCAATCCATTTGTTGTGGTTAATGTGGAATTTTTTGAATTTAGATTTTTTATTGACTCTGTTGGTGAGTTTCGATGGTGGCCATTTCGAAGTATAGCGTCTGAGCCGAGGGTGTATCCATTTGCTGCTGCAATTTTTCCCGCTAACGATGACGACTTTCTGAGGTCACTGCTGGGATAAGCGTCGCTACCATTTTGGACTATGGGTGACTTGAACATTGCTCCGTTGGTAACAACTGCGTCTGCAGGCTGACACCCGTTGTCTAGGAAGGATCCAGTGGAACTGTAATTATAAGAATTCCATGTTGAAACTAAAATAACAATACGATATGAAATTATGTAATAACTTCTAAATTTTCACTTTGTGGATAAAAAAAAATGGTCGTTACGAACAATGATTATGCATATTTTTCAATTGAAAATTGATCGTTGGACTGATTCTAGAGATTTTATCATGGGTAATTCCTGTCCAAGATTCTTAAAATAAATACTATCTCACCCTAAAGTGATGGACAACTTTTGTGTAAAATATCGCAACTATTTACCTCCTCATTGATACTTTGCAAACGGAATATCTTACATCAAACTAAGCATGTAGATACAGTGATTTCTGTCTGTCAGTCAGTGTGAAGGAAAATATCCTTCAGAAAAAAGTGGATCAGTCCAGAATCTGTACTGATGACCAACGCCAAACTAGTTTTCTCAGTTTCAACCATTTAACGTAACTACCAGTTCAGCGTAAGTACAAGTCAGGTTAGGAATCATTTGAAGGTTTCGGAACTTCCTTAATGATAATCTGACTCTTGCCCACGACCGGATCTGGGTATTTCCAAAGTAATCTTCTCAATCTCATACTTACCGAGAATATGTAAAACTAATATAAATATATGCAAGGGCTAAGAAATCTTATGTGAAAGTTATCTAAGATTTCTCAGCTTATCTAAATACCAAAATTACTAAACGGAACTAATATTTCTCACATGAATGTTGCGAACAGAATATTTTGCAACCGCATCTTCCAAATGCCTGTGATACTAAATTATTTTTGGATTCTTTACTCTGATAATTTAAGTTAGAGAAACATGAAAGTTAAAGTCTCATTAAAAATTGCATATTAATTATACAACTTTACTTAAGACGAATTCAGAGTTTATTTGATAATTATTTTTAATTGGAAAAGTGATTTAAAAATGAAAATTTAGCAGATTTTTATGGGGAACATAAACGAAAGTCGTTATCATACTGCTTAGGTGCGTAGCATACGTAACCCAGAAAATTTAACTCAACGTACGCATGAATTATTCGGACTTATGAATTTTTCAACGAGTTTTTCTAACCAATACACACCTACACGTGTGTAAATGTGTATAGTACGTATGCTAATTATATTTCTTATCTGCATCCGAAGTTTTGGAATAAATAATTACCAATGGATCATATCATTTTCTCAGAATATTTTACTATTTGTTTTACTACCTGGAGAACATAAACCTGCAATGAATGGAACGCCCGTCACCCGTATTTAAAACACGGCGATTTTTTTCTCAGCTTGTGAGTACCTTTTTAGGGGAAATTTTGCCTATTTGTTTCTTGTTTATTATCACCATTATTTATTTAACACAAAAAATTGTGATACGACCACCAGGATAAATTATTATCCATGTGCCTAATAATACCACGACACAACTGTGACAACCCACGAGATGTACTAGAAAGATTACTACGTTGTTCCAGCCTGTTGGGAAATTCGTCAATCTATGTACGTCAGACAACAATGTGGACATTCTCCAAGGCTTTCTTTGTTACTCGTCGTGTATGCACAATGAGGACGACAGAGTATTATCGGTGCTATTGCAGGTGTGCGTGGGGAGCGAATTACCAAGATGATAATGGCATGCGAATTATAATAAAGGCTTGGAAGGGGAGTCCTTGAACATTTTGCATCTCTCCTCATACTTGAGACTGGACTATTTGTTGCCACAGCAGACAAATCCCATCACCTTAGGACATTCATGAGACTGTCTCATTATGGTACGGCACATGCATAGTAACGACTCTTAAATTAAGAGTCTTAATTGTCTCAGGTATGCTCTCATGGAAAAAATTTACATACAACCGTCGGAAAAATTGAACACCAATATTCAAATTCAAGACTTCGATTCACGCAAGTATAGTAAATTCACATAATTATTAGTCGGACTCGAACACAATTAAAAACATCCACCTTTTTCATTTACTACTATTTTGCAGTCACACATCACCACATTCACTCACATGCACATAATATTTAAACCTTCGGTTCGGTATTACTTGTATGTAAAACATGATGCAACCCACGAGTAGGAAATCCGTTGTATGCAAATATTTATTTTGAGTTACCTCAAGTTGATTCCATTGAAAGTGGGAGAAATTTCATAAGGTAACGAATTCACTTTCAACACACTTTCTTGGTGGTCAGTAGTGATGTCCTCGACAATGAACACCATTATTGTTTCGCGTGATGGTTGGCAAGTGTAGTGGACACGAGGAAGACCATTCAAGTGGAAGAACACTACCAACAACCTCCTTGACTGGTGCAATAAGTATCTCCTTCAATCAAATTAATCTTTTCCATGATGTTAAAACATCCATCGGGCTATATGCTCATCATGTCAAAATATACGCAGGGCTACACCAATCAACACCAAAATCATATCACTTTTGTCACTATTTACTCAATGTCGATCAATGAAACACAACACTATGATGATAACCCGAATCAATCAGGATGATCCGGGTTGTTACAATGAAAAAACACAGATAAATTTCAAAAGTGTGTTCTGTAGGAACATTACCACTCACATCACAAACAAACAATTTTGAAAAGTGCACATATTTAATCGGTAGGTGGACCATACAAATATACAAATTACGGAAAACAACCTGCAGAGAAGTAGACGTAGTAAAGGAAGAAATGGGAACAAAATTTAGCTCACAATAAAACAACCCAGCTTCACCTAAGATGACCAAACTAAAAGCACCTCTCACACGGACTGACCACAACTGCATAAGTGCGTACACAATACATAAGGACAAGAGGTTTGGGCACTCCAAATGATGCTGGTGGACTCAATGAATAATATGGCGGTGGTGGTGGTGGTAGTACGTTCTACAACATAATAGCACAAAAACTTGGCGATTACATTAAATGCACATTGAATTTTAAGGGATATGATTATAAAATTTTGACCCATGTAACAATCAACAAAGCAATAGAAGGAACCAGTTATTCTCATCATCATCTCAGAATGAGAATCTCAGCAACACACGTTGGGGAATGTGTGTCCTATAAAATTTTGAAATTCCGTAATGCATGCATATAAGTACGTACCCTACGCCGAGTCATGTGTCAGGTGATCTGACCACTATATTCTGGCTTCCGTAGACGAGACTGCATATAAACCATTTCTTGAGATTTATAAATACTATGTCGAAATTGTGCATAAATACAATCTCTACGATATCTAGAATAATGACCGTGACATAAACCGGCGCAGGACAATATTCATACATAATTAATAAAACTTTCAGAGGTCATTCTTATCACTTTAAGTCGCTCCCCTATTATATTTGTAGAAAAACTAGTAATTTAGTATGATCGCGCATAGCTATTATTATTATTCAACCAAATATGGGTTACCGAAACGAATCTCATTGCACGCGAATACCATTAACTTTTCGCTATTGCATTCATTGTCACTACAACTAATTAACTTACATGTTTAGTCATACCGCAAAAACAACCCGAGTAATCTTTTTGCAACTTACTACTAATAATATGCTACAAACTCCTACAACGCTTCATTCATGAATCATGACTTTACTACTGAAAAGTCCAGCCGCTTTTAATAATTTCTTGGAAGCAGTTTCACACCTGACATTTGCTGCTAATTAAGAACTGTAAAGATAACGCAAGGTCTTGGACCTGGATGCAATAATAGAGAAAGAATGCTTGATATAATTTGGCAATACCTCGTATCAGATTATCACCAGCAAACTTATGATAATTATTAACATTGCATTCAGACATTAAGTTGCTTAATCTTCAACAATGCTACTTGTGTATTTAATAATAATCACTACAATTTAGTGGTGGTTTATCCTTCATCACAAAAGAAAGATTTGCCATAACCCTGCCGCATTCGTATGAATAATATGCATAAAACCTACAGTGCAGCTTTGCTTAGCCCGAGCCAGGGTGGGTACAACTAGAATTTGTTTACCAATCTTTACGCCAAAATTCAGCTTAATTGAGTGATTTTGCAAAATCAGTATGGGTCACCCCACCGGGTTCCTCTGGGTCAAAATTTTCAAAATTGTACATCATAAACTCCCATTATAAGCTGCTATCGACTTCCATACCAAATTTCAGCTTAATTGGACGATTTTGAAAAATCAGTTTGAGTGACCCCATAGGGTCCCTCCAGATAAAAATTTTCGCAAATTCACTTCATATCTTTTCATTAGAAGCCATTAGTTACATATTTACCAAATTTCAGCTTTCTACAACAATTTTGAAAATTTGATGCATAATAACCCCACCACCCATATGGCCCCCACCGGCCAACCACTTGACCGATTCGGCTCATCTTCGAACTTGATTTGTCTTTTGGGTAGATATAGATGTGGTAAAAATTTCAAGTCGATCGGTTGAGTTTGAAGAGAGTTATCGCGAAGACAGACGGACGGACGGACAGACAGACAGACATAACGGGTACATAAGCCCTGGCTCGGGCTAAAAAACTAAAGACACAGGAACACGGATGCTGCAGCAGAAGGTATATGGGCAGGTATTATTAGGCAGGTCTAATATTAACTTTAGAGAGAGTGAGAGTTTGTCAAGTCAAGATTGCTGAGGTTGCATGTAGTGTAACTCAACAGTCAACAGTAGTGCAACTCAACTCAGCAGAGGCTGGAGTTATATAGCTGCATCGTAATAGTGAGTAATTTCAACGACACGACAGAGTGCAGACGACCAAATATCTACGTAGAGAGAGATCAGACTTACCAAATCCTTTTAGCAAGATAAACCACCTTCCGTATGAAATATGCAAGATGCAGTCGTCCTGGTTTATCTTTGTCAATGATATTTTGGCTGTGCGTTACCAAATGCTGTTATAAAATCATCATGCAATGCAAAATATGTGGGTGACGGAAGAAAAGGAGAAGTGAATCTTATCTCTCTTCACCGTTATACCTCGCCCGTGAAGAACCAACAGCAGTAATAATAATAGAATAGACAATGCACATCAGTGAAAATAGCATCACACATAGCACAGCACTTATTTAATAATAAGCAAGGGACCCACAATTTCTCTTTCATTTCATTCATCCCATCCATCCATCCATTATTACATCAACATCAACTGAATAGCTAACCGATAACAACGTGAAGAAACCCAATTATTCTCTATAAATGTGTCTGTCTGTCCCATAAAAGGGAAATCAGACTTCAGTTTGTGAACACGTAATTTTTTATCCTCTAGTAAAGATGCATGCTGTAAGTAAGCAAGCATACATACGATGGTTTCGCAGTAATATTTGCAAATAGTTACTACACGACAGTGAATAACACAACATGCAAGTTGTCATTAGCTCGGCGACTGTGTGTGTACTACACGACCAACAAAAAGGTTGTATGCAGAAGAACAAGTGTGATCAACCAACAGCGGTCACATAATAATAATGTTAATAAGCGTTGTTGAAAAATTACAATCTTTTATTTGCTCCTCCAACCACCTATCAGTCCAAGCTTCCTTGTCCATTTTTTCGCGTGCATGCATATTATCGGCATTGTGTGTACGTAGAGTTGGCATATTTTGAAGAAAAATGGGTCACAAGAATCTGTTTGACCATTCGATTCTCGATAGCGATAGATTACGTGATGGAGGATGCAGTTTTGAAAAAAAGATATTGTTCTGAAAATTATTGCAGAGAGAATGCACACTACAATAACATGACGAATACATTCCTATCATGTGTATAATTTGATCAATTTGTTGCAGATTAATTCATAATAATGCAGTGTGCTTCTTTTTTGTCGAATGATCTAAATTCAAAATTTTTGCAATAGCAAAAGAAAAACACGTTTTCTTGTGCCGATTGTGTAATGAATATGCGAGGAAGTTTTAATTGAGACGAAATGCATTGTCTTCGTCTACACATACTACTGACTCAGAATTACTTCACCAAAAATTTGATTCCCGCTTCGTATCCCTGCCATACTAATAGCATGGGAAGGATACCAGCGCGGGAGGGAAAAGAAAAACTGAGTTGATATTACACAAGTACATACCTACAACAAATTATTTTGCATGATTTTTAACAACCTCATGCATATGTGTAAGTAATCCACCAATAAAGTCAAGTGAATGTCATTGTCGCTCATTCAAGGGACAAATAAACTCGGATCTATACCCTTGAGATAAGTAAAATCCATCAAACGCAGGAACTGTGGCGTTGCATCTTCAAATATGCTAAGGATTAAAATATGAGGAGTAATGTAGCAAATATCTTAAGGTCCAATCAAATTAAGCCTCAAGACTGGCCAAACGAAAATGTTTGCCTCCAAAGACCTTTGGCCTCTTCATTATTTTTAGTGAAGGTTTGCGATGAGTGGAAGTAGATAGGAAAGGATTATGCAATAAATATTAGTACCATTGTTAATTATGTGTAGTGTTTACCTACAGAGATTCGCATTTAGTCTGTTTTTGGTTATTATTTTATTGCGCATATATAGTCGTGGACAAAACAACTAGGGAAGTGATAATGTCGTCATTACTAAAACACAAACGGAAAATAAACACTAATGCCAATAATATGTATTTAATTGATCCATTACATCGGCATCAGAGGACATTTTAACTTGAAGTATTTATTGTTGCAAGCTTTCGATATTCATACAGAATTTCTTCATCAGGCAAAAATATCATGTATTTAAGATGTGTAATATTTAATATTTAATATGTATTTAATGTAATATTTAATATGTATTTAAGATGATTCATATTATGAGTAAGTGCCAACTAACTTGAACCCTGAGCAAAACTGGATAAGTATCAACATAAGTCATCAGCAATATGCAATATTATCTTTTGGAAGTCAATGATATGTCGATAATAGACGAAACGCCCATTTATGACCCAGTATACACATACGTACTTGACATTCATCATCCCTCATCCTGTATTATTCTTATTAATACATTAATGCGCAATTTTCAGGTCCCGTCCAGCTTCCAACTGATAAAGTAATTCATAATTAATCACTCTTTGTCATGCACTTGAGAAGATGACTAACTGATGCATAGCAAAATTAAAGCAGTGATAAAGAGCAAAATGCATCATTGAGGTGAAACTTTGACAACTGACATACATAATCTTACCTTTCTAGTCTAAAATACAAATCTCACTATTAATTTAATCAATTGGCTTAATGAAAATGAATTGCAAATTGGGTTATAATTAATTTTTCTTCTTTCATTCGTCCATCCATATCCATATATCCGCTGGACAGGTGCAAAATTTCACAAGCGAAAAGAATGCATAATGCAAATGAAGACTTGGATATATATTATGCAATACAGCAATCTAATAGTCATCCAACCATTGAAATTTATGTTATTGTTGGGGCGCCGTATTTGCACTAATATATTTAACCGGCAGCTGCACAATTTAATTGCTCCTACGATTTTAGTGTTGATCAACAAATTCTACTGGTGACCGGTAGCTGTGATTTGATCGATCAGCAGCAATATTATTTCGAATTTCGCAATTAGACTAGTCGTCTGTAGAACTTGAGCAGGTAAATATCTCAATATTAATTTACTATACACTATGGTTAATTATATCTCAAACACCTTACCTGGAGTGAGAATCCATTGATTGTCCGCACTAATTCTTTAATACGGTTTGTCAACATGTGATTATAGTGAATATTTGATAATTCTCATTCAGCATTCAGGGGGTTTGTGTCGCAAAAATTGTATGTTGTTTTCCTATGTTAACGGGCTAATCGCCAACATGGACTCTGTATTTGCGTCGGTATTATGTAAGTGCCGGTTTTGTGAAATTATTTAACTCTCTCTCCTTCTAGTAACTTTGAAACTTTACCACCCACCCAACACTCGTATATATAACCAACTACTATTTAAGAAAGCTGGCTGGATATAGAAAAAGCACAACTTTTTTTCCCTTCGAAGGAACCATGTGACTTGAACCTAAAATGACGGAATTCCTATTTGGCTTCGGCAGTAGTGGTGGTTGTGCACTGGAAATATATGTTTTCCTACAATAACCTGCTTTAAACGGCGTGTGTGTATTAATAAACATCGCCGTTACACAACCATTGTAAATATGTACGTGTAATTGGATTGGGGTGACTCTTATCTGATGCTTTTATACAGTTATAGGTAAAACCATATACGAGACTGATTCCATGCACACTTTGGTTAAATGAAACATATTTAGTCTGTTCAATTTTGTTGAATCGCTCCGGAATCTTTTAATGTTCACCAGGTCGATTCGCATGTGCGGAAAAATGTTTGCCAAAACATGTGTAATTCCTTCCAAAAACCTCGTGGTCTCGAATATAGTGGATATGTGAATACATTCTTATCAACACCCTGCTCCACTACTCCCACTAAATGCAAAAAACCCGGGTTTTGTCCCTCACCCCAACACTACGAGCTTCTCGTATAGAAAACATTTTGGTGACCAATTCTCATGATACAGGTTTGCATATCATCCGCTAAATTAATTATTATATGAAATGGCATTATATGCATTGTTTGACTTCAAACAAACCGATATTATTCATGAATCAATGGCGATTCAATGTTCCAATCTGTCAATTAGCACAAAATTAACACCTTTAATTGCATTCTTAATATTATTTGGTCAGCTTGTATACGACTCACTCAGTAATCCACACTGCTACTACATCATAAAAATACTATGCTATAATTCGCAAAACAAAATTGGGTTTGATAAATCTCGCAGTTAGACTAAACTACTTATTCTCAAGTTTTCCATGTACATATTTGCATGGACGCATGCATTTATCCCAGCTCAATCTACCTACTGCATTCACATGCATGCATTTGATTATCTTAAATAATTATACCTACGTACATATTTAAGCGTAAATAAATATGTAGGTATGAATTATACATATATAGTTGTGGTTGGTTTGTTCTTTCACCTTGAGAAGTTAGTCTACCGGAACTGTTTCATCTTTTAACTCGTGTATACTTTATTATTAACACTCAAAACAATAAGCCCCTCTTAGGATTTAAATGTATCTGCACAAAACAAGAGGTATAAAAGTACATATGTACGAATAATAAGTCGCATTTTGATATCGTTCTTTTTTACCAGTCATGTCATCAAGTAGAATCCAAAACAAAAACTTTTGAGTTATTTCCAAAAACATTAGCAGCTTCATGCTTCACTCATAGAGGATCATATAATTTAAGAGCATGTGCATAGTATTTTAATGGCAGTACTCGAAAATCGAGGTACAACACAGAAAAATTACGTGATACTCGTTGTTTTAGAAGCGAGGTTGCTTGCTTTGTACGAGTCATTATTTTATGGAAAAACATCCTCTAGACCCGTTGTGTAAAGGGTCACCACGGCATGTCATTTAGCACTTACAGATGAAGTTCAATTTACAAATGGGTAGATATAAAGGGGTGACGATTATGATTCAATGTCCAAGGGTCAAACTGGCTGTATAGATCATATTGGGCATATCAGTATTTTTTCCTCTACTTCTACCACGCAACAACTTATTTAATAATAGTTTTACAAGTAGGAGAGGTAACCGTGCTTTAGGGTCGAGGTCACCTAAGGCACAGAGATCGTAACACTTCTTTGCTGTACGTGCTTTGCCATAATTATTCGTTCTTGTGTGGAGTACCACGCAGTGCATCTTTCCAATCTTTGCGTATAAGTGACCATTGACCACTCTTTGGTAGCACACCTTGCTTGAAGTATTGCAAAAGGAAAGTGAATTGGTGAGGATTGCGACATCCAGTCAACTTGTTATTCGCACACCTGTGAGTAATGGGGACTGCAAGTGCTGATGAATTCAACTGGGGAGGCATGATGATCATGATATGATGTTGCTGATGCTCATCCTAGCGTAAATAAATTGAGCCTTGACTGAAGTTCAAAAAGTGTTTCAAAAGCTCACATACATAACAAGAAGGATTTTGCAATTTTTCAGCACTTCATCATCATCATTTGGGATTTACTCATGACAATGACATTGGAGAATAATGATTACATAATATGTGCAAGGTGTTTATATATAATGCTACTTAATTTTAGGTTTCTTCAGTGATTGCAACTTTTTCGTATGTCAGAGAGAATAATGGATTCTGAGAACAATGAAACCACACAATCTTCTGGTGAACTGGCAAAAAATATCAACCACGACGCTTCGTCATCTCAGCCTTCCGAGATTCCGAGAGTAAATTCATCTGGACCATTTTTTGGGTTTGAAGATGAAGGAGCTACCACTGAAACTACACCACGTTCGCGGATCTACGCTGCTCTAGACCTTGACAGCCGGTTTTTCCCTGATGGTAAAAACTTTTAAGCTTGTCTAATTTTTTGGCAGTGTTGTTGGTCATAAGCGGGTTATTTTCCGTACTGTATACTTGAAACTCCTGCTCGACACGTCACATCAACTTATTAAATAAGATGGAATTGAGCAGTTTTTCGTAAGATGGTCATGGTCACTGAACTAACTACATGTCTACTACAAGCGTTTTACCTGTCTCGACATGAGATTAATGTAGAAGTTTAAAGATCCGTGCTAATTCTGGTTTATTGCAAGATCATGGATATATGAGGGCATGAAACTGTAGAAATTCTAATCTTGCAATATTTCGGAAAGAAGCTCTAAATACTAAGTTTGGGTTAATGCGACTTTATTTTAATAAAATTGTTCCGTTATTTTTTTCTCTAATTTCTAGGACTTCAACCGGGAAGTATTGTTGAAGTTAAGGGACCAGAGAATTGTGGAAAAACTTATTTGCTTACTTATTTCATTGTCCAGTAAGTACACAATTATATAACTTCATATGTATCAACTATTTTTCGGAACCCCATGAATGCATAATTATGCTCGTGTGTATGAAAATAGTGATGAATGTATGAACATAAATCCATTTCAGGATGCTGGTAAAATTTCCTAAGAAAAAAGCTGTGTTTATTAACACTTCTCATCAGTTCTCGATGAGGAACTTGATTGGAATGCTGCTCCGTGAAAAATTTGGAACAGAAATTAGCGACGCTGACAAATGTCTTCCCCTTCCTCAAATTATGCATCAGACTCCAGAATTAGCAACATACTTGGATCGTCTGATTATAGTTAATTGTTTTTCCGTTGAAGAATTTATGCTTACAGTTGCATTTGATGATTGTTCAGTGTTGAAGAAATTGGCTAAGAAAGACCGCAAAATTTCACTTGTGGTAATAGATACAATCGATTCCTTCTCTTTCACCGATTCCTTAGACCGAAACGAGCCATTAGATATTTTAGCCAGTCTAAAGAAAAATTGTGACAGGATTCCAACTATTTGTTCAACGATTGGAATACCTAGCAATTTTCAACTTATAAAAAACGCTCTCCCTGTTGATCCGACTTTGGAAATGTCGTATTTTTCAAACATCACACTTGACACGGTTAATTTCACCCACACCATGTCTATTGTACCAGCCACAACGGCTGAAATTGATGCCATACCAAAATTAAAGGAATTGAAAAATCCCCATTGTGCATGTGCTTACCTTCGTTCCAAGCAAAGAGCGAACATGGCTGGGTCCGCCGATATCCATCGTGTAAAATTCTCAATCTTTTCCGACATGTTGTGGGTGCTGGGTTGATTCTTGAACTTGTGTAATTTTCAGAAACAATTACTTAAAATAAGTAACTTAAATTAAAATATATTTAGTTGATACTTTTTGTTAACGTTTTTCTTCACTTTTCTACCAATTAAATGGCTACAAATTTAAAATAAACTAATCTATGTAATCCATATAAATGTATTCTAGAGTCTAGAGACTTTAACTGCCTTAATATTACACACATTTGAATGAATCCTCGCCATTGCTGACACTGAGGAGTCCAACAAAGATAAAATATTATGCAACACAAAAGAACCTAGTGAACTCATTTACCTTCAAGATTTGCGTTACGTCGAGTCAGATGCAGTTTAACTCATTTTTGTGTATTGTTGGACATGGGTACTAAATATACGTAAATCGCATTCACATTCGTACTAACTCTCATCTCATCACTAAATAACTAATAGTAGTATCATATTGTACATACATACAATGCATACTTATGTGTACACCTGCCCAACATTCTCCAAGAATAAATTCATACTTATCTATGGTACATTGTAAGTCAGATCAAGTATACAGAATTCTGCGAATACGTTTATATGCATGTACATACATTCTCCAAATTAAAGATACGACGAGTATTTCTCGAAAGTCACAAGTGCTTGTTAAATAAGATCCCAATAATTAAAAAATGCTGTTTTGCGTAGCTGGTTGGTAATCCTTTGGGCCCAAAACAACTTTAATGGCTGACTACGAGTCAAATTCAACTGCTAGTAGTACATATTGTAAGGAAGGATTTGTGGGGAATCTTGCCTGTTTATTGTTTACTATTCATGCATGATAAAACCGGTCCAGAGGTATTCATTCTTATTGTAATGATGTCATACACGTAAAATTGAATGAAAATATTTTTTGGAAGTTTGCGAGTCACATGCACGATTTATATAATCATTTATGAAACTAGTCCCATAGATCCAGTAAACTCTGACATTTTAATTAGCAATATTACTTCAGTATCGAATATGGGGCACATAGCTGGAACAGTTGAACTGGATAAATTCCCAAACATTGCAATGGTATTCTCCATATCCTTCCGAATTCGATATGAAAATTGCGATGAAGGCTGCAGCCGCTCCAAATTGAAACCATAAATATAATATGAGTCGTAAGCTTGCTCCCTATTTATCATGCAAAATTTGTAGTCAGAAATACTGGTGATCAAAAATAACATCATTAGAAAATAAAAAGCTTGGTCGGACAGTACGCGAAGTTTGTGCTTCTTGTTCGTTAAAGCAGGCAGTGGAAGTGGGAGGAAGGTGCGGTAGTACATTAGAAAGCCATCTTCTTCCAGCGATAAAATTTCCTTGTCATCCTCGTGCATGAAATACTATTGGACAATATAAAATAAAATTTGTAGGAAATGATGGGAATATGAATTGATATGCGGCTTGCAATCGAGAAATTGTACCGCAAAACATATATGCATCACAACAGCAAACAGGATCCAAAATAGTATGATGACGCTTGAGAAATATGGAAACTGTGCAGCAGTCAGCATTCCAGACAAGAGAGAAAGAATCACTGAAATTCGGCTCTAGTTACTAATCACACTAGTTAGAAATATTTTGTAATAAATTCCTTGTCAATTAAAAAATAAATTACAAAGAACAAAGCTTGTAATCCTTCCTATTGCACAGTGCGCGATACGAAAAATGTATCGATAGCTTTCATCAGCATTGGGCAACCAAATTCCTGCAAATAGTTGAATTCCAAACAAGCCTAAGGTTAACCACCCAATCAAGCGGTGGACATTTTCATCGCCAGTGTAATCCCTGATTATCGATGAACCGTAGACCATTCCCAAAACGACACCGATGACCATGATCACAAAAGCGGAAATCATATACACAATGTGGACCTAGAATTGTTTGGTTTTAGTTGATGAAAATTAACCCTATATTTTAAAATGTAATCGATAATAATTACATTACCAATTGCCAGATAGGTCTGTCAAAGAAAGGTGTGAGTGTCCATGTATCCTTGAAATATCGGGAGACAACCATTCCCAGTGGGGTAAGCACCAAAGTCCCGAAAAGCATGCAATTACTGTGCCAAACTAGCCATCGTATGTTTGTTTTCTAAAAATATTGGTTAATTATGTGCATTTCAAGGGGCCAGTATTTCAAAATTAGGTTACAATATGAATTGCATACATCTTCATCAGGACTGTTTGGGCTGTTTGGCTTTACGTCCAAAGGAGGTTCTTGAAAGTCACTCATTTTATCTTAAAAAATCAACCAACTATCACCAGAAACCTCCCAACATACGTTTTTCAAAAGCATGTTATCCAAGTCTTGTTCCATTTACATGGGTAACTTCTTCTCTTGTTCCCATGAGTTCCTCAACAAAGTTCTCAAATAAACTGCTACAGAGAGTAAAGACTATAGCCAACTTTATATTTTGCTAAATTTATTTTTCACGAAGGACAATTTCAATCTTAGGAGCTCTGTACGATATATTTCCAACATCACCATCAATATCAATAGCATAGTATTTCTGCAGTTTACAATTTTCTAAATATATTTTTCAACCATCTACACAAATAAGTATCATAATCCTACATTTCTTCTAATAATGTCAACACAAAGCAATACACATTTTAAATCAGTTAAACATTTAGTTAGGCTTTAGCATTGATAATTTCAATAAACTCAGGCTTCAGAGACGCACCACCGACAAGGAAACCATCGATATCTGGTGATTGGGCAAGTTCTCGGCAGTTTCCTCCGGTGACTGAACCTCCATAAACAATTCTAGTGGAATTAGCAACGGCCTCAGAAACTTTCTCCTTCAGCCATTTCCTTAATTGGGCATGGACTTCTTGTGCCTACAACAAATATAAATTCGTGTTATCAACAAAAACTTATAATATCACGTCATCATTTATCATTACCTGTTGAGGCGTTGCAGTTTTTCCTGTACCAATAGCCCAAACAGGTTCATATGCAACCACAACTTTATCCCAGTTTGTAACCTGTAAAAAGCAAATGTGTGTATAAATATATGGTGGGTATATATCAAAACGTATTTAAACAATTATTTGAATAATTTAAAAAAATCTCACTTTAGCAGCAATTGCTTCTATTTGCTTGAACACCACTTCCTCTGTTTTTCCTGCTTCTCGCTCCTCCAGCTTTTCTCCAATGCAGGCAATCACACTCATACCACATTCCAACGCGTAGCTTACTTTCTCCGCAATGAGCTGCAAAGGAGCATATTTTTAAATACTTGTATGGCTCATAATGAATTTATTATCAAGCCCATGTATTGTGTACCTGGTCATCTTCCCCAAACACATTTCTTCGCTCAGAGTGACCCAAAATTACCCAATCTGCTCCACAATCAAGAAGCATCTGTGGGGACAAGTCTCCTGTAGATCAACAGCCATTTCATAATGATGGCAGTTTCAATTTTTCAATATTAGGAGAATTTACACTTTTGCCAAAAATCCTAACACGAATTCATTATATTATCTACATTGAATTCATTGCATAGAACACTGTATACATTGTGTGGCCGCCCTAATATGTACATATTCTACCTTATTCTTATATTTATTCTAAATATAAATATATTTTATTGACGGTTGCTACAATTTCTATCACATTCTCGTAAAAATTAGTCGTCCTTACCCGTGAAAGCACCTTTCGCTACTTTGTAAGAATTTTGTCCGGCCGTGTGGATCTTTTGGGATGCAAGCCCCTTGGTGTACTCCAAGTAACAGGCAGGTGGTGACACGACGATGTCTACATAAGTCGGATAATTACTAAAAATGCCAAAATTCGAACTATTATGTACCGTCATTAGTGCACCTACCCGTATTGTCATTGAGGGAAGCAGCATTGAGAGTGTCCACAATCTTCTTAATTTCATCCTTGCTCCCGTTCATCTTCCAGTTTCCTCCCACAAAAAATTTCCGACCCATTTTCCACCAAGTAATTTGCACTTGTATTCTGCAGGAAATAGTTCAATTTATATGACGGAATTGTATTTTTGTTATAAAACATGGAATAGTGAAAATAAGTGAAAAAGAGTAAAAGTAACGCAAAGATTTCGCAGGTAATCAATTTGAATTTCAAAATAAATTAAGCCTTTGTCTTCGTACAGTTGTATGTAAGTAGTAACATTATCCTCTAATATCAGTCGTAGTATATTTACCGGTATAAATTAATAAATAATTGTTTAAAATAAAAAAAAACTTACCGAGTCTTAACAGCAGCAGATTTTCAGCCGAATGTTCTCTATATAGTTTTCTGTATCTGTATGGATTTATTGTCACCCGGATTGAGCTCCCCTCTCCACTTTAACACTCTTCTATAACCCTCTTACTACTGTGGATGAAGTTCTAACCCTGCAGACTTATTACACCGCTTTGTAGCATTAATTTCACGACGTCACCGGTCAAAAAAATTTTTTCCTCCAAACTGGTCCAAAATAAAAGTCTAGCATGGGAATAGTATAGAAAAATTATTTTTAGCGTTCTATGACCCCTGGGTCATGAATTAAGGGCCCCTGAAGGGTCAAATAGCGTTCCCTGATAACCCCATGCAAATGGGGTATCAAATTAATCCCCTGGACCAGGGGAACCAGAAAAATATTTTTATAAATTTTTATGACCCTTGAGTCGTGAACTAGGAGCCCTTGAAGGGTTAAATATCACTCCCTCACAACTAAAGGCAAGTGGGGTATCAAATTAATCCCCTGGACAAGGGGAACCCAAAAAATATTTTTCTGGATTTTTTTGACCCTCAGGTCAAGAGTTAAGGGCCCCCGAAGGGTCAAAATAGTAACCATGGTAACCCCATGCAAGTGGGGTATCAAATTAATCCCCTGGCAAAGGGCAAGCATAAAAATATTTTCCTGAATTTTTTTGACCTATCGGGCAACAGTTAAGGGTCCCTGAAGGGTCAACATAGTAACCATGGTAACTAAGGTGAATGGGGTATCAAATTAATCCCCTGGACCAGGGGAATCAGAAAAATATTTTTTGGTTTTTGTGACGTATAGGTCAAGAGTTAAGGGCCCCTGAAGGGTCAAATAATAACTTATTGTATTTTACTAAACGGGACATTATTTTAAAGTTTTCAGTTTTGCAAGAATGTTAAGTAGAGAGGGGTAGGCATATTTTTGAAAATTTCGTACAAATTTAATGAATAATAATTCTTAACACTATGTACAAATCGGATTCACTATTTATAATATTTATTATGTATTGAATCCATTGAAGTTAAAATCTAGGTTGATTCTGGTGGGAAGGTTAATCTCCTAGAAGTTGCACATTCTTCTTCAGGCAAGTCTTCTTCTTCCCCAGCCTGTGAGTATTCAATATCATTGTGTATTTGCATTCGGAATCTATCAACTACTTCGTCAACATCGTCAGGGTCCTCATCTTCGTCGTCAGACACATCATCTGCTGCTGTAATCTGTATATTATGTATAAGTTATGTATTTTTTTACTAATAGTTTACTGTCACCAAGAACTCACTCGAATGGGGTTGGCTGAAGCTACACGTGTTTGGAAGTCATCAAGGAAGTCATCAAAATGTCCATCATTTTTCCAATACTCGTCCTCCAATCTATTTACAATAATAATGTAGAAATTGCGAATTATTCCCATAATAGCGAATCTTGGTTTTACGAACCGGTGCACATGTTTGATGTGTTTCTGCCATTGTTCCTTTGTGTATGTTGTCATAATTCTCTCAGCCTCAGCTTGTGCAAACTCAGCGGTCCCCTGTGTGTTTGCAGCCCTAACTGCGTGCTTGATGTCTTTCCACACGTACTCAATTGGGTTCAAGTCGCTAAAAATAGTTATTACATGAATATTCTTATTACCGTTACCTATGATTACCAGTTCTTACCAGTTATATGTGGGTAATCTGGAAAATACGTAAATACAGTGTTTAAATAAATATTACAAATTATTAGTAAATTACCCATGAATAGAAAATAACTTTACCGGACAACAGTGTTTCCATATTTCAATGCCTCCTTATCCACAATGTAATATTCATTTCCGTTTTTAAGGTCTTGAACCATTTTCCATAATTCAGGTCGTCTCATTTGCTTTACAGGTTTTAGTTTCAGCTTTTCAGGGCCCTCTAAATTATCATTCAGCCAGTCGTATAGCTCTTGTTTTCGGGATGTAGATTTTGGGGCTTCCTTGGTGCTGTGATACGGAGCTGACAAATTTAAATAAATGAAATTCAAATTAAAATGGAATTTACAAATACAAATTATTGGATGATATTACCGTTATCAATAACAATTATGCATGGACCATAATTATCTTTTATCTTTTGATTAAGATCCTTCCACCAAGCCATGTAAGCGACACCGTTAACGTTTGCGTGGTAATCCATCTGGACTTTCTTCTTTGATACTGGATATACCTTCATAGCGCCAGGTACGAATCCATCCTCTCCACCTGTGAAGATAATTATTATTTTGAAATAATTTCCTATTTAATGTGGATAGTTGAACTGCACCTGCATGCATCACAATGATACGTGGTCCTCTAGAAATTTTCGGGTTTTGGAAGGAGTATAAAGCCGCTTCATGAAATGACTTTGGTGAATTAATAACCCAGCCTTTTCCAGTTCTAGCATAACTATCGACCCACGTTTCATCTGAATAAATATAATGCATTAATAATTATATTAAATTAAATTAAAACATTTTTGATATTTAATCAGCCAAACCTGTGTAGACAACACATTTTGGGTTCTCGGACTGACGATTTTTAATCATTACGGACAGATATTCATATCGCTTCTGCACGATGTCTGATCTCATGAGGATAACTGCTCGCTTATCAACAGTTTTGAATCTAAATCCTAATTGCTTAATGAGTTTTCTTAACGTCCACTTGGAACATTTGAACGCTGTAAGAGTTTCTCCTCGGGCTATCCGACCATCTTCTTCTTCCTTGACTTCCTCCATCAGTTTTGTGTATACGTTATGCATTGTTGGTGCTTGATTATTAGCATAGAATTGATGAATGATTCGTTTAACGTGCTCAGTTCGGAAGTCGTCAAACTGATCCATCACTGGCGTTGGTCTAATACGTTTCTTACCAGGTGTTTTTATACTATTCGTTTTGTAATTCTCCATTGTGTGATAAACTGTTCTCTCTCCAATTCCTAGAATCTGGCTAGTTTTGGTGACAGAGTTTCCTGTTAGTATTTCACACTGTACCTGGTTACTGTCAAAGAATACTTTGGCGTTGACAATTAACTTTTGAGCTGTCGCCTGTAGTGAAACACCAAGTAGTTGGAATGGGAGTTTAGTATTTGGTTGTTTACAGTCGTTTTTCGCTTTCGGTGTTGCTTTCTCAATTTCAAAGGCTAATTGTTGCATAGGAAAACTCGTAGGACTGCACCTCGAAAGACTAAGGTAAGGTTTGGTTCCATCATTCCGTCTAGGAACATCAGATAAAGGAATTCGCATTTCACCTTCCCCCAATACCTGTTCTTTAGCTCTGAGAAGGGAATAGAAATATCCACACTCAGAATCCGGACAAGGAGGACCAACAATTAGGACATCTTGAATGAACTCGTTTATAAGGTTCATCTTTTCGTCGTTTATGGGGGTTGGGAGATAGCCTACCGTGTCACTGCCGGGTGGAACATTTTGGATTAGTGAAAAAGATTGAACTGCTTGATGAAATTGCCCTTGATTGTGTCCGAAGTGAAGTAAAATTATGCAGTACGTCAATGACTCGGCAGGTAAGATTCCTTCGAGATGGTCACTAGTAATCTGGCTGTCAGAAAACAATATATCTGGTGCAACTTGTTTCGATCCGAGGACAAAGTAGAAATTTTTTATTTTGCGTTGCGTAGTTTGTTTCTCTTGTATGATCTTGTTCTGGAAAGATGCGTACATTACTTGGTGGATAGTCATCCCGCCCACAAGGATTATTTCAACGAATCCGTTAAGTGAATTAGTTTTTGGAGGACGAGCGCCTTGGGCAAATACGAACATGTTCAATAAACGAAATCTGGTTATCATCATTCTTGGTTGCAAATTCGTTCAAAATCATCCTACATCCCCCTTTGTAAGGGGCCGTTGGGTAAATGTCTGTTCCCACACATGTATCTTCACCTTCTGTACTCTTGGATGCATACTCTGTATTTGAAGTGTCCATTGGTGATTCACCGCCAGGAGCTGACCCTTCCCCTAACTCTTCACGTTGTCCACAGTGCCCACGTTCATCATCTCCATCACCATCCTCCTGTATTGATCAGAACAAAAACGTACATGAGCTTGTTACTACAATAACAATTTCACGATGTCCCCCACAACATCCGCGGTCGCTGCTATTTATAAATATGTTGCAATATTTCTCACAAGTGCGTCTGCATTGGTGTCCATTTCATCCACATTTGAGCATGGCATGACGAGGGAATTCATGTCAGACTGTTTTTGCTAAAAGTGATAAACTTGTATGAAATGCGTCTGTGCTCTCAGACAATAAATCGATGAATCTGAGCTAGCATTAATAGTGCAAAAATATAATCTTACATCGATATGCGGTGGATTTACATTAGTTTCTGGATCCACCGTGTAGCAGCTCCCTAGCCAAATATTTTGCAGAATACTTATCCACTTTGACTCCTGAGCTTGGCCTTCCCAGATGGCACGAGCAGTTGTTAGTGTTCCTGCTGAAGTTTTATCGTACACCGTTTCATGTGCAAAATGCAAAGTTAAACTGGGATAAAATCCTGCTGGGTAGAAATATAAGAAGGATGTATAGGACCCTCCAATTTGACTTTCGAAATATTTTTTGGCACTCATTGCGGCCGCAAAAAGTGGGAACAGATCTTTTCGATGTAATTGCACAGTAGTTAGAAGTGCCTCGTCTGCCTCTGATGGTAGAACCCCTAGCAAATAATCGACGTCATGTTTGCGGCATGCTGCATCTGTGAATAATATCAACACAAAAATTATAAAATTAATTTTCACAAATTTGACTTGGTTAGTGTATGAGCATAAATTGGGCAACAATTACCAACAGCATTTATTGGGCCACCGAGATCATCCTGCTTCTCAATATCGGTGGCAGGCCCGCAATATCTTAATTAATACCAATAATAAAATTATGTTAATAAAGAATCATTTCATAAAGATTCCAATCGCAACTTCAAAAATAAAAAAACTCATCCAAAATAACCAATTACCTATATCCAGGGAGATTGAAAGGTAATCCGCTTGGCGCCTTTTTAACTTTAGCTTTCTCCAAGGAAAGTATAATACCACGTGGGCGTCGGAGAGATCCAGGATGGAAAAATGCATCTTGACGAAGATGAAAGCAAGATGGCAATTTACCTTCGTTGGTAGGAATAAACGTGTGCTTTCTGGCAAAGAAGGCTGAATGCAGGAGACTTGTGTAGTTGAACCTGATGCATGATATTTGGTTGCACAGAATTAGAACTGTGCATGCAGAAGGAAGAGGAGTAGTGCCTTGAATAGCTTTAGTTACTGCTTGCTTGGTGGTACAGTTCTTCGTTTCAGCCGCTATATTACAATAAGTGTCACTAATTTTTTCCTGAGTTAAGTCGGATAGTTTATTGGATGGAAATGTGTGGTTGGCGTTTGAAATTGTGATGTTATTTAGTAGATAACGGCTGGCATCCACGAAACTTTTAAAATAAAAAGTTACATAGCTTTCACTTCCCCATACCCGTATCTTTTTATTTTCATACTCTACTTCTTCAATTTTGATAGTGTCACTGAAGAACATAACAGTTTCATTAATTTCCATACACATCGTTTGATTACATATCAGAAATCCACTGCAATTGGATGGTAATGTCTCCTTGAACCAGATAACCAATCCACCCAGGTTATCCGTCTCATCACACACAACTTTAACCTGTTTATCTATTTCTATTTTATCGACATTCGCGCAACTTTTACCACAAACACAATGAACTATATATAACACATACAGTGTTCCATAAATTAAGTTATGCAACGTCATCTTCAATTTTAAAAATTAATAATTGAGCGGATACCAGTAAGTACAAACTCCAAAACTTAAATTTCACAATGTCGACTGGAGAAGCCAGCAAGGATAAGGGGTCTCCCATCACCTCATATATTTATAATGCATCAGTTTTTAGGGGATATTCATCACCCCAACCATTAACCCAATCCTTCCCCAAACAAGATGGTGCATAAAGATATGTATATGAGAAAGGGACCAGTTTATACAAACATAAGTATGCTGCCTGAGACAGGCTATGAAGCCTGGTTACCATGGTTACTATGTTGACCCTTCAGGGACCCTTAACTCTTGACCTATAGGTCAAAAAAATTCAGGAAAATATTTTTATGCTTGCCCTTTGCCAGGGGATTAATTTGATACCCCACTTGCATGGGGTTACCATGGTTACTATTTTGACCCTTCGGGGGCCCTTAACTCTTGACCTGAGGGTCAAAAAAATCCAGAAAAATATTTTTTGGGTTCCCCTTGTCCAGGGGATTAATTTGATACCCCACTTGCCTTTAGTTGTGAGGGAGTGATATTTAACCCTTCAAGGGCTCCTAGTTCACGACTCAAGGGTCATAAAAATTTATAAAAATATTTTTCTGGTTCCCCTGGTCCAGGGGATTAATTTGATACCCCATTTGCATGGGGTTATCAGGGAACGCTATTTGACCCTTCAGGGGCCCTTAATTCATGACCCAGGGGTCATAGAACGCTAAAAATAATTTTTCTATACTATTCCCATGCTAGACTTTTATTTTGGACCAGTTTGGAGGAAAAAATTTTTTTGACCGGTGACGTCGTGAAATTAATGCTACAAAGCGGTGTAATAAGTCTGCAGGGTTAGAACTTCATCCACAGTACTCATGATTAATATTTTACTCGACCTTGAAATTGGTCGATTCTATTATCCATTCATTTCAGTTGGCTTTAACCCTGGTCCAATCAACATTTGTTTTAATAGTATTTGTAGTCAGACGAGGAGCCACGTCGCCCTAATGTGAGAACTGCATAAACCAAGGAGGTACACAATTATGTGCTTTGCTTACTTAATGAACACTCTGCATATTCGCTTTAATGAAAATACATGCAAGTAGTAGAAGTGTCTAGGTTTTTTCGCCAAAGATTTCTCGCCCGCTTTATTTCTTATGGGGAAATCCTTGGCTAGGTTTTCTCGCCAAGGATTTCTCGCCCGCTTTATTTCTTATGGGAGAAGCCAAAGATTTCTCACCCACTTTATTTCTTATGGGAGAAGCCAAAGATTTCTCGCCCGCTTTATTTCTTATGGGAGAAGCCACGGATTTCTCACCCACTTTATTTCTTATGGGAGAAGCCACGGATTTCTCGCCCACTCTATTTCTTATGGGAAAAAAGACGGGTCCTCATCACACACTTCTTATGAGGAAAAAGAGGGCTCCTCGCCACATACTTTTCCTTACGGGAAAAAATACGGGTTCTCGCCACCATACATTGCCTTATGAGGGAAAAAGACGGTTAGGGCTTCTCGCCACAAGGCCTTTATAGCATGGGTATGTATTGCAAGGATATGCTGACTGCTTATAGTAACCAAAGTCTCAGATGTATTTTCATGTGTCGAAAAATAATGGCGGGACTTCTCAAATTGCCCCAAATATCTCAGTTTACCCCCGTGCCATAGATTATCCTGGTGTCTCTGATTACCCCAAATTACTAAAATTACCCAAAATCTCAAATTACCCCAACAATGTATTTCTTATGGAAACAAATCTTTCAGATGGGGGTACATGGGTTGAGAAGAAATGATGGCGGGACAACTCAAATTACCCCAAGTATCTCAAAATGCCCCAATTGTCTCAAGTTACCCCTCTATGCCATAAATTACCCCTGGTGTCTCAAATCACCCCAAATGACTAAAATTATCCCAAATCTCAAATTACCCGAACAACGTATTTCATATGGGAAAAAATCTGTCAGATGTGTGTACATGGGTTGACAAGAAATGATGGCGGGACATTTGAGACTTTAGGTCTCAATTTATATTCTCCCAAATTATCCAAGTGTGTCAATTTACCCCCAAATGTCTCATGTTATCCCATTTGTCTCAATTTATTCAAGTATCCCAATTTATCCAAATACCTCAATTTACCCCAATTAAATATTTCAAAGCACCCCAAATATTCCAAAATACCCCGAGCCTTTTCTACGGCTCCGCCCAATGCCTCTTCCTTACAATACATTTCTTATGGGAGAACTTATTCCCATAGCGTTTAAGGATAGACACCTTTGTTATGAGACCAAGGTATATGTATGGTGTAGTAAGTCATCATGTAAGGGTATGCCAGTATTTGTTATGTCCCGTCCTATGCTTTAAGTTTTATTATGTATAGAAAAGGTTGAAAAAGTGGAGTTCAACCTTTTTGTTGGTGGTAGTGTTGATACTAATAAGCAAGTTACGAGAAAAAGATTGAAAAAAGGTAGAGTGAAACGTTTCTGAAGTTAGTGATACTAATGATGACGCAATTTTTCATAAACGTTTGAAATAGTACTTATGAAGGTTTATCTACAAAAATATAGCGTTATTTGTGAAAATATGATATTCACGCATGAAAAAAACTTATTGTTTTAAAAACATGAAAAATTATATGTGAAAATTGTTTGCAGTAATGAGATGAAATAACAGATCAGAAGTATTTATAATTAGCATTTATTGTCAAAGATTTGTTAACTAATTCTTAAAATTGTGTTTATTTATTATGCGCCGTAAATTTGACTGAGTTCTTGTCTAATGTAAACCTTTCCCATTTATTTATTATCATAAGTAAAGTTGAGATATGTAGGTGAGGCAGTGCCTAAGTACACAGCACACAAACTTTTAGAAAAATTATCTCCCTTCAACTTTATTGCGTTAAAAACAAAACACTAAAACCACTTGATTTTTAAGCCGCATTAAAAGACAATGTTGTTGGTTTGCACAAGAATTAGAAGGTTTTTGATCTTTTATTTTGAGTAATTTGGAAAGTATACAGTTGTTCATTTAGCATTGAGTAGGTTTCAACGTTTTCTTACTGGTAATCAAGCGTATGGATTATCATTTGGGAGACCTTCAGACGATCTTACGATATCAGTAAGTAATTTACGAGTCACAACCATTTCTCCATTCTTTGCCGCCTGCATAATAGACGCTATTACATTTTTCACATGTTCCCCAAACGTTAACATTTTCTCCTCTTGGGTTTGGGGGAGTTCTAGAAACTGCATCAATTTTGTTAACACATTCATCGAATCTTCATTGCTTAGCATCAATTCTACTCCATGAATATGATACTCAGAAAGTGGTTCACCCCAAAAATCTACACGGTCAGGCTTATGCAATGTCCGACACACCTTACAGCATTCACCAGAAGTTCCACTTGCCTGACTTTCTGTATCATCTTCTTCCTCTTCTTCGTCCGAAGACGCGTCTGAACTTGAATCTCGACTGTCCCCTTCTCTACTACAATTTGACAGCTTGTTCCTTCTTCCACCTCGAGATCGTCTTTCTTTTTTTGCTTGGGGTTCATCATCGGAGCTAGTTTCGTTGGACTCTGATGTGCCCGCTGAGTCATTATAAATACTTCTGATCTGTTATTTCATCTCATTACTGCAAACAATTTTCACATATAATTTTTCATGTTTTTAAAACAATAAGTTTTTTTCATGCGTGAATATCATATTTTCACAAATAACGCTATATTTTTGTAGATAAACCTTCATAAGTACTATTTCAAACGTTTATGAAAAATTGCGTCATCATTAGTATCACTAACTTCAGAAACGTTTCACTCTACCTTTTTTCAATCTTTTTCTCGTAACTTGCTTATTAGTATCAACACTACCACCAACAAAAAGGTTGAACTCCACTTTTTCAACCTTTTCTATACATAATAAAACTTAAAGCATAGGACGGGACATAACAAATACTGGCATACCCTTACATGATGACTTACTACACCATACATATACCTTGGTCTCATAACAAAGGTGTCTATCCTTAAACGCTATGGGAATAAGTTCTCCCATAAGAAATGTATTGTAAGGAAGAGGCATTGGGCGGAGCCGTAGAAAAGGCTCGGGGTATTTTGGAATATTTGGGGTGCTTTGAAATATTTAATTGGGGTAAATTGAGGTATTTGGATAAATTGGGATACTTGAATAAATTGAGACAAATGGGATAACATGAGACATTTGGGGGTAAATTGACACACTTGGATAATTTGGGAGAATATAAATTGAGACCTAAAGTCTCAAATGTCCCGCCATCATTTCTTGTCAACCCATGTACACACATCTGACAGATTTTTTCCCATATGAAATACGTTGTTCGGGTAATTTGAGATTTGGGATAATTTTAGTCATTTGGGGTGATTTGAGACACCAGGGGTAATTTATGGCATAGAGGGGTAACTTGAGACAATTGGGGCATTTTGAGATACTTGGGGTAATTTGAGTTGTCCCGCCATCATTTCTTCTCAACCCATGTACCCCCATCTGAAAGATTTGTTTCCATAAGAAATACATTGTTGGGGTAATTTGAGATTTTGGGTAATTTTAGTAATTTGGGGTAATCAGAGACACCAGGATAATCTATGGCACGGGGGTAAACTGAGATATTTGGGGCAATTTGAGAAGTCCCGCCATTATTTTTCGACACATGAAAATACATCTGAGACTTTGGTTACTATAAGCAGTCAGCATATCCTTGCAATACATACCCATGCTATAAAGGCCTTGTGGCGAGAAGCCCTAACCGTCTTTTTCCCTCATAAGGCAATGTATGGTGGCGAGAACCCGTATTTTTTCCCGTAAGGAAAAGTATGTGGCGAGGAGCCCTCTTTTTCCTCATAAGAAGTGTGTGATGAGGACCCGTCTTTTTTCCCATAAGAAATAGAGTGGGCGAGAAATCCGTGGCTTCTCCCATAAGAAATAAAGTGGGTGAGAAATCCGTGGCTTCTCCCATAAGAAATAAAGCGGGCGAGAAATCTTTGGCTTCTCCCATAAGAAATAAAGTGGGTGAGAAATCTTTGGCTTCTCCCATAAGAAATAAAGCGGGCGAGAAATCCTTGGCGAGAAAACCTAGCCAAGGATTTCCCCATAAGAAATAAAGCGGGCGAGAAATCTTTGGCGAAAAAACCTAGACACTTCTACTACTATGCACATGTCCATTTTCCTGATTTCTTCCAGCAGAAATGACAGCCACAGCAGAAGATGGGAATATTCTCCTAATAGAACCGTTTTATTCCGGTTCACATAAAGTTTTGATGGATCTCATACATGACGCCTTAAAATCTAGCAGTGGGACTCCAAGTCCAGTACTGGTGACCCTTCCAGGAAAAAAGTGGCATTGGCGAGCTAGAACCAGCGCTTTACACTTTAGCCAAACAATTCCAGTTAATCGTTACACGTGAGATGTGTACAATGATGTATTTCATATTTGCATGAAAATGACTTTAGCATGTGAAATGACTTATTTTTGATTTTGTATAATTGTATCAGATGCGTTTTCGCGAGTTGCGTCTTACCATTGCATGAACTGGTGGGGCTGAGATTAGATATTCAGTCGGCAAAGAAAATAATTTACTTTCATGAAAACCAGTTGGTGTACCCCGTAAGGAAATCAAAAGATCGGGATTTTCAATATGGATATAATCAAATCTTATCTTGGTAAATAGATCATTGTTAAAAAGTCGGAAGGTGTGTATACAAGTGATTAAATGTGTAACTTTATAAATGACAGCTTGGCCGCAGATCAAGTTTGGTTCAATTCGGATTTCAACAAGGAATCATTTCTTAGCAATTTGCATTCTTTCTTTAAACTTCAGCCAGATTTTCGACCAAAAAACCTCCGGCAGCAAATTGAACCAAAATGTCACGTAAAATATTTTCCGTTAGAATTCAAGAAAATGGATGAAGCCATTCGTAACTTACCAATTCCCGCAAATGAGAGTGGTCTTGTACAAATTGTATGGCCTCATAGATGGTAAATAAGTGGTATAGATAGTTCATTTTGGCACAATAATTATGCATACGTATTTATTAACTTAGGGAGTTCGACAAAAACCCAGAGATGTTTTTTCGTGTTATATACCGCTTGGTGGAATCTGGAACAACAAATTTCAAGATTCATGTTCTCGGAGAAAGCTTCACTGAAAATCCACAGATTTTCAGTGAAGCACAATCAAAACTCAATAAGGAGTTCATTGGACATTTTGGATATCTAGCCACAAAGGAAGAGTATTACCAAGTTCTCGCAGAAAGCAATATTGCTATTTCAACCTCTACACATGAATTTTTTGGAGTTGCAATGTATGCATGTTTATTAACTTGTAATTTAACTATTCCGAGATGCTTTACGTAATTTGAGTATAAATAACGTCTTATATTTCGCAAACAGGATGGAAGCAACGTACCTGGGATGCACACCAATCTGCCCAAATGGTTTGGTGTATCCAGAATTGTACAGCAAGGCTGGATATCTGTACAAGGATGAAAACGATTTATACCATCTACTAAAAACGTTCATCATGCAACCTTCAAAATTGTGTGAAGGGCGTGTACGTCTCGATTTTAGTATTTTCGATTGGGAAACCTTAAGGCCAAAATACTTGCAGGATTTACTATCACAAGAAAACTGTGATACAATTTGTCCAAATAGTGAATTGAATTGAATAAACATGTTGTACATCATGACCTTATTATGCGATCCCTAAGCTAGGTTTATCTTCAAAAGTTTAAAGCCCCTAATAATGAACCCAGATATCATCCCCGTTGACGAGTGCAAAAAGAAGTTTTTATATCGGTTTTGAAGGTCTAAATTTGCTTGGCGAAACTGGGTTAGTTATTTTTTGCTGAATGCTCAAATTCATTTGCACCCATATTACGCTGGTTGAGGGCAACACGTTTATGTAGGATTATCAGGGCATTTGTTTTAAAAAATCACAAGTCCCGACCTGTCTCCCAATTTTTAATTTTTAATGCTAAAAACTTTATCGCAGAATGTTGATTTAGGTGATTTGGTATGTTTTTCTATTTCTGGTTACATCTGACGACCTCTTCGACTCGGCCGTGACCGTGAATTTTTAAGCTATGGAATCTGAGATACATACGAGTTTATCTTTCACTCCAACAAAAAAAGTGGGGCAAAATGACCTCCTTTCAAGGCGAGACCGATTAATTTTCTTCCTCCCCTCGTAACATTGTATTGAATCATGACATACACTGTAACATCCAAAGTTATTGATTATAAAACGGCATATGAATAAAATACGACATTACTTGTTGAAGTGTATCAGGGTTTTATTATAGAAACATGTTGACACACAAAATTCGCTAGTAATGTTGCGTTGCAATGTAATGACGATTTTCTTACAAAAATTTTATGCAGATGTTTTCCATTGGTAGAAATACATGCAGAGTTGATATAGCCCGAGCCAGTCATTTTTATCATCTTTTTCTAAAGTTCGAATACTAGTGTTGGTTACCTGACCAAATTTTACAAAAGAGATCATTATTGGTTTTCTCATGCAAGCAAGCAAAATTCCGGCTTTCCCCAACTAATTGTAAGTAATCTCAAAAAGTAAGACAGACAAACATGACGGTAAGCCTTGCTTTAGCTCGAGCTAATAAAAAAATGTCGGAAAACCCTATCCGGATAAATAAATATGGGATAGGAAAATTATAATAAAAAGTATGATGGATAAAAAATATCGATATGACAACGGATTACAATTCAGACAAAGTCTGGGTCATTCCCAAAATATTTTTCGTTCACTCAATTTTTTCTCCGAATCTCAAATTGGTTTCTGGAAATTTTAGCTTTCTCAATACTTTCGAACCCAATTCACTCTGTAAAATTCCTATTTTTATCTTCAAACCAGTCGAAAAATGAATCCAAACGGGCATCAAAGTACCAGTTCGTGCTCTGGAAATTACGGGTATGAACCCTACATGCTTGGAAGTTCTTCGTTCGGCGTAGGAGTCAGCCAAACAGTCTCGGCCAGTGGTTTTAGACGAAATGGTGGCAGAAATTCTGTTCGGGACTGTATGCAGTGGGACAACATTTCGTCCGAAATGTCTGGAAACTCGGCTCGATTATCAGGAAATGGTGAAAACGCAATAAAATTATACATTAAATTATGGCAGTGCAAAACTATGTCCACTAAATAAATATGTAATATTGCTTCCGTTCGCTGTCAGGTGGGTTCTGGAATACTGGAAATTCTTCTGGAATGGGAAACTCGACAACTACTTCTATGGGATTCAATTACACTCAACCAAAGGCATTTTTGAGGGTCCCCGGTGGAGGTAATATAAATATCATTTTTTAATATCACACATGAGAATTATGCATGAAAATACATTGTTTGTTATGGCGAAGGTGAGGGTCAGAGTTCATCCGGTGTGTCTATTCCTTGTCAAATCGCACCCCTCGGAACGAATCCTGCATCCATGCTCAAGCCGATGGAACCCGTTACTCTTCGCGTAACTGCTCCCACCCCGACGACCAACTCCAACGGAGGTACAGGACCCTACGTTTTTACGATGGACCCAGCCCAACTCTACGGAAATAACAATCTTCGACGATAGTCAACAAGCAAGATCATCATCACGTTATGTAATGCTTATGAGATTGATCCAATCTGAATCCTGTGACTCTATGTATTATCTTCAGGATCTGATAACTTGTAAATTCTTGTCACGTTGAAATAAATAATCCAACGAATAATTGTGTTGATTCGTTCGTTGATTTATTGTTTAGCTTATTTATTGTAAATATGTACGTAATATAGACTATATTGTATTGTATAAAAAAAGTTCATATAAGCACTACTGACTGAGTCAAAATTAAAACCAGTTATTTTCTATAAGTCAACAAGTTTGTTTCATTGACATTTGTATAAATATTTGAAAAAAGTAGTACAAATAAAAATATACACGTTACATTACAAACATTTTAAAATACATGAATACTTTGGTCCCTTTGGGGCAAGGCAATGATGAGTCATATGGATTAACGACCATTTTTGTCTAGATTTGAGTAAATGGTGTACATAGCTGTTTTACGGTTTATTATATACTGTTGCAAATATCACTACTTTGTCTGTAAGATTTCAATCCTCCGCAGGTATTTTGTCATTGTAAGACGACGTCGAGGAGGAGGCTGAGGATGAAGTAAAACTTCCCGAACTGCTCGTAGAGCCTGACGTACCCGAATTTTCACTCCTTTAAAAAATCATAAGAGTTAATATAGTTTTTGTACATATGTATCATACATTATTATCGCGCAACAAGCTGTCATCTTACATATTTGTGGAAGTATTTACACAAGTATGGGGATTACTGTGAACGGAGGAGTGTACTTCTACTTTGAATTTTGCATTCAAAGACACTTTTGTTGCAGAAGATTCCCTGTCGAATGTTTCGACAACTACTTGGGGTTGAACAATGACTTCCGTGCTCCTGAAATAGTACATACAATATTACATTATATATTTTTAATATCAAAAAGCAATGTAAAACAGGCACATTTATTGAAAGAAATTAAGTAAAAATTACCTTCTTGTAGCACATGAAGTTGGTTCTTCTGTAAACAAAATATTCAAAGTATATTGAATTTTTGTACTCATAAAACTGATTAGTATTCATACGATCGTGATACCCACCTGTAATTGTTGAAAGACTATGTTCACTGGGAGTGCGACTGGTGGGAGCACGACCAGAATGATAAGAACCCTTATTGAAATTTGAACCACGTAGGTTGTAGGGAGGAGGGGGATAATTGTTTCGAGAAGAACGACCACCAGAACGGCTGCTGCTTCTTCCACTGGAAGACTTTGAACTTTTCCTCTTGACGACGGGAGAAGGCGTCAGGGGTGCGAGGAGGGTGGGATCGATTTTCGAAAACCCCACAAGCCAACATTGCGGTTGAATTGTTGTCATTAAAACAGGAAGAAGGAGAAGGAAATTAACTAGGGAAAACAGCGACGAGATCGCAATAAGAAGGGTAAAATGTGTAAAAATAAATGTAAAATCCGGAGAATATAGTATTAAAGCTGTGAGTGTAATTAACACTAGACTTTGAACACATGGTGGTCCAACTAAATTAAAAGAGACAGCGTAGCGGTCTAACACTGTACCAGGAATGCAGCAAAACGCCTGAAAATGTAAGTAAACATAAATTAGCATAATTTATTAGCTTAATTTAACATTCAGTGCGGATTAATTGGTAAATTTATTAAGGCTTACCACAACTATTTGAATAGATATAAAGACTATGAAACTGACGCCTAATAGCGAAATTTCCACCGGGAGTGCGTTAAGACCAACACCTAGCCATCCCACAGTGCCTGCGATCCTGCAGTTCGGAACAAAATTAATTTGTGTGCCTTTTTGTATATTTATATGCATTGTGAATAAACAAACAATACTTACTGAGACATTGTGACTAAAGAAATCGTTACTACGACTGCCACTGGTCGCAAGGAGAATCCCAATGAGAAGAAGAGAATGACACATGTCATTCCAGCAGCAAGGCCCAATACAATTCCAGAATTCATTGGAAGATTCAAGTACTGTTCGTAAAACCGGAATGGAATTCCCCACGGGAATACTGGGAGCCCTCGAGTTTCAAACGTCTCACAGATTCTTCTAATTTCGGCAACAAAGGCTAGGATTTGCGATTCTAGATTAATGATAAAACAAACCAAATATAGACATACATCACATATTCGTGAAAGACCATTTCTATATTTATTGGCATTGTACGACATTGTGCAACATACCTTGATGTTGTTCTGGGAGGTCACCTTCTTGGGACGTTCTTAACAAATACGTAATGTCTGCATACTTAATGGGGGCAGACTTTGGAATTTTCAGATCTTTGTCTTCTGGATTATGGACCCAGCTTCTGGGTTCGGGTTTCATATTAGCAGCAGTTGAACCATATGCCAGTGGGTCGTTCCATGCCCACGCCGTTAAATATACATAAAATGCTCGGGGATTAATTTCTCCATCTCCATTTACAAGTCGAGTATTTGGTAACTGAAAAAATTAAATGTGCCCAATTTTGTAACGTCACTATATAATAGTCTATACAATTTTTTATTTTTATAGTTGAATGAATTACCTGCGTGACATCAACTGGGTGATCCATATGACCAGTTTGGACGGCTAACTTAAAGCTTAAAATTCCATCCGCACTTGCCCCCTCCTTCCATCCATCTTTGTGTAAATAACCTAGTTTCCACTCTTGGTCAAACACCTCTTGTAATCTCAGCAACCACGATCGAAATAGTGATAGCCACATTGGTGGAAGACCACCGTTATCGTCCCGAATGACCCACGGCAAGCCGCTCATTGTTTCATGAAACTTATGCAACAACCTGCAAAACGGAATATATACAATAAGATATTCAACTGTTATTATGCATACGCCTGTGAATCGATAATTGGTTACAAGAATAATTGGTTACTTTTGCTTGCTCGGGTAGTCAAAGTTGGCCTTTGTTACAGCCTTCATGTGATAAACCGGAAACAGTTTCCCCTGTGCAGTAAGAAATTCCCACTCTGCAGAATGCGATGGAACTACATCAGTTATGGGGAGACCAAGTCGAAGTTTCGATATACCAACTCCAGCAGCAATAACAACTGATATATACATGAGGAGTACAATTCCCTGAAAATAGAGTTGCGTGTGTTTATGTTTCTTAATTGCAGATTTTATTCTCGCTGTATGTAAATGATGGCTTACCGTGAACCATTTCCAATTAATCAAGAGCAGATACAAATCCACCCAGCTTTTAACGGCACAAGTTTCACAAGAGTCTTGGTTTCCTGCTTCAAGATCAACCATTGCTGGATCTTCATTGAATTTCTCGAAATTAAGCTTTGTGTTATTAGCCGAAGTATTGTTCATGGTCACATTATTGTTTTTCATAAAATATTCTTTAGACATCTCTGAGCTTTTCTTGTCAACATGGACCAGGGGAATTCCTGGCCCCTTGATATTATTCATGGTTTTCATGCTAACTTCGTTCCTTATCGTAGGACTGGGCGCTTTCCTTCTTTTCAGAACCATCTGACACACTGCTGGATACAGAAGCAATAAAGCGAAAGAACCGATGGTCACAAATATGGCACCCTAAAACAAGTTTATGTTTTTCTTAATTTTCAACTAATGGGGACAAGAATAATTGATTTATTTAAATAGCATACTTGAAGGGCGAGAGATCGAACGGCGGGGATAGGAAATAAGGCCCCCGCAGCAATGAAAACAGCAGAGGACACGACCCCCAACATCAAGGACCTGTTAATTAATGAGTTACAGAGTTACAGTAAAAATTAAGTAAACAATGGAGCAGCGTATTATTTATTTTTTGACATATGAAGTATTTTAAATAAACTAACCATCCATGCTTCTTTAAAGTTGATTTTGCATCCGAATTTGAATTAATTTGAGAGTATAACAAAATATAGAAAACTTGAGACACCATTGCCATCGTAAGGTATGGGAGAACTTGTACTGAAAATAAATTTTCATTGAAATTAAGTATTATCTATTGTTAAGAGTCAAATAATAATAATTGAGATGGTAATTACCTGAGACAACGTTGAATGGAATTTTGAGGAAACAAGCGGCTCCACCCCCAGCAGCAGTCCCCAAAAGCGCCACCATGGATCCTCCAAACACAAGGCCCATACGGACCTTCCACGGAACTTTAGCATCAGGGTCTTCATTTCCACCACTACTTCCTAGCGCAACTCCAACTATGGCAGACGTGATCACGACAGCTGAAAACCAAATTCATGTATATATGTATTTATGTTGAATTGTCTCATTATTGTTTTGCTTGGTTCAAATTACCTACAACACGGGCAATGCCCCATGACCAAGAAAATTGAGATGCACTTTCCACAACAGAGTCCAAGCCAGCAGGAGTAAATGAATAAAAATTGAATTGTTGACTTCGATCTTCATCCATTGTCAACTGGGATACTTCCAAGGCGAAACGGGTTTGCCATGCCGTAAGTACAGCCTGTGCTTTCGGCTCTGTCCACTCGACATGGTGCAACCTCCAAGTCTTGTCAAAAAACTCAAACAACTCGGACGAAGACATCAATTGCACTGTGGACATCAGACCACCAGCCCTGCAGAAAATTAACACGTTGAGTCAAACATGTTCTTTACCGACCATTTTTTTAGTAGTTTAGTTGGAGATGCTCAGGAAATCAATGAAGAAAAAATAATGCATAGCGTATGACAGTCATTAATTCTGCATAATATAATCAAATTGAGTCACGAAAAGTCAGTTTATATCGTGAGGCATTATCAGTAATGAGAATAATATTCAATGAAATATACATCTATATATCAAACTTACTTGATAACTTGTCCAGATTTATTGTGTACGGTTCCGCCGATAATTAAGTCAGGGGCCCTTTAGAAAAATTAATAAGTTCCGACATTATATTTATTATTGTTTCTTGTTAATTTGCAAGCTATTAGTTAAAGTCTTTTTATAATAACTTGTTTATTACCAGTGCATAAATCGTGGGGCAAACCCAAAACAACCCTGAGCCATAATTGAGGCAACGTCAGGAGGTGTTCGAGATCCCTTGTTGGGTGCAGTGGCTGGACACTCTGGATCTTGGGGATTCAAGCATGGTTTTTCTTGATAACCACTTCCGATTCCTGCTCGCTTCATAAAACCATCCAGAATTTCATATGTAAATTCTGCGACACTGGCATCTCCAGCCAGTTTAGCTTTCATAAAGAGTTCTTGAGGATTTAAATTTGTCCATTTAATTGGACCCTGGAATGCAGGTATTTGTATTGGGAAATCAGGACCAAGGAGCTTGGAACCTTCCCAGAAGCAATCCAATGGAGTAATAATAACACATGGAAAAATCTTTTCAAATATTTGATCTATGAACTGGATATCAAATTCAACCTGAAATATAGAGCACGAGCACAATTATTACCCACCATTTCGGACACTTGTGGGCATGCTGCATGTACTTTGACGTTTACGGAACTCACCATGTTTGCAGAGTAACACAAGTCTTTTAAGCTCCACGTCCTATTCAAACAAAAACCAATCCAATAATTTATGTCAAATATTGATCAATGAAATATTTTTTATACAAAAAAATAACTTACACTTCATAGAGATCCGTAGTCACTGATAAGGCTTTCTGCAGTACTAGAAGATGTTCCAGCAATGCTTTTGGGTTCAACATTGACTGATGTCCATTTTCTTTCGGCGTTTGAATAAGCATTTCGTTCGTGTCTGTTGTGAGACCAGAAACTCTGGACACATAGTTCAGCTCCTGAAGCAGTCTTCCAGAATCTGTTGATAAAAGTGTAAGGAAAAATATGAAATTTCATTCTCAAAAATAATAACTTTTTAGATTAGAATGTAGCAACACTCCACTTGCAAATGAATATTTTTTTCATAGTTTTCAAGTGTTGTTACATAAAAATATATATACGCATTTCTATCTCTCTCTTCCATGCATTAATTGCTTCTTTGTGGATTATAGCTGTCGCGTACCTCATGCATCCCTGAATATGTATATAAACCTGGTGGAACCACATATGTCAATCATTCTACCCATCCAAAAACGAGACAATCTAATCATATCATCCGGATGAAAGTTACAAAATGCAATCACCGAGTAATTTCAACTCTCGTCCAGACAAAAGGACATGACAGAAATCCAGTCGCCAAGTCTTATTTCTTTTACTACAACTTCTAGTTGGGCGACTTAACTTTATCAACCAAAACCTACCAACAAACATGAAAACAGACTAATTGAGTCGTCTGTCTCAGGTACCATAACACTTTCTGGAAATGAAAGGCCGTACCTACATATGCACACATACCTAACATACGGCTTTTATACTATCTTCGATAATCAACACTTTCCTCGGTTCTTGTCCAATCAAACTCTTGACACCAATAGCCATGTGTTACCAATTTGTTGAAAGGAGTAAGTCACTCTAAAATTGATGAGTACAGAAATTTCCAAAGTGTCAAACCATTTCAAAGTGTGATAAGTAAAACCAAGCAATAAACTCTGGGTGGACCTAGTGAAACTTATTTTACGGCCCTGATATGTACCTCCAGCATACATTGACACTCTCCACGAAGAAGACAACGACGACGAGACCCACAACGTCTCAATCTCATCAACGACCACAAGGGATCAAGTCCTGAATTTTAACATACACACACGCAGAGCCACATAATGATGTAATATATGATTACAAATACCTGCGACATTAACAATAGAACAAGCCAAGTAACACGAGAAAGATCTTATAGCTGGCCACCAAATAAGAAGACGCGAAGGCAGGGCAGCAGTTATGTAGGAATTCTTTTTCTTACTACATACATACATTATTGTGCGTCTGCATTTCAGGTCCAGTCCACCTGAAAGTGAGGACCACCTAATAACAAACGTACTCGTCGTATATTTCTCTCCTTCTATTTAATTCACTCTTCATCTCTTCACTTCTGGTACATTTAATATAACGACCTTCTCTCGAAAGCCAAAGGCCAAAAAAACCTTATACAACATTGGCTGTTGACGACTGTATTAAGAAGAGAAATCATAAAAATAACAAGAATCTTGGAACATGTCGTAAAGTGTGATAAGTAAAGTCGTAATTTTAGATGGAATAATAGTTTTCTATACAAAATAATACTGAGGAATTTGAATGATATTTGGACGACTGCTTACCTGGTGTCCACAGAGAAGCCAGGGTGGTGTCCAGCAGGATTTGCTGGATGGCAAGGCACAAAATCGCCAGTGGTATGATTCCTATGAAGAGAACCAGCCCCCCTCGATTCCCGGCCCATTTCCCGAGGAAACCGAAGCGCTGCTGTGACTCCCCACGGACCCAAAGTCCAACCTTACTTCCTCTCGCCTTCCCCTGAAATAGACACAAAAATAATTGTGAAAAAGTATGAATGGAACGTCGCAAAAATGTTTAACAATATTTTTTTTCCTAATTTCTAATCAGCATAGTATACATATGTAGAAGCATATGTAGCATAAGACATTGATTCCATAGTGTAATTTTTCTTTTATAACCAAAACTCTTACATCTAGCTAGCTCATAAACCATTGTCCACCACGCTACCCTAAAACAATTAAACCCACAGAATCATAATTTCCTTCAAGTTTGTGGCCCCAAGGAGTCACAAAATAAGTGAAATTGAGACCAGAATGGAATTTTGTTGGGAATCCGCAACAAAACAACGTTGAAAAGGTCTTTTTCCATTTGTGACTCTTCTTGGTCTGATTGATGGTAATTGAGACTGGAGGCTTGCTGCTCGTGTCTTACATATAATATTTTACATATATTAACTCGCTATTGCGAGCCCCAATTCACTCCCAATTTCATTTCATTGTATTTTATGACGGAGGAGCAGGGATACTTTTCTTTGGTTGCTTTTAAGATCAAACCATTTAACCAAAGAGGCGACAATAAAACTACCACGACCAACGACCACTAGTGGACCATCGGCATGTCCAAATTATGACATGTCTTATCTTCTCCCTTGGCAGAGGACGGGTAGGCAATATTGGTCGTCAGTCAGTGGCAGTTGTCTGTGGAGGAGAGTAATCAAGGAAAAGTCAAAACAAAATCAAACCGATGCCAAAGAGCGATATGAACCTTTGAGTCAGAAACAAGGATCCACCACGGCGATCGTAAATCATGCACCATAAAAACTGTAAATATTTCTCTATCTCTAAATCCCAGGTCACTACTAAGGACTCGTAGTTTCAAAAAGTATGCCTAATATACAAGAATATATTCCTCTTAAATTTTAGACGACTTTCTGGTAGTCCAAACGTGTACTTATCATCAGCGTATCTTATTCCGTTAGATCCACTTGTTGCTCTTCAAACAATATCATTATATTAGCATGCATCTTACATTTTGAAATCTTTTACGGTATGGGAGAACTTATACTGAAACCAAATTATGAATTCCTCGTACAATATTTCAGACTGAGTTATTGTGTGTGTACAATTATTACAACTATTCTTCAAATAAATATTGTTTTTTCAAGCACCTTTGTAATGTATTTGAGAGCCTCTTGAGCATCACTCCACGCCGGATAGCGTTCCAAATTTCGGGACTTCATATTTCTTATTTCAGTCTTTGTATTTTTTTATGAGATTGACCAAAAATATTTTTAAGGCACTAATTCCTTCCCTTGTACTTTGGGTAAATTATGAATCTAGTAGGCTCATGGTCGTTACATTATCCACCACTACTTTCACACTTGTTATCATTAGTTTTTGTGTAGAAAATTCGTGCAGTTTACTGTGAAAATCTTGGCTCATCCTCCACCAAAATTCCAAATCTTGCGGCGACAGCGTTGCTTCATTGTCTGTTTCCGAAATCGAAAAAGATGTATTTATTTTCATTGTGAAGACGGCGACGATGAGAAGGAAAGTCGGATTGACAATGACGGATGTTTCCGCAATGATGCTTACATTCTCCTCCCATCGAAAACCCCAAGTTACGTATTATTGTGTCTTATCATCATTCTCCTAAGTAAATGTTGACCTTGTTATCGTTGTTCTGGACGGATGAACTAGCTATATACTTATAAGCCACACGCACAAATCAAATAGACTTGTGTTGTGAGTAAACAAATTGTTTAGCAGCACTTTTCACATACAAATAAAGTTATTGGTAGCAAATAAACATTCAGTAGCATTTAACGAAATTATTTATTCAACACATTAATTACTAAAACCATAAGCAGTAATAAAAACTGTGATGATTCCGTATTACATTTTATTTCACGATAAAGGCGAATTCTCTCACTTACTTAATTTTATTCAACTACTAAATATGTAAAAATATGTATATTAGACACTTTAAAATGTGTCAACAAATTTGTTGATAAACAAACTTCTTCGAGTCGAATCTCCCACACTTTACAACAGATTTATTTTAGAGCACACTTCTTTGCTTTACTTTGTTCACTTATCTTTAAATGTTTGTTTATTTACTTGTGCAAATGCACTTGAGAACTGAACTTTTGGCTTATCTCCATCTTTGCAGTGAAAAGATAAGTATTGAATAGTAGTGTCAAAATTCCAACAACTCCCAGTTCACTGTATTTATTGCTCACTGTATTATGTACCAACTTAAGGCAGGAAATAGCAAAATCGAATTGCAGGAACTTTCTCCAAATTGAGTTCAATTACACTTGATTATTTCTGTAACATATAATAAGCTCGGATTTTATCTAGCCGTTAAAACATAACAATTTTGTGAAATTCAGGATATTTCAATCCTTAATTAAGTCATGAAGAGAGTACATGTATGTTTGTGAGGTTGGTTTTGCTATTTGTTGGGAAGGGAAGAAATACTAAATTGCCTGCGGATGATGGTTGAGTTTTTCTTCTCTGCTATCCTCGCCACGGCTTCTTCCTCCTCTTTTGAAAAGAATAATGCCAGTGGTGATGAACTATAATGTCTTCATTCCTTCCAAATTACAAGGTGCACACACCACACTGCTTCTACCACGACTAACAAGTAATAATAATTCCGTAAAATAGTACTCCCACCCTTTCAATCTCTCAATCTCTCTCCATATGCTGGACGGAAAAGAAGAAGGAATGCTATAGAATTTGTTCACGACATTCCTTCGAAAATTTCACAACTCTTCACTCTTGTGCCCCTTCTTCTTCCTCCAATAACAATATCAACGCCAAACGAAGAAGAACTGGAGCAGCGTTCTTCTGCACTGACTGAGGGCAACTATGAGAATGAATGAATGGACGAGCACAGTACTGCTTTGACGATGATGGTAAAAGTTCAGGCTACCAACAACGCTTCGTTTACCCTTCGCATCTGCACTGGATGGATGGACCACCGTCGTATGAAACTGACTAACTCCAAATCGGCAGTTTTTAAGAAGAGTCACCGTAACGGAATTCCTCTTGGACAAAGTATGTGCTGTAATAACAGAGGTCAAGCAAAACAGGGGGTGGCCTGACGTCTTCTCCAATTCGAATTATTGTAAATTGGCTTTGAGAGATTAGAGGTAAACATTATATGATATGCGCTAATAAGTAAAATCTCATGGAGGGACATCTCATTTCTTTGGAAATACTATATAAAGTCATCAAGGTTGGTGTGTCGGCTTATGCATGCAAAGTGTGGGTGACTCTTTCGACAAAGGAATTCACGGATAAAGATGTATCAATCAATTCTTGACATCCCAAGAAGTCAGTAACACGAAGAACACAATGCGAATTCTCCTCCCACTTTTGCCTCCGCTGCTCTTCTTGGCCGGTTTCCTCTCAATTGGAGACCTTTATTGTTCAGCAGTGGCTACTGACTGCCTTCAGTAGGTACTAACTCAGCTATGGTGGCTTAGTCATACGGAATTGTGGGTAGTCGTAGCAGGGACTTGGCAGCCTTCAAATAAAGGCCTTATTCCATCAAACCGCTCGACATCCGGGGGACATGGTAGTCAAACCTAGAGGCAACTCAATTTGCGTGGTCCCTTCTGCTTCTTCTCACTCTCGACAGATCTGAGCTCCCCATGCTCCCCATTATGTATGTATGCATTATATTGTGTCTTGCACGATGGCGTTGTTGTAATACGGCTGCCTCCCTGTTTTATTATGCCGAAGGTATTTAGCTAATGGACCTCTGACTCGGGCGTTATATATTCCTTGAGCTTCTATGCTGTTGCATTGGCCAACTTTTATGCTCAATAAAGGCAAAAGAAGTAAGCCAAGTAAATATGCTGAGTCCGAGTCAGGGTTCAACTTTTCCATTTGCACAAAAAGGGATCAAGTTAGTTGACTGTATGTTGTTTTGTTGTTGTAGGTGGCAAATCAACCAACTGCTTTACTTTTCATCCTCAAGTACGTAGCGTAATGAGACTTGGCTTCAGAAATAAGACAAATCATTGCCATACCAGTCGAAAACCAACCTGGTTGGTGGGAATAATAACATATTGGAATAAGTACACCTACGATGCAAGTCTAATTCAACCAGTTCTCATCAACAGGTAGGTCTTCCTTCTAAGGCAGGAATAAGGAGAAGGTTGACAGAAAGAAATGAACCCACATCTTCATCTTCCTTGGTTGGTCGTCTTCGTCGTCGTTGAAGCCACAGGAGCAGAGCACAAGTTTTGTTGTGCATCTTTTGAATTGAGATGTCAAGTCTCAGCTCCCATCCCCGTGCAGAAGAAGAAGAAGAATACTCGGAAGCAACAGCAGAATGAATGCTGAATGGGATAAAGAAGAAGAGGTTGGACCGAAAATGAACAGGCAGCTTATTGCTCGCGTCGTCAGTAGTGTTATAACTTGTGGAAATTCAACAGCTTCAACTCGGATAGAAGAGTTTTTTGAAACCAAGTTGAAGAAGAAAAAGGTTGGATGGATATGTTTCAAAGATTCATCGTACACACTCCACAACTTGTGTGTGTATATGTACGGGATACGCTTTTGAAAATTCATGCATGGCGTATGTACGCAAACGTACGTACGTATGTATGCAAGTTGTAAAATAAACTACCGCGTTCTTCTTCTTATACACACCAACAGATTTACTGAGGCTAAAAATCCTTACAACTCTTGTATTATATGGCGTGTATGTATGCATGGTCGGTCTCGGTGAGTGTATGACTGAGCTATTATTATGATGGAGAACATCTTATTTATCCCAAAGAGACGAGGTTACAGACAAACTAACCAAGCCCAACTAAATATCCTCTTAAACTGAGAAGAAGAGGATCGAGTCTAATAATGAAACAGTTTTTGTTCCCATCTGAAACTCTCGTTTAGTTAAATGTTTTCACAATTTCATTCCATATGCGTGGCGCAACTTTACATAATGCAATTGCACTGACTACACATACGTATGCACGTACATACATGCAATGCTATGCGATTCAGTATAAAATATCTTGGTTCTTTAAAACTCTGCTTTGTCTCCTTCTCCGTGCTTTACTATGGTCATTGCGAAACATACACAATGATTAAGTAAACTTGTGCATAGGTGTGAAACTGGACAGCTCCTTTCGAATCAACTAGTTTTTTGCAGGCTTAAATCGACATTCCGTGTTCGTTGTTTCAAATATAATTTAGTAGAAATTGTATGATTCGATTCAATGGCAAACTTAAATTTTACATGCATTATCCTGTGACTGTTCTACCTACATCCACACGGTGGAAGGATACGGTTTGTGTTGCCGGTTGTTCTTGTAGATGTATTTACATACACGTATCTCATCATCATTGTCGAGGGTAATGGAGTATATATTGTTCTCTGAGACTCAAGGGGTCATCCTACGCTACCCCCACAGCCATTTTGCATCATCACTGCTCTCCTCTGCTGCTGCTGGTCTCATCTCACAACTCGCCCTCCTCCGTGCTATTACTGAGGGATCATGTTATGTATGGTCCCAGTCAGCAGTAAGGATGAGACTATCCTGCTCTTCTACAATATGGTTTAGCATCAAACGAGAAGATGAAGATGAAGACGAAGAATTGAATCGAATCGAAAGAACCCGTTGAGCTGGTATCATTGGTCGTTGGAAGGATGTGTTGGAGCGGGCCAGCCTTCGGCATATAAGATGGGGCTAGAAAATCTAGGGTGGTACGGATGAAGATGTTGAGAGAAAGAAGAACGTTGCAGGAGGTCTGGAGGAAGACCACCCAAGTGGATTTTGCCTACAACTTCTTTCAAAATTTATGAGAACAAGAAGGAGTTCCATACAACAATAACAACAGGCCAAGACTGCTTTTGTTATGTCTTAATACTCAAAAAGACTGTAAAAGACATTTCTTTTACTTAACAACAGTTCTCTTGGACGTGGACTTGACTTTACTCCCGTCACTTCTTTCGATGGCTCAATTCACCAAACCAAACCACCATCACACACAACTCGATTCTCAATACTTTACTTTTTAACTCTCCCAACTTACCTAAAACCCAACCAAACCTTGTTCATTTACGCCTTCATAAATACAAGAGGCAATAGTAGCTTAGCTCAGCAAAAGATTGTGCACGCTAACCAACCACCCAGGCCTCGCTAGAATGTACAAGATTCACTACAATTGACGACGACCCTCGATCTATACAACTCAATTTTGGTTATTGCCTGCTTCACAAAAGTCAAAAATGAGTGAAATGAAACACACACGGTGTGCATACATTATTAGGCAGAAGACGATTATTGCATGGACCTCCTCTTTCCACTAAAAAATATTTCGTTCAAAAATAATAATGACAATCCTTCTCGTCCCGACACCCATTCTTTTGTGAAATAAGAAGGAGGGAAACACATAGATATTTACCATGTAGAATATTGCATTTACTAGAAAAGGAACTATGCGTTCAACGGAAATCAGTGTCAGTGTGCGATACCCGTAGTACCACTGGCGATAAAATGAGTGAATACATTCTATGTACATTTTATAAATACTTATGTATACGCAAGGAATATAATATGGCTTGAAGCATGTAAAATGTACATGTCCATTGAGGCACAAAAGGGTTCCTGGGATCATCATTATTAACATTTTACACATTTATCTCTCCATTAGGGTAACTCTTGTGTTGGTACCTACACACACAGTCGTAGCCTTTCCTAGCAGAAATAAATAAGTAAGGTCTTTGTCCAACAACCCAACCAGATTTAAGACGAGGATCTTCTGAACTCCCTTACACACTTTTAGTACTTGGTGTACTTGTATTCATGGCCTTAACTCTTACCCGCCCTACTCCTGACATTGTTGATGGGGATGAAAAAGTTGACACTTGTTGGGTGGTTGCCCAGAGCAAAAACGAGTACATACTGTGTGGCGTAAAAGTTTGTCGTCTCTTCCCAATGATCGATTCTGAATGCAAGTAATTCTAATAAATATCCATCCAGCAACAAAATCTCCTATTGTAATGCAGACTTTAATTAATCTTGCACCTTGAACTGAGAGTGATTCATTCTGAACTCTGAGAAAAGTAGGCATCCAAAGCCCTTGCATAATCATGTCATGCCATTCATTGGATGCAAGTCTTGACTCACGGTGTGTCGAGATAAAAAATTATACGAATTTAGATCATCACGTCGTCGTCATTTTTCAATATTCAAGCTTCCATTCGCTTATGTAACTTGAAAGAAAATAATATGTGCACGAATAAGTACAAGATTCCTGAGTTTGATATGCACACATTATGTGCATGCATAAACAAGCAAAATAGTGTTCAGAGTAAAAATTAGCAGCGATTTTTTAAACCAAGCTACAGCAAAAAGAATATTGTAAATAAAAGTGTAAATTTAGTAAACTGGTGAAACTACACGATCCTCCACAGTGTAAATTAATATGGTCCATGCATTGTCACATTTATTCTATTACGAACTCAACTATGCAAACTCTTGTGGACACTGATGTCTTCAAGATTGTTTGCAACTATTTTCAAACCTCTCCTAAAATTTATGCTTGTTAAGCATATCATTAAACAATTCAGTTATTTCAAGTGCAGATAAAAACACATAAATGCTTTCAAGAATGAAGAGTTTCGACTTAAGCAAATATCTTCGTCATGAGTGAGTTGAGCCAACTTCTTGAGCCACCTACTAACCAGCCAACCACACAAGAATTAAATACAAATTCCATTCCATATCTGAAAAGTTATCCGTTCGCTGAGGCAATAATGCAGGCAGAACTGAGCCGATGATAATATTGTGAGACGCCCAGGCAGATGATCTCTGCTGTTTAAAGATTGTTCATACACCCATCATCGTCCAT